CACCATGGATTTGATGAAGCTGAGCGGCATGATCCGCTTTGTGGCTCAGCAGCACACCGGGATCCATGTGGAAGAGCTGCAGTTGAATGGTTTACATGTTACCCTTCAAATTAATGGCGCATAGGATGATAAATGTGCGTCTCGATGTCTTCTACACCGGACTGATAATCGATCCATTCTTTCGGCCTGGACCCGGCATCATGGTTTATGCCGACTGCAGGATTTCATTGGCGCGTGCCGTGGTCTTCCGTGCAACAGCTTCCGGATGACCAACTGCACTGTGGAGCTATCGTTCCAGTTTTCACTGGACGACGCTCCTAAAAGCATCTCCATCCGTATCGACGTACAAAATCTGCTGTTGGCAAATAACAATACTTTCGAAACCGCATTGTGGTGTGGCTTGGAGGCGGCGTTGCCACCACTTGCCCCTCAGGAAGTCGTGGGACTCTTCAACCGGCTGGAATACTTGGGGAGCTGTAGCGAAGGTTTTGAGGTGGTCGCCGGAAAGGTAATTATACCGTTTATGGATCACGGTGCTGTGTGCTTCTTTCTAGCTTAAAAAAAAAGTTTAATGGCGGTTATTTGCAGATCTTATGTGCTATACAGACCAATGATCCGCGACCGACGGTCCATTACCGTGAAAGGCTTTGGTGCGTGGTTTTGCTGCAGGATCTGCACGTCCAACTGTTAACTGACATTAGCAAGCGGTTTCTTCAGCGGCTAGTAGCAGTGGCCGTTTGGAACGACCGCGTCGTCCTTCCGGAAGATTCGGGTTGATTGCCTCCGCAAGTGATGCTGTTACTTTCATCTGGGTATGTTCTTCGTTTAGCACTAGCCGGGTTTCCTCGGTGCTTCATTATACCAAGTGGCTCGTTTTTCCCATCAACTCCATTTGATACCCAGTCGAGTCCGTCATCGGAGATCGTGCTTCTCATTACCCGTGTGATATTTTTTTTTCGCCGGTGTGATACTGTATATTCTTTTTTTGCCCGGTTCATGCTGTTTGACATCGTTACCGTTATTTTGTATTGACTTCGGCTCGTTTTCGCCGGTTCTTTTTGATGCTCATTCCTATTTTTTTGTATTCGCTGGCTGATTCCGCCAGTTATCGCTAGATTGTGAATTACCGATGAATAAAACAGTCCTATGAGATTACCCGGTTGGTGAATCGCCTGACAAATACATATCAAAACAGAATAGTTCTAGACCTTTGCCATAAATGGCGTTTTTAGGAAGAAAAGCTATTACCAAACTCCTCGAAAACCGAGAGCGAAAATAGTGCACCACAGAATCACAAAAAGATTGACAAAAAACAGGCGATTGTGCATTCCTAACACAAAGCCTTTCTGATGCTGAACAATTTTGCCGATTCTAATGATAACGAACGAAGGTTCGATGCACGAATTACAGTTGGTGTACCGAGTATCTGTCCATTTTGATCATCCCGTGATTTGCATAACAGCCTCCTGATTCTGCTTTTCGGAAACATTATGCCAGTTTCTAATAAATAAGAAAGACCTTCGCCACCACCTGGCACCTGCAGCCGACAGCCTTTTCTAACATGCACCAGGTTACAGTCCTTCTACTGTCTTGGTCATGATCAACCTGTCTTAGTTTCCAAATCATTCAATGCTCAATCAATCCTGTAATCACGTGCTTTTCACTGTGTGGTAAAAAAAGCTGATCTAAATGCATATTTTTTTACTCGTCTCCAAAGAATTTGCGTTCTAGATGTGTGCTGGCATTACTACTCGCCAAGATGTCTGACAGTTTTGCAATCTTACCTTGGGCATGCGCGGTGTCCGCCGTGCTGGTTGAATTAGGGTAAAATCATCTTGAGGAAATTTAACAAGGTTTCATTAATCCTTAATGATACAAATTAATGGTATGTCTCAAGTAAGCACCGTAATGCTCTCACACATAAAATGTTTATGAAAATTTCTAGAAATCCACCTATTTTTGTAATGACAAAACGACAAATTTATCAAATGTATCGACCCTGAAACATCAGAACCCGCGGATCTCTGCATTATGCTCTATTAGCGCCATGCTGCGGCGACTTCTCGGACCGCCAAGAAATCGCGGACCCAACGCACGTCTTTCGCTGGGCTGATAGTATTAAGCTTTAGCTTGACACTGTACCGGGGAACACCTCCAGCCTCGCAATTATCGCTTGGAATCTCTACGTTTCCTCGACACTCTGTGTTTCAGCACCGTCTTCATCACCCGCAGGAAATGCGACACCAGATCCGAGTGCTCCAGTTTGACTGTCAGCTCGAAGTTGCTACACTGCAGGGAACACAGACAGGTCACACGCTGCATGGCGGTCAACTGCTCTTCCCGCATATCCCCGTGTTCGCCGACCATGCATGTTTCGCCGGCAGCCACTTTGTTCTTATTCTGGGGGCTCCGCACCGTAGAGGAGGGCTTTGTCCTTCCTGGTGCTGGTCAGCCACGTTCTGCACGCTTAACACACTTCGCGCAGTTTGGCTACGCACATACCCTTACAGCATGGTTGCGCACCAAGCAGCAAAAAGAACAGATTGGAACAAAATTCATCAATGATCTTATATCGTACCTAATGCCGCTGTGAAGTTTCAAAAGGTCAACCGCATGCTCCAGCGCAAGCACACTGAATAAATTTCGCTCACGAATATAGGTATATCTCCCATCTCCCCTTATTCTTGATCCCTAACGTTCACTGATCTATAGTACTCTCACTTGAATTATGCAGTAAGTAATATTTTGCTATAACACAGTATCATCATGTACTCGTACTTATCAATCGAATCGTGGCTACGAGTATCATAATCAACCTAGCGCATTACGTGTTCAGAAATGTCGCGTTTTCTGTTCTGCTCCGTACCAGAAGGGAAACCTGACATTTCGGATACGGTATAATATGCTCACTGGGTCAGTTGTGTATCACAAGCACTTGCTAGCGGGAGAAAGCTCCCAAAGAGCGAAGATTGGATAGGCGTATACCCGTAATGCACTTCTGCTTTATCTAATCTAATTTGCCATTTTGCACATTTGTGTCAAGTTCTGCAATAGCTCACCAGTCATAACTTAAGTATTCGACTACTGAAGACTTGCACGTTACGAGACGGCTTGCAGATTAGTTGAATAATTCATTTTCTCGCACTTTCAAACCGCGGAACTATCACTGCAATTCATTAACGAAAGCGAGTGCAACAGTTCAAAGCACGTGTATTATCGTACTGCGGGTACAGTACGCCCCATCTTATGTTATAATCACTGACCTTTCACAGTCAAGAAGATCGTCTGCGCAGTAAGATTTACAATTCCCAATTGCAGAGTCACACCTAGATTCAAACAAGTTGGTGCTGTTGTTCTAGAATTTAGGCGCAGTCGGCCGATTAACGCCCAGCTTCGCGTTATCGCAGGATGAAGTCATGCGTTTATGGTCTGCAAGATTTGCAGCTGGGATTCGCAGCCTGTTAGCAATGATATAATAATCGTGCCCGGCATGTACGTACACACAGCCGACAGCCGTCTTGTGCGCTGCCTGGGCGTTTAAATGCAGGCTTTGGCCTACCGGCAGCGTTACGAAAATTTTTCCTATAATGAAGTTGATTCAACGTCCCTTCTGTTGCTTTATTATATTACACCAAGTTTTTCTTATTTGGGTTCGGCGATTCACGGTAAAATTCACGATGCAGTGTGCGTTTTAGGTATTTTATTATATCGGTGCATCTACTGTAATAAAAGAAATTCAAACTAGCGGTACCTGCACGTCAATTTTGTTATCGTTAATGGCATTATGGCAAAGTTTTGTATCTAGCGGTTTTCGCTGAATTTTTTTCAAAGACATTTTGGTTACATAAGCTGGTTAAGCTGGTTTACACGTGTCTTGTCAGGCGATTCATGATATTTTACCATGTATCAAGATACTACATACATACGTATAAAACAGCATGTGCTGTACTTCACACGGTAACAGCGCGTTAGCTGAAGCGCCAAAAACGATAATGATGCCACAATGCACAGGGCTGATTAGGATATTCCTGTTAACCTTTTTAGCGTAAGAATAAGGACTGGAGCTGCCTGGCAAATCTGCATTTCAAACCGACGACCCATACGTTAACGTATGTACAAATGTTTGCCTTATTGCACGGTATCTGACATGCTCCTAGTTTTGTCCTCCCTAAGCGCAATTAAATTGCCGTTTAACACAGTACTTCTACTGTTTATTCAGCCCGCTTCAACAGTCTACTTTAAAAATTAAAAAATGACGGTTTAATGGGACGGGAAATGGCAGGTATAAGCGTGGGCTTCAGCCATTCACAACTATTAGTCCTTGCTCAAAAAGAATTCTTGTCGCTGGATAACTCTGAAAGTCAGATTCAGATTTCAGGAATTCAATTTTAGGTTTTTTCCCCAACAGATTAAAATTGGAGGCGGATTTATGTCATTCAACTTTTCACGATGTTAAGAACAATTTGTTTTTCTTTTTTAGTAAACTTTTCCCAGGTTCCCACTTCTTAATCTCCTTCACGTTTCAGTCAAGCCGCTTTCCGACACAGCATAGTTTTAGTTCACAATACTTAGGCAGCGTTAAAATATTACGTAACGGCAATAGGTAGGGGGGTGGTCTAACAAAAGTGTTACACTTGTTGCATGGGGCAGGGGGTCCAAAAATTTTTGTAACGCGCGGGCCGACACCCCATAAAAAAACTAAAAAAATTAATATATTTCGATTGCGTTTTTATAGGGGGGTGGTTGGACTCTTCGTTACGTATGCAGCTGGGGGGTTGAAAATTTTGTTATGTGGTGTTACAAGGGGTAGGGGTGGTCAAAAATCACGAAAAATCGCGTTACGTAATATATGAACGCTGCTTTATTTGTTTTTGATAAGTCGCTATCGCAGGCCCTTTGTGCACAGATAAGAGATATTCATGCCGTAAAGTTAATGCAGGTGTAAAGGCACGCACTCAAATTTTAAAACTCATGCGCAGTAGTTAAACTCTTATTATTGAACCCGCAGTGAGAAAACTCTTGGCCTTGCCACATTCAAGGTCTTTAATTATTACCAAATAGTAGCCGTTTCGAAGCTTCTGATTTGCTCTCTGTTGTACTCGTAGACATTTTAAAAGCCTCTTGTCCGCAGTGAGCACAAGCTGGAAGAATGTACCGCCCTATGATAATGAAAAATACCACAAAAGCGGACAGGAATCGCAATAAGCCCTGCTGCCTGTTGATGGGCAAAACAGGAGTCGGGAAAACCACACTGGGCAACATGTTATGCGGCACCAAGCATGCCTCCGGTGCATCGGAAGCTAGTTCGACTCAGCTGCTCTTCCGCAACGATGCGCGCGTCGGAGGGAATACGTTTTCTATCATCGACTCACCCGGGACGGACAGTCAAACCGACACGTACAAACACGCGTGGCAACTGCGTGCGGGACTGACTGCGGCGGAGCTGAATACGATTTTCATCGTACTAAAATACGAGTATCGATATAATAAAATGGTGGACCATTACCTGCAAGTGGAGCAACCGGTCGGCACCTTCACCAATAGAATCGTTGTTCTCGTTTCGCATATGGATAACGCTGACGATCACGCCAAGGAGTTTGCCTGGATCTGCAGGATACTGACGGAAACCAGCCCAAACATCGCTAACATTATTTTTTTCTCCCATAAAAGCGATCCAAGTGCCATTGCCGACCTAATGTACGCTTGCATGTCCCACATGGCGCCGAAGCGACTAAAGATATCGGACGAAGATTTCCATGTTAACTTCAACTTGTACGAGATCCGAATGGGGATGCGGCGATCGTTCGATCAGTATAAAAAGCAGGTGCAGGAAAAGTTTAACGCCTACTCGAGACTACGCGACTGCACAGGAAACGAATCGGACAAAGACAAGGACGAGCTCTTTCACGCCATGATTGTCCAGTTCAAGTACGACCTGGATGATCTGTACCAGACGTTTGTGGATAAGCATCGCCAAGATATGATTGAGATCGACTCTCACACCCTGTGCGTGGAAATGCAAAATTTAGGAACCCAAGTTTGCGATCAGTTTACCAGTTCGGTCACCCCGCTGATGACGCACAATTTGTTCGATAAAACGAATCCACGGAATTTAATCAAGGCGTGTCCGCATTGTGGACTGATTTGGTGGAACACGGAAAACGGCGGTGGAGCCACGGAATGCGGTAACCGCGTCAGTTCTCTCATTGACTGGCGAAAGGATGCTTTATTCAGATACGTTCCGTTGCTAATTGCTGGTAAGTTAAGCCATACGGAAATTTCGATGGGAGATACAACGCGCATAGGATGTGGTCGACCAATTGTGTGGAATAAGCTGCCCAAACTCACCGACGAGGTTCTGTTCCAGATTTTCGAGGTCAAGACCATGGACGAGGTGAAAAGAGCTTTAAGGACTGAAGCATTTCAGAGAGCAGACGCCAGCTATCAGCGATTTGCAAAGTATCGACATATTTATTCACTGCTGGAATAGATAGTCAAAGATCTTTAGGAAGATACCGGAAAACTGCGCTTCGCGAAATTTTCTGGATTTGTTTTATATTTTGGCCAACAATTTCTTAACTAGATGCTAAAAAGCTTAATTTTATCGTGATTTCAGGTCGCAATGATAACCGGGCATTGGTGCATTGCGCTGGGGCCTGTTGCGTACGTTCTAGATGTACTACTAATGCTTTTTTCTGCTTGTCGTTTTTTTTTCTGAAATATTTTTGAACAAGAAAATTTTCGGAAGCATAGGTAACTTGCTATGCGCCGAAAAATTCCTGTCGCGTGATCTATTGGATGTGTATTTAATAATCTACCACACAATGGTCTTTTTGCAACAGCGACAGCAAAACAGAACAAAATTTAACTTACGAAAGTTTTTCATAAATCATTGAATAATAACTTAACATTACGTCCCTATATGTAATACAGTCATATCTTCCAATCTGCTGCAATCGGGGTATAAACGTTCGACAAACACAGTCTCAGCGGTAACGGTTCTTAACTTCACTGGAGCCGGTATCTGGCTTGCCTTTTCTTGATTACTCATCAGTACTGAAGTACGTTACTTATTACAAGGTTTTTTTCGCATGGGGGCACACTTTCCGTCTTACCGTAAGTTGCTAACTGGGAACTTGCAAAGAAAGCATGCAAATATTCAGCGGTTTCCTCTTTTATTATGCGGGGCTTAAAATAAACTTGGCCAGCGCTCGTGGAACATACTGAGAAAATAGTTATACACAATCACAGAAAATGTTGGAATTAAGACAATAAAATTATTAGTGCAAAATATGAAACAGCATTGCATTCACATATGCATAACCGTACTCTGTACATCTTTGAACCGGGTGCTTGTAATGCGAGCCCATACACAAGATGAGAAAAGATAAAACAAGTCTATAATAAACGTCGCGGGAAGGAGCGCGTATTACTGCCTCTACAAAAAGGGATGCAATAAACGACAATGATGCATAAAAATGCACACTAGTTAATATTTATCTAAACGATAGTGACCGTTTTGCGAAAGGAGTGATTGCTAATTTTGGGTTTATTTGTTTACAAGAAACAGCCTCGGCTTCGCCTCCGCGTTTCTTGGGTTCTAAACTCCTTGGCCGGTTTACGGATTGTTAACTTAGAACGGATAAATCTGAAGAGCCCGATAACAAAAATTTTCTAAAAAAATGGATGTTTTGGTTTCGTGCAGTCGAACGCAATTACTTTGACTTTACAGATAATTTTTGTTAAATTTTCTTAGCGAAAAACCATCCGAATCTAATCACCCACGAGAGTATCACATTACAAACTAAAAGGACGCTAAGACTGGAAGTGGTGCTAGATAGGTCACCCATTAAGGACTTAGCAGGCCCTGTTCTACTTTGCTCAGTAATATTGCAGTTTGGTCATACGTTCACCTAACGGGCTCTGTGCACTGGATAGCTTTGGCATCTCGGTCACCCACCTACCTAACGGGATCTATGCAAAGGGCAGGACTGGTAACTCGGTCACTAGATCACTTAACGGAGTTTATGCGCTGGACAGTAGTGCTAGCTCGCTCATTAGATCACTTAACGGAGTTCGTGCACTGGACAGTAGTGGTAGCTCGGTCACGCGTTCACCTAACGGGCTCTGTGCACTGACAGCATTGGTAGCTCGGTCATCCATCTACCTAACGGGATCTATGCACTGGACAGTTTTGGTAGCTCGGTCACCCATCTACCTAACGGGATCTATGCACCGGACAGTATCGGCAGCTCGGTCACCCATCTACCTAACGGGATCTATGCACCGGACAGTATCGGCAGCTCGGTCACCCATTTACCTAACGAGATCTATGCATTGGACAGTAGTGGTAGCTCGGTCACTAGATCACTTAACGGAGTTCGTGCACTGGACAGTAGTGTTAGCTCGGTCACTAGATCACTTCACGGAGTTTGTGCACTGGACAGTAGTGGTATCTCGGTACTCTTTCACCTAACGGGTTCTGGGCACTGGACAGTGGTGGTAGCTCGGTCACGTACTCACCTAACGATTTTTTGACGCACTCATTCACTAGGTGAGTGACTGACCGAGCTCAACCTGTCCAGTAAGAAATATCGCTAGGTAAGGAGAAAAATCGATAGGTGAGGATGTGACCCTGCTACAACTACTGTCCAGTGCACAGAGCCCGTTAGGTGAGCAAGAGCAAAGCCCGCTCGATGACTCACTCACCTAGAAATTCCGCTCAGTGGGCAGTAATGGTGTTTCGGTCACTCACTTGTCTAGTGATTTTTCTTACTGGTCAGTGGTGGTACCTCGGTCACCCACTCATCTAGAGATTCCGCTCAGTGGTCGGTGATAGTGTTTCGGTCACTGACTCGTCCAGTGATTTTTCGTACTGATTTTATATTTGATATTTTTACATTTTATATCGGTTGATTCTAAACGTTTTTCGAGCTCGGCAACACCGGCAGCAATGTTTAAATAACGCGAGTGTTTGAATAAGTAGTAGGTATTTATTTTTCGGTTTAATTAGTGTGATAATTATGTCAATTGGTATTTTGTAATGTCTCTAGGCAAATACAGGGGTGCTATGCCAAGTTCGGGCAGTTTTTCTAAAAAATTACTATAGGTCACCCACCAACAAAATTATAGTTACTCAATTTTTGTGTGATCACCGTATGTCTTACGCATCTTTTTTACTACGAGACGTCGCACTGGGGGCGTGGTCTGAATTACAGGTGGATTTAAACTAGAGCAGACCCGCATAAAAATTCGGCTCGACCCATGAATCGTGGTACACTTCCTCCCGTTTGAAATTTGTTTAATAATTCCGCTAATGCTATTGTCCAAAATTGATAATTTTGGGCTGTTTGCCATTCAAAGTTCTTAAAGAATACGTCTAATATTGATCTATTTGAACAAAGGATTCGTGACCCTTGCAATATTACTACTGCCGTTGTGAAAATGAAGGACGGTGCCCTTTGTGGGTTCGCAGGACAACCACGAAATGTCGGATGCATTCGTCCCAGGTAGAATCTCGTTCGCTAAGCGTGAAACAATAAGCTCAGCGTTTTCTTTTTCACAAATAGCCCACGACACCCCGTTTAAACACGTTTCAGCACCAACCAAAATTTTTTTGGCCACAGCTTTGGTGGCTTTTTCGGCCAATCGTTCGCCAGTTCCACCTTACCGCCTAGGTAATAACTATCGTGTTGGACGCAAAAATCCTCTACTTTAGTCTATGTCCCATTCATGGAGAGCAATATCTCGAAGTTACCTAGGTCAGCGCGTTAGGCAACCGCATTCTTCCATAGACACCTTTTAACATACAGGTCTATGGGAGATGCACCTTGTTTCGAGGTCATCTCCAGCACCGATCCCGCCAATGTTATTTGCTCACCCAAATTATATACCTTTTGGGTCGCTCGACAGTTTATTAAAAAGTCTATGAAAAAAACTTTCTTGGGAAATTTTCTAGAAGGGCAGGTATAAGCGCTCTGAAAGTGTCTGCTACCTCATCCCCATATTAGCCGGTTGGCTGCTCGAGGTCACATTTAAAATTTCGAATTTTATCGTTTTTGAATTCCCAGTAAAAAGTTCTACTGGAAAAGTGCAAAACAAAAAATAAAACGGCGCGCACAAATGTTTTCGAATTTAATTTATGCAAGTGCCCGAACTTGGCGTAGCACCCCTGTATTTCTAAGTTTCAAGGTGACCTTTAAGATGGGTTGGATCAATCTGGTCTTGATGCCGGCTTGATACCGGCTCGATATTTTCATAAAAAACACATGCCGGCCACTTCTGAACTATCCCGGATCTAATGGCGTTGTCCGTTTTTCCAGAAGTTTTATGGTTATAGAGATCTCAAAACTATGGGGCGCCGCGCGTAGTATGGATCTTGTACTTAATGACACTTTACCCGCACTACGGATTACACGTTAAGGTCAGTGTCTATTGTTTTCAATATCCTAAATTCAATAAAATTGATGAAGGAAGACTTATTAATTATGAACAGCTGTACGTGTAGCTTAGTTTCCGACTTCGCTTCGGTGTTTTATTACCAGTTAAAAGGAGCGGAGAACAAGTTTCCTAGTAGAACAAGTTTTTTAAGTAGTATTACGCGTATGCACTTTTGTTACACTGATGGCCTTTGCCCAAGATTCCTAGTTGTAAGTAGTTTGTCTAGCTGGCTTAATCCAGTGTCGTGTAGTACAATACTGTAACTAAGGCAGTATAATTAGCATAAACGAGATCCTGCTACTGTGATTAACTGTTTTTGTTCTATGTTCAGTGTATTGTACCCGTATTTTATGAAATAAACAGTAAAAATTAGCATAAATTACAGCTCGTTTCACGCGTTATTATTAGAATTTCTGTTTGCAGCTGGGGTCATTAAAATAAGCCACCAACGGTCCGTTGTTTGGCCTTTCGCTGATAGCGGCACCCTCGACGAAGAAGCTTAACTAACGTAGGGATACTGCGCAAAGTCTGCTCGGTGCACAAAGTGGTGTACAAAGTGTGGCTGACCTTCACCGAGAACCACAACGACGTCCTCTACGACGCCGTGATCCGCACCTGGAAGTACTGTAGATCCGCAAGAACAATGTCGTACCGGCTGCCGGCGATTGGTGCACCACATTTCCGGCGAAGAGCTCGACGGTGGGCACGAGGATGCTGGAGAAACAATTGACCGCGATGCAGCAGTTAGCCCGGCCTGTGGGATCCGCAACGCAGCAACTTTGAGCTTATGGTCAAAGTGGATTTACTGACGCATTGGCGGTGAGTGAAGAACGTGGTGCTGAAGATGCAATGCGCCGAAGGAGCGTGAAAATAGGCGTTCATTGGATCCGCGAACCCACTACTTTGTTCATCCGAACATGGAGCTAATTCAAAACACAGAGATCCGTGGGAACCGATTATCCATTGGTCGCTGCGCCGTCTACAGGCACTAGACTCGAGTACGCGCTGCTGGCGAAATTGGTTTTTAGGATTTTCAGCAAGCGCTTGCGTTTGTTCTGTTTCTGTAGAAAGTTTAACCACACCTTGTAATTCTTTATGAAGGTCCCATTATAAAGTGAAGAGCTGAAACGAACTGCGGATTACGATATGTTACAATGATTCGCCAGCTAGTTAACAAAGCGAAGGTTGAATGCATAGATAATGCACAAAATTTTCGGCGTTAGGATAAGTAGGCTATCAGACAGCGATACGCATCGTATTATGATTATATTGCAATATTATTTGTTATTACAATAATAACAATATCGGTAGATAAGAACATCATAAGGTATACGGCGGCTTCGATATGTTGTACAAATGACATTGAGCTGTTTATGTCGATGGACTCCACTGTCGCGTAAACCGACTTCCATGCGAAACATACTTCTTACACAACAAACAATGGTGGCATTGTTGCAACCAGAAGTTTGTCTTTTACAGTTTTACTAACAACTGCAGCAGGTACACTTATTCGAGTTTTTTCTACGAACATTAACATAATGCATTATGTAATAAATCATCACCTGCACATAATAAACCATGATTTTCGGAACCCAGATAAAAAGAAGAACAAGTTGTGCAGCAATTCTAAGTAAAGTAACAGAAAAGACGCACAATCCATTATCTATATTTTTATCCTTCAAAAACTGCTCACAAAAGCTTTTATGAATATGATGAAATAACGCTTGGCCCGCGCAGAAGGTTGTATCTACTATCGGCTCTGATTCGGCTGTCTTGCGAATGCTGCCTTGTAACGGAAGCAGCGTTACTAAGCTGCACCGTACTGTAATTCAACAAGGAAGTGCCGGCTGATGCGCGACAGTCTCGCCAGCTGCAGACCTTCCAGTCCGTCCCCGCACCACTTTTTCCCGCGGTAATGTGCCGACGGACGCGGATCCCCTGACTGCAAGCCGCATAACATCTAAAAAACACAATTAATGGTGTCCGCATCTAGTTCTGATCATCTTATAAACATTATTTTTCTCTTCTCTCTGCATGGATATAAATGTGGTACATGTCTGACGTGAAAGCTCCATTGAGTTGCTGGTATCTCGGAGTAGATGGCTTTTCTTTCGAAGCCCTACATTATAACAGTACGATCGGATACTGTGAAACTTACCGTGCAGATGACCTCCTTGAGTTTGACATTGTCTTCATCCCATTCCAGTCGGGACCATAGGTCTTGCAACTCTTGTTCATCGGGTACCGGCAGCGCCGCGTCCATTGCCTCCCACAGTGTGCAACGGAAATCCCCACCATTCGGCAGTCGCGCCGCAGGAATGGCTATCTCCAGGCGGAAGAGTTTAAATGCCCAGTAGTCCGATATGCGAGAAAAACAGCCGCAGCGCAGATGCACCGCGCAGTTGTTCAGGTGGATGGCAGCACACGGCAAACCGGCGCATGTGGAAATAAAATCCTCCAGCGGATAAGAACCGAGCTCTACAATCTCCTTGACCGTTTCCGCATCTGCCTGATGCATGACACATTTCACCTTGCCAATGTTATCGACGGCGGCGCCGCTCATCTGCAGGTGCAACCGAAAACCGCTCAGATATAAACCTTGCAGTCGGATGCCGGTTCGATGCTGAGTTACGTAGTGGATCATGGCACACAGCATCCTCAAGTCAGCAGTGGTCATCGGGCCGTTTCCAGCGTTGAACGAAGCCATTACAACGTACTGCGTGTCAGGCTGCAATCGTTTGTACAACGCGGCCATGCGGAAGAACGGGGCATATCCGACGTCAGAAGGAACGTGGTCCCCGATGATTATGCATCTCCGCAGCGCCGGTGTTTCCATCATCGTGTTCCACGCTGCGCATACCGCGCGTAACCTTGTCTGCGTCACAGTGTCCAAATACGAAAACACTTCCAGCCACAATTCCACCCGCAGTACCGTCTGGTGGTGGGTTGTCTGGATCCCGTTAGACAACGGAGACAGTCTTATCAGCTCCGCGTGGAAACTGGCGAGGGCAGCCTGAAAACACGCACACATCGTTACTTCGAATTCCTTCACATTTCGGTCGGTGTGAGTGTACGTCTTAGTTTTCAACATGCAATAATCATGCTTGGCAAGTAATTAGTAAAGACCTTTTTGCTCTTGAAATTCAGCCCACCAGCTATGCAAATTACAGATCAATTAATTTACAGATTTTTTAAAACGACCGGAGTTGGAAAACTGGATACCATATTAAGCAGCAGCGTACGCAAAAAGCGTTTACTCGAAGTAGCGCGCCACATAGGTAGTGACCGGTGACCAGTTTACAATTCCTGCAAACGCATGCTCAAACGTATCCGAAATATTTAAAAAAATAGAGCACGCCACTGTAAAGCCAGAGAACAGTTTTTTCTACCAGAATTCGTCCGTCTCTGGGATCATATACTCCAGTTAGTTCTTGATAACCCTGCTGGAAAATGTTGCCTAAGCGGCCACGCACAAGATCCACCACGTCTACAGCACATGGAAAGGGAATAGCAGCACGCATTTCCGAGCCATTCAGTCGCTTAATGAGCTCTTCGGCTTCTTCGCTGGACATTGAGCCTAAGTCATCGCTGAGCGGCACGGTCCGCTTGACGAAGGGGCCTGGGTGGGTGGGATCGTAGACCGTAGCGTCTTCTTCGGCCAAGTGACGCCAGCATTTTACCGTTAAAGGAAAATGCAGATCAGGTGTTGGCATCATTGGCCATCGAATACGGTGGCGTGGGACGAAAGCGGTGCACGATACTCCGCTGTCCTTCGTTTGCCAATGAACTATAGCCCCTCCGCAGTTGGTCACCGACTGACCCAGTCCGAGATTGACCGTCTCACCCGGCAGCCAGATCAGTGGACCTTGCGGAGTTTCCGGTACCAGGACTTCCACGGCACTCGAAAATCCTTCGTCAGAGTCAGCGGGATTGGGTCCAGATTCGCTCGTCTCCCTGGGCAGGAACAGCCGGTCGAAGGGAACATATTCACGGCGTCCGTTGAGATAGAGCAGATCGACGAAGAGACCTTTGTCGGCGACGTCCACGACGCGTCCATAACGCATCATCCCGTCCTCGCCCAATATGTCTACGCTGTTAGCATAGTGCATGAGGCTGAGCATCCTGGAGGATGTGATGTTTGGTAGGAAATTGCCAATACAGTTCGACTTTAAAACCTTTTAATTAGAAGGGTGGACTTAATGGCTGCACTAAATCATGTTAATAAATAAAAAAAGGTTGGAAAACGGTCCGCTGTGCAACTGTGCCACAGAATTCGCTAAGATGGATTGCATACAAGTTGTATCGTAAACTTTCACCTTAGTTCAAAAGTACTGCAAACGAATAATATAATGTAGACTGTGGCGGTGCTTTAACGGACGGACCCGCCCTGGCTATCACCTTCGGATATAAGGTAAGAGAGACGCTCAATCAGTATCGGAACCGCAAGGCCACAAGTGGGCATTGACCGGCATTTGAGTGTTGATAACCACGCCTCAAGCTGAACTTTTATGCGTCATACAGGACCATTCATCAGTCCTGTCAGCCATCTTTGATCGCACAGCGCAGCCGGCAAACGAAGCCCACCCACTATTTACATACCCGGCTTGCTTTAGGCTGGCTTCGGCCTCATCCTTTGTGTGATTTTATCTGCCGGCTCACCCGGCTAGTCAGCTGTAACCTAGTAACTGAAATGGAAGAAAGGCGCCATCAAACCTGTCCACCAATGAATACAAATACAGTGGCCTACAATCGCCTCGTACGGTAAAAAGAGAACATAACATATACGAGGAGGGAACAAGCATCTTCGGTAGCGCGTTCGCATAGTCGAGACTCTTTGAACACTGTGCCCGTATTATGCAAACTGTGCAACCCCCCACGGCTGATTGCTATGTGCAATCATCAGCTACGTCGCTTTCTGCTGTCTGAGCCGTTACTTTCTGAATTTTGAGTATTTTTTACAGTATTATTGTTGATTTTTATTTGACTGTGTATTACCTTTGTGTTTTCATTCCCTGCAGAGTTTTTATTATGAATTTTTATCGGTGATATCCTGGTTGTGTGATACATGATGAGTTAGTAACATATCTTACGGCTAAGTCAGTGTAAAACTTAGTCAAAACATGGAGATATTACCCAAATCTCTAATTGGTGAAATGGCTAGAAATAGCGATGATTGTGTGAGTTCATATCTTCCTGGCGAAACTTCTGCGGCCGTGGGTACCGAAAGCAGTGTAAGGTTTGAGCTACGAGGATGTGGGGAGACGTTGATCTGTGAAGCGATATCGGACAGCCCCAGCGCAATGGACAAAGCAATAAGGGCCGTTAAAAGTGGAGCACTGTCGCAGTACGCAGCAGCCAAAACGTACAACGTTCCTCGAACGTCGCTGTGGGAACGTTTGAAAGGGGTTCGTCGAATGAAGCCAGGAGAGCAATCACGAAAGTTTTCGGCGGCCGAAGAAGACTAAATTGAGCAGCTGCTGTTAAAATGCGCAGAGCAAGGCGTTCCACTGAATAAGTCAATTGTCAGACGAATTGTCCCCATTTTGGCATCCACAAAAGGTATTGTAAAAAGGCGAACGCAACCGGTTTCTAAGCGCAGTTATTTTAAAGAGCAATTAGTTGACGCTTTGCAGTTTTCTAAATATCGGCTGTACGAGTATTAATTAAAGCCACAATTGTACAGATATTCCGGAAAACCGAAAGAAATTTACGTCGTTTTGGCATCGCGAATTTTTGAAGCGCCATCCAAAAATATCGCAGCGTATCTCTCACGGAGTGTCCCGAAAAAAAGCAAGAGAGTGGACACCAACCACTCGTGAAGGTTGGATAAAGCTTCTTAGCGAGCTTAACTGCAGTGGACGGCTGAGCGATCCCCGCGGTGTTTGGAACTTTGACGAGTCCGCGTTTCAAGTGGCAGAGAAAGTGATATCAGTCTATGCGTTGCGGGGTACGAAGAATGTTCTCTCGTATTTTGATGGAAACGATCGAGAATTGATTACGGTTCTCGCTGGTGGAAATGCAGCAGGTGAAATATTGCGACCTCTAATTCTGTTCGACGGGAAAGTGTTTTTGACATCACATTTTCACGAAACGCACGACCGTTGCCACATCGGATTTAATTCATCTGGCGCTATGGACAATGCCACGTTCACCTCGTATATCCGAGAGGAAGTCATCCCTCGAATGACGGCCTAAAAGGTAAAAGAGTGTTTTTAATAAAAACAATATCCAGAAATTAAATTAAATATTGTTGAATCACAGGTGCTAGATTAATCGTTCGTTAACCTTATAGAACACGATATTTTTGGACGGCCATTCGTCTCACATGTTTAATTTGGAATTTCTATCCGAATGCGTTAAATCGGACAAAGATATCTGGGTTGTGATACTGCCATCAGGCCAGACCGGCAAGCTCCAGCCTATGGACATCGCAGTTTTTGGACCAGTAAAGAAATACTGGAGAGACTAATTGCGCAATTTAACTCTTACACCGACAGGCGAGGTAAATACAAAATTTTTCGTCTTTTTTAAATGCAGGTTTTACTGCAAATTATTAGATTCAGTGAAGTTTTTAATTGCTTTTTGTGCAGGTCACGAAACACGATTTTGCTGCTCACCTAGTGAAGAATTGGGACAACTTTAATATGTCTAGCAATATCGTGTCTGGATTTCAATCTAGCGGAATTTATCCTTTCGACCCCGAGGCGATTTGTAAAGCATACGCAGAGCCTGGAGCAGCTCCGTTTCCTGAAAATGTGCCATTGATGGTTGCCACAGTTTATGCGTCGCAGCTGGAAAAAACACGGTCTGCACTGCGAGAAATTCATCTTCTAAGCGAGGCTGCAATTGAAAATGTTATTCAGTATGTGGTGAGACAGGCTAAAGGGTTTCTGCCTGCTGTTGTTCCTGAAAGAGTTGCCGAAGACTGGCACCGCAGCATAATGGGCGCCCACAACCCGAAAACGCGGAAACTGAAAGAATCTCGGCTCCACGCAGAGACGGGCCTGATCGCAACAGATTCCAAAGTTATTGCTGCTTTAGAACAGCGAGAAAACGAAAAGGCAGAGAAATTGAAAAAGTCTAAGAAAGCAGCTCCGCTTGGCTTGACTGACGTTACAAATACACCTCAAAAAAAGAGATTCAGAATGTCAAAAAAGTAAAAGTTGGATCTTACTAACTGAATGTCTTATTGTTTTTGTTGTAAATTTTGTTTTAATTTTTTTTATAGAGAAATAAAATCACGAGTAGTTTTTTTCTAATTTTAGTAGTCCCGATTTGTAATAAACGGAGTACTAGTTATAGTATTATAGTATTTCTGTAAATTTACTTATACAGTGTACCAAGGAAAACAGAAAATAACCGGCGTACGACTACTTGGGATGTAAAAAAGCTTGGGCGCTGTCAGTTAGTGTGCCCATCCACGGTTGAACGTTATGTTAAATGTAGAGCGGCAACCTACCACGTTTGGCAGTTCAGTCAATCGTGCTGTCGACACAGTGTTCAAAGAGTCTCGACTTTGCGAACGCGCTACCGAAGATACTTGTTCCCTCCTCGTATATATTATAACGAGCAGTTTAAGCATGCTTCTGCTGAGAAAATAAATGAAACTGTGGGTCCAAGGAAGCGCAAGCCCCTGAATTTTAGTGCATAAATTATAGGCGGTAATTGTATTTCGAGTCCCGACTGCATGGAAACCAGGTTCTTTCCTTACAAATGCACAGATGCACAAAGCGGCACTCGAAACATCTGTTAATTGAGCCTGGTCATCGGATGCTGTTGCGTTTTATGAAATCGTAGTTACAGTTCACTGGCAATCATTCAGCGGTTTCCAACTCACACAGTTAGAAACCTCTTCGAAGCGCTGATTAGTCAATTCGGTCTAATCAATTAGGTCTAATCGATTAAACTCAATGTAGTTCACACGGTTAATACGTGTGAACTACATTGTATCTATCATAGCACAGCATCTTGACCCTTGTTTGTACGACCAAGGGTGTTGGCAGCGGTTAACTTCTGGATGCCTATCAATGGACACTTGTGCAATTGCGCTTTCGGCTTTGATGGAATGCTTTGCTTTCTCTCCTCATTTGAAAATAGCCGGCTGAACTCCCCAGACCACCACTAAAATCCTTATCCAAAACAGCTAGATAAGCCTTAATTGACCCATTTTTTAAAGCACAGAATGCACAGCAGCCATCTTGGATGATTCTGTGAGTTAGTGTGCCATGCAAATGAATTAACAAAATATATTTTGCAATTTCGTTTGGTTTATAAGTACTTTGATTCAGTGCAGCGGAAATAAAGAATTGATGCATTGCCATTGCTCTTCTTCACCTGCTGAAAGATTCTTCGGTACGTTTTGTAGTTTGATTGTTTTTTATTCTTTTAATAAGCTGTTACTTTACCTAAAATTTACAAGGAAGGAAGACAACTGCTTCATTTTTCCAAAAAATTAACGCAAGTAATTATTTCAGTCAGAAAAGTTTTCTATTGCACCATTATATTTTTGTTCTTGATTTTCTACATGCTCGAATGATATTCGATTATCTGCTAATTATCATTCCTTTCAATTATAGGTATTTTAACACTAGATTTAGCATTAATTTGTTATGCTTAATAACACAAGTGTTATTAAATTTTCATTCAAATCTTCCCTCTCTCTGATTGCAGTTGTTAGGAGAACAACGTTGTGTTGTCCATTGCTAGGCACACATGTGCACTATGCTCAGCCTAATGCGCTACGCTAACAGCGTAGACGTTCTCGGTGACGACGGGATGATGCGCTTCGGGCGCGTGGTGGACGTAACGGAAACTGGTCTCTTCGTCGACATGCTCTATCCCAACCGTCGCCGCGAATACGTTCCGTTCGACCGGCTCTTCTTGCCCAGCGAGACGAGCGAACCTGGACCGTATCTTGCTGATGTTGATGAATTTTCGACTGCTGTGGAAGTCCTAGTACCGGAAACACCGCAAGGTCCACTGATTTGGCTGCCGGGTGAGATGATCAATTTCGGACTGTGTCAGTCGGTGTTCTACTGCGGAGGGGCTATAGTTCACTGGAAAACGAAGGACGGTGCAGTATGCACCGATTTCGTCCCTCGCCATCGTATTCGATGGCCAATGGTGCCAGCACCTGATCTCGATTTTCTTCCAACGGTAAAACGCTGGCGTTGTTTGGCCGAAGGAGACGCTATCGTCTACGATCCCCTTTACCCAGGACCCTTCGTTAAGCGTACGGTGCCGCTCAACGATGATTTAAGCTGGATGTCCAGCGAAGAAGCCGAAGAGCTCATTAAGCGACTGAATGGCTTTGAATTGCGAGCTGATGTTCCTTTTCCATGTACTGTTGACGTGGTGGAGGTTGCGGGTGGCCGCTTGGGTTACGTATTCCAGCTGGGTTACCAAGAATTAGGTGGAGTATATGATCCCAGAGATGGGCGAATTCTGGTAGGAAAGAACTGCTCTGCCTTTACATTGATCTTCTTAAATATGCTCTACTTTTTAAAATACGACACGTGTGCCCGTATTTCGGACACGTTTGAGCTTGCACTGGTGGAAATTATAAATTGGTCGCCTGTTACCACCTATGTGTCGAGCTGCTTAAGTAAATGCCGTGCGCCTACGCATCTGCATGCGGTATTTAGTATTACTTACCAAACCTGATTATTATTGTATGATAAACATGGTTTTCTCAGGAATACAAAGGTAACCCAGTTTATAACAATGTAAAAAGACACTTTGCGAAATACGGGAGAACAGAACTACAGTTGTGTGCGGATTTTCAGGCTTCGCTCGCCAGTTTCCACGCGGAGCTGATAAGACTGTCCCCGTTGTCTCAAGGGATCCCGACAATTCATCACCAGACGGCGCTGCGGGTGGAATTATGGCTAGAAGTGTTTTCGCACTTAGACACGGTGGCGCAGACGAAGCTGTGCGCGGTATGCGCAGCGTGGGACACGCTGATGGACACACCGGCGCTGCGGAGATGTATAATCATCGGGGACTACGTTGCTTCTAACTTTCGATAAGCCGCGATTTTACGCATGGCCGCTGTGTACAAACGACTGCAGCCTCGCACGCAGCATGTTGCAATGGCTTCTTTCCACGTTGAAAACAGCCCGATGACCATCGCTGACTTGAGGATGCTGTGTGCCATGATTCACTATGTAACTCAGCATCGAACCGGCGTCCGAGTGCAAAGTCTGTATCTTAGTCGTTTTCGCTTCGGCCTGCAGATGAACTGCGCCGTGGATAATGTGGGCAAAGTGGAATGTCTCGTGCACCAGGCGGATCCGGAGACGGTCAAGGAGATTGTCGAACTCGGTTCTTATCAGCTAAATGATTTTCTTGCTCTATGCGCTCGTTTGCCGTGTGATGCCATCCATCTGAGCAACTGCGCGGTTCATTTGCGCTGCGGCTGTTTTTCTCGCATATCGGATCACTGGGCCTTTCGGCTCTTCCGCGTTGAGATAGCTGTTCCTGAAGCGCGACTGCTGACTGGTGGGGATTTCCGCTTCGCACTGTGGGATGCAATGGACGCGGCTCTGTCCGTGCCCGATGAGCAGGACCTGCGAGACCTATGGTTCCGACTGGAATGGGATGAAGACAATGTCAAACTCAGGAAGGTCATCTGCACGGTAGGCTTCACTGTATTAGATCGTACTGTTATAATGTAGGACTAATAAGTGGAAAGAAAAGTCATATTCTCCGAGATGTCAGCAACTCAATGGGGCTTTAAGGTCAAACATTTACCAAATAAATATCCATGCGGAGAAAAGGGGAAAATACGTTTATAAGATTGTCGTAACTTGATGCGCACACCATTTTGAGTTCTTTTAGGTGTTATGCGGCCTGCAGTCAGTGGATCCGCGTCCGTCGGCACATTATCGCGGAAAACAGTGGTGCGTAGGCGGGCTGGAACTCAGCCTGGAAGGTGTACAGCTGGTGAAACTGTCGCGCATCAGCCGGCACTTTCTCGTTAAACTGCAGCACGGTATACTTTGGTAACGCTGCTACCGTTGCCAAACGAAGTATACGCATGATGCGCCACAAGTTCGATTAGAGACGCAGTATTCTGCGCGGTTCGAAGGTTAGTTTCATCATAAAAGCATTTGTTAGCACTTTTTTGAAAGGTAAAAATATAAACAATGTATCGTACGCCGTTTCTGTTACTTTACTTAGATTGCTGCATCACCTTTTTTATCTGGGTTCGGAAACTTTTGGTATAATATGTGTAGAGGATGCTTTGAATTGAAGTCAGTTTATGAACGACAATGGAATTCATCGACAATCGAAATAAACAAACAAACGCACGGATGCCCAATGAGTAGATTGTTAGTTATTCTCGACACTGAAGAAGGTGCAGTACAGCAGGTATTTGATGTGCAATACATGTACAGATATGTATCGACATTTGGGTCACTTTGCGCCAACCACCTTCAGAGTATAGCTCAGAACACAAAAAATTTAATCTTCTACTCTATTCTAGTGTACCTGTCTTTTTTACTAAATCCATGGCGGCATGTACAAATTACTCGTACATGCTCTAAATTGCTCTAACATAGAATAAAAAATGAAATTAAAGCAACGGCCTTTCACATACGGTAGTGCGATCTGGTAAGCTGATGTAAATTAGCTAAAACATTAGCCGCACGAACCTACGAATACGATTTACCAGAATCTGAAAAGATCAGATAATGGCGCGGTCAGATCGCAGGCCTCATCCAATTAGAACGTCCCATGTAGACGAAAGAAGAGCGAAAACTGACAGGTGGTTTGGATTTTGGAAACAGGGTGGGAAGCGTCCGATAATGTGCGCAGTCATGCTGCGCTCATGGTAAGCGGGTCAGTATTTAAACGATGCTCTTAAAACACCTAACTGGAAATGCTTATACAGTACTTCCAGGAGCAATCGACTGTTCAAGTTGGAAAAGGATGTGCGGGGTCACGAAGCAGCTATGATTACGATTACCGGAATCGAGAAACACCAGTTTACTGTGCGGCCAGATCGCAGGCCTAATTTATTAGAACGACGTCCCGTACGAACGGAAGAAGAAACAAAACTAAAATTAGGTTTAGAAATAGTATGGGCAGTGAAAGGGCTGGGCTAGGCTCGCACAGACACTCGCAAAAAATCTGCCGATTGAGGGAATCGAACCCACAACCTGCATACTCTACGGCCGAGAGAGGCACCACTAGGCTATCGGCAAAGCATACAAATCTATTGAAATATTCTATCGAACGATCCTATAGAGAGCGGATGCCGCTCTGACAGCAGCTTCCAATAATGTGTCTGGTCCTGCTACGCGCATGGCAAGCTGGTCAGAACACGTAGTCACACATGGGGAACCGCTTCTGCGACAACATCTATCGCTACAGCCATGTCAGGTAGCGTGATGCTGCTGATGGTTTATGGTGGTGAGTGACCTTTACCGAATAGCTAACTCAAACACGACACAAACCCAATCGTTCTGCTAACGTTGACCTTTATGTAAACTCATTCAAGCTAGCTAACGCTGCAACAACATCAAGGCTAAGAAGACATTCTAGTTAACACTTTCCAAGACCAGATATTCCAGAGCGGCTTGCCATGGAAGGTGACATTTATTCATTAACAAGTTCTTCTCTCTCAAGCAATCAGAAGTGATTCCAAAATATGAAAGATGAGAGAATACGCATTCAACTCAAAAGCACTCATAGACAAACCATGAGTCAACAATTTATTGATTGTTTTATGAAAGATCAAAGTACACTTAACACGACACTAACTGGGTGGTACTTTCTGGCCACTTCCTTCCGTTGCAAACCACATCACAGTATGACTGTCCATACAGAATGTGCTTCTACCAGTCGTACTCGTGAGAGCCCCAAAATGATGAATCCGATTCTCGACCATACAGTACTCTCCGGTATTCATCGTTCTGGATGATGCATCTAACTTCAGCGATTGTTTCCACCTCAAATATTTCGAGTAGAATTTTATCGTCCAGCTTAGGTATATTGCTCCAAATAATCCGGTTGCCGCATCCAAATCCCGTCGTCGAGGGCTTCGCATCCGCAGCTTTGACCGAAAGCTTCTCAACGGGATTTTTTATTGGTGTCAGCTCGTCATCGATCCATTTCAAAGTGTACTTGAACAGGGATTTCGCTCGGGATTCGAATACTTCGCTCACTCGAGTACCGCAGTTGGTCGCACCATCACACCCTTCCGTTCTCCACCATACCAGTCCACAGTAGGGACAAGCCTTAATTAAATTTCGCGGATCCGTTTTGTCAAACAGATTGTACGTCATTAGCGGGGTGACAGAATTGACAAAACGATCGCAGATCTTTATATTCTCCTTCTGTATTTCCACGCACAACGCGTAATACTCCAGCTCAGTCATCTCCTTGCCATGCTTGGTTATAAATTCATCGTAGAGGTCATCGAGATCGTACCTGAACTGGACAATCATGATGTGAAAGACCTCGTCCTTGTCTTCATTGAATTCATTTTTTATTCGGTCGCGAAGTCTTGCGTAGTCACTAAACACTTTTCGCACAAGTTTTCTGTAGTGATCGAAGGATCGCCTCATACGGATTTCCACCTTATAAAAGTTAAAGTTGATATCGAATTCGTCATCAGATATTTCTAGCCGCCTGGGCTCCATGCGAGACATGCAAGCGTACATCAGATTGGCAACGGAACTGGAGTCGCTTTGGTGCGAGAAAAAACATAATGTTGGCAATGTTTGGACTGACTTCTGTTAGCAAAGTGCAGATAGTTGGAAATTCGCTATTATGGTCGTTAGCATTATCCATGTGCGAAATCAGGATGACGATTTTATTGGTGAAATTCCCGACCGGTTGCTCCACTTGCAGGTAGTTGTCGATCATTTTATTATAGTGGCTCTTGTATTTCAGTACGATGAAGATTGTATTGAGCTCCGTTGCTGTCAGCCCGGCACGCAAAAGAACGGTATGTTTATACGTGTCGGTTTGGGCATCGGTCCCCGGTGTATCGATAAGAGAAAACGGGTTGCTACCGACGCTGACGTCACTCCTGAGAAGTTGCTGTGTCACGTTGCCGTTCCATGCACCGGAAAAATGATCCGGGTTACACAGTTTGTTACCGAGAGTAGTTTTGCCAGCCCCAGTAAGACCGATTAGGATGCCACACGGTCGATTGCTGTTAAAGTGGGCCTTTGCGGTAACTGCGTTCTTTATCAGGGGTTGGCGGTACATTCTTTCTTCGGTTTCGAAGCCGGTAATGGACGGCAAAGTTGCGCTATACATAACACTCAATGCCATTAGCTCACCAAGATTGCTGTTGTTGGCGCGGTAGTTGCTCGTAAGAATGTACAACTAATACTAACATCTGTAAATGCTGAACTGACTTAATTAATACCATGACTCACGACTACATTGTTTCGTAACAGTAACACAGTGACATCTGTAGCTGACTGATTAGATGGCAGAGGTAGGGCTCCCAAACCATGGAAAAGGGAGCTAGTCATATCATATCACAACGTCTAAAGGATTAGATAAAATGGTGGCCGTCGGCCACCATGTGCCGTTTATTTAGTTGTCCGCTAATGAGGGTCGTTTCTATGACCCTCATTAGCGGCGGACTAAATAAACAGCACACAACATTTAAGAATAATTTGGCTAAGGATCGGCCGAACATTTCGTTGGAAAAGACTTCCTTGAGTTACACCTTACTTCTTAGATTTCCCAGGTTCCTTAGGTTGCTAAGAAGCCTAGGAAAACCTAACAAACGTATTATGAAAACGTAAAAAATTCAAAACCTCTTAGAACTCTAAAAATCAAAATTACCGTAGAAATCTTAAAAGAAAAGTTTCGAAGAAACTTGAGAAGGAGGGCCTACCGGTTATTATGCCACGTACGAGCGCAAAAGAGCGAATACAATCATGATTGATGTATGCAGTACTTGTAAATAAAGCACTAGTACTGTAACTAGTTAAAATGGTGTAATGCCGGCCACATTCCGGTAAAGTTGCCCAAAAGACATTAAAACAAGGAATGCCGCAACAAATACATGTTGACAATAATACGCTTGTGCAGTGGCCACAGTTGTACATCCAGTATGAGAGATATTTCGCAAAAATACGCTTTTAAATGCTACCATCGTACCTTTTAAAATTTTGCAGTTGCACGCACGCGAGCACCTCTTATAAGGAAAGTTCGCTGTTGAAGATTTTAATCAATGCAGCTAAACTGCTCAAAGGCCTATGTATACACTATTTTGCAATCGCAGCCTACAGCTTTTATATCGTGCTGGTCTCCCGCAAGGAACGGCATCATATTCTGGGTTGGGTTTGATTATGTGGTGCAAACAAATTGTGACGCACAGATGATTAGATAAAGCAGTATGAGTAAGCGCACTTTGTTGGCTCAAGTCTCGACACAAATGAACACATCGCTACTCCACATCACCAAACCGATCAAAAACCGCACAACAAAATGGATACTTCTACAGTTAATGCGAGCGGAAAAGATTTGAAATGCCAGTTATGCATTGTCAGTAGTAGTGCAATCGAATTCGGGAGTGCACTGAGCGGCAGGGTGAGCTAAACGTTTCCTGTTAGGTAGGTTAGTCTAAACGGTCGCTCACTCCCATACCCAGCGGCCAGCGTTCCAAACACAGGCGGAGCAGTGCACGGTGCTACGAAACTCTAATATCCGGCTACCGTACACGTACACTACAGAATGCTGGTTATAGAAGTGCGTGACCGTTTACTCTTGGAATAAAGTTTATCCAAGCTTTATCTTATCAAAAAAATCACTGCAATTGCACATGAACCCGACCTGCGCAAATTTACGAACTGTACCCCAGTCTACCAAACTTCGATCGTCCCTTGTGGCAGGCTTGCTCGCTGAACAAAACTCATAAATATTGTTATGCAGAACAACATCCCATTATGATATACTTCCGGTACTTTGAAATCACCGAGTGTTATCGCCGTGAGTCATAGATTACGAGTGTCAAATTATAAGGATTTTCTTCTAACTTTGGGTGCGATAATAACATTTTGTGGTCCAGGCTTTGCACTCGTTTTGCTACAGACTGTAGCCTAATGTACAGTATATCAATGTTTTCAGTTTTAGTAAAGCTGGCTCATGTGTCACCATTCTAACCGCCAAAAATTTTTTAAGTGAAGCACATTTTTCTGTTAAATGATAGTGCAATATTCTGAAAGAGGAAACTCTCTCCAGTTTTCTAGTTTAACCAAAGCTTTAAAACCGCTGGAAACTTCGCTTTAAGGGATTTGGCCCGGTACATAGCACCAATTACGTGTACATACGCGGGAATATTCGCTTTCGCGCACTTCCAAACACTTTTTTGGGTTGTCTTTGGACATAGTGTAGCCTAATGATTTGTAAACATAGGCGTGAAATCCGTTTTCGCGCGCAACATCCAGTTCGGCAGATATGGGTGATAGAAAATTCCAAAAAGCTTAAATGCATTCAGGTGTACCAAAAGTCTCTCATTATGGACCGATCCCTTTCAAATTTTGCACGTAAATGCACATAAACATGAAGATCGTTCTTACACGGATCCAGACTTCCACGATTTTTTTCGAATTTTAAAATGAATTTTAAAATTTTTGAAATTTATTTTAAAATTTTAAAAACGTGCTAGAACAGTGGATCGGTTTAAGAACGATCTTCATGGTAATGCGCATTTACGTGCAAAATTTGAAAGGGATCGGTCCATAATGAGACTTTTGGTACACCTGAATGCATTTAAACTTTTTGGAATTTTCTTACAGCTATAACTCCCGAACCGGATGTTGCGCGCAAAAACGGATTTCACGCCTATGTGTACACATCTTTTGGCTACAAACACCATAAAGCAATGCAAAAAACTGTTTTGGGAGTGCGCGACAGCGAAAGTTCCCATGGATGTACACGAATTTGGTGCTATGTACCGGGCCAAATCCCTTAAGGCCCACCCATGCAATGGGAGGTCCATTCTTTCATGAAAGAACTAATGGCAGGTCTTGCGAAATTCTGAAAATGTTTACGAAAGCTCCTTAGAGGTTAAATCAATCAGCTGTCGATAAGGCTATGTATAATGCATTAGACGTGCGTACTTTCGTATTAGCAAAGAATGGGTTCACCCAGTTGCACATGGCTGCACATAATGAGATAGCGTGCACTAACGGTAAATATAGCTTAAGTAAACCATATCAGCGAACTCAAGCACTATCAGAATGACACTAGAAAGCGCTGCATATTACACGGTAGTAGTGTCCGGTGAATAGTTTATTCGCCGGGGCGTTCTTGTGTGTTACTTTCGTGAATCACACAAACCAAGTCGACTCTGCGCTCATGCCATACCATAAAGGCGTTTCGCAAGAAAAGTCTCAAATATGATTATGTGGAAGTGGAAGATCACGGGGCTTCTACAAAGAAGAGTTTACTGGATCAAACGGGAAAACTACAAAAACTACATAAAAGTGATTCGAGTCTGATCATTTCCATCACAAATGCATCGAGTCAACATCACTCGCCGCCGGTTGGCGGCTGTATCGTACGCCGAGCTGTAACAAATCGTAGACGTGCCCATGTTTAGGTAGCGCTATAGCCTATGGGTTGCCAAGAAATAGCGAATGCGACCAATTTCCGCACGTTAATGCACAAAGTTCAACAAAGTCAATGTTTCTGACCAGTGACGACATGTTTTTATGAAATACATCTATGTCTACTACAATTTCCGGGAGCCTATTTGCTAAGACAACTGTATCGCACCCGCCATGCTGTACTATGTATTATGATGACTATTATCGGATACTATTCGTAAGCACTGAGATTTTGCCAGGATTCTATTAATAACCGCCCATAAAAAGTCACAAGTATTACATCAAACAAAAAGGAAACCAACAAAATAAAATCCACAGAAAACGCCTTAAATACATACGATAGTATAAAGTAGGATTAAAAACAGCATTAAGCTGGGGTGTACTATTATGTAAAAGTGACAGTAAAACTGATAAAACTCCCGTGGACGGCAATTTTCGCGTCTGCGGATCCTGACGAAACCATTGATTCTAACGGTGGAAAGTAGTGTCAGTATCCGCCGCACAACTGGCTTGTGCAATTTGGAATTAGCAACGGGGCCATCAGGCGAGCCGAGGGTATGGGAGGCGTAGCGCGCTTAGCCTCTGTCATTTCGGTAGAACAGCCATCACGTTGAGACACATAACAAACTCGAATCTTTTAGTATTTATCGTATGTGCACTGTGCAAATCGCATTCACATTTTTTACACAATATTTATGCACAAAGCTGGCTAAACAATATTATGATCAAGCTGGCTCAGTCCCATATTTCGCCAAAGCCAATATCCCATCTGCCCGCGGTCCGGCGCGGCCACGACTTGGAGGACGAAGCGGCAGATTACTTCTGTAAAGTGGCCTCAAGTGACGAGACGCAGTTGAGTGCATTTAGGATTGGTTTCTGTATAAACCCGTGGGAACCGTGGATTGGAGCTTCTCCTGACCGCCTGATTCGCGAAGAGAACGTTCTAACTGGCGAAATCACTTGGGCACTGATTGAAATAAAAACCTTCGACACAAAAAAGGAACCCTTTGAATTGCCATATGTAGTTGATGACGGCAGCGGTTGCTTCGTTCTGAAACGATCGCATGAACATTTTTATCAAGTCCAGGTTGCCATGGCGTGCACAGGGATCACAACTTGTTACTTTTTTGCCTATTCTAGTGCAGAGAAAGATCACTTTTTGGAAAAGATATCTCTGGCAAGCGATGCAGTCGAATTTATTTTTGAGCGATGCGCTGAGTATTACTTTAAAACGTTTCTGCCCTTGCGATCCACAGTATCTGTGAAAGGAGCATGAAATAAGGTTGTTGTGTAGTGTTTATTTGTGTTGAACAATAATTAATAAGTATCTGTAAACTGTAACCTGTGTTCTGTATTTCTAACTAATATTCTGTAACTTGTTAATTTTATAAGGTTGGAAATAGTATTTATGGTTTCATTTAAATTTTTCGCAGATAATTAAAAAATCGGGCGCATGAGCAACACCATACCTTTCCAGTACATATCACTAATTGTTAAAAACAAACATAAAAAAATGTTTTCTTTACAGATACAGTACACGAAATAACTGAACGAAGAACCGAACTAATTTTTAATATTATGTTTAAGAAACAGGCAATGCAATACAAGAATAGTGCATACACTAACAAAAACAAAAAAAATTAACAAATACTGTGTAGAAGTACAGTTACAAAAAATTTAAGGAAGTGGTTCATAGGAGCCATCCGGGCATTCGATAAGCAACAGGCGATCCAGCGTCAGCTGGGCCAACAGCTCGGTGCTCATTTCTTCGTCCTCCTCGCTGATTAAGTCAAACGTGTCACCATTTTCGTCGATTAATTCATCGTTTTCGCATACTCGTAGCGGTGGTAGAAATTTACATAAATTAAAAACAACCCGGACTTCGGTGTCAATACGTTGAAGATCAGTTATCCGAAGCGGTCCCCTTATTTGATTAAACGTTTTGGCACGACCAATCGTATTCTCCACCACTATTCTGGCTCTAGCGATCTCGGCTGTATCTTTCAGCTTCTCAGCAGACATATTCTCATTTTTTCCAACGCTCGGCGGCACAATCCACTGAAATCCTAAATTACGGGCAATTTCAGTAAGCTGGAAACCGCGTTCTGCAAGAACTACATCGCCAAATGTTAACTTCTGCAAGAGCTCAGATGCTTTCACGATGGCAGGATCAGAAATCGATCCTTGGTACGGATGGGACAAAAAACAGGGATTACCGTCGGCCTCGCAGCCGACCAGAAGCTTTATTGTATAGCTCTTCTTATAACTGGACCAGCATTTTCGTGCAGCATCTGGGTTTTTTGGTTTCTCAATTTTAATCTCAAAACAATCCACAATCATAGTTATCTTTGGGAAAAGGGCAGCAATTTTAGCTGGCAGGGGCAAAGGATCGACATTACGATATGGAAACTGACGAAACACTGCCATCATCCGCTCGTCCATAACTTCCAACCAACAGTTATAATACTCCCCAACTGTTCGAGAATCAATTCCAAAAATCGCTCCAAGCACTTCGTATGTCATCCCAGTGCGCAGCTTCATCAGTGTCAGAAAACACTGATTAAAATAATTCAAGGCCAGTGGATTACCAGATTGCTTTGAGCGGTCCGGGTACGGATTTCTTCCCGATCTTTTTTTAATCATTATTGTGTCTAACAATTCTGGGTTATTGCCACCAAAGACGGCACCGTAAATCGTTGACAACGCTAAATACGACGGCAGCCCGGTCAAGTTTTGAACTGCATGGTCCCGGCCAGCAAACTTTTCCACACGAAATTCTTGGCGCCCCAAACGGTTTTCCAACGTCTTTTGATACGATTTTGTGTCCAGCACTTCAGTAAGCAGTTCCCCAATACGCGTGTTCTAAAAGCAAAAAGAATTCTTCGGATGTTTTGTAACATGTAAAAATAAAACAATTGTGTACACTGTACAAGTACTGTAGTTATACGAGTGCATAAATATAAAGGCACATTAAGAGTACTTGTTTATTGTGCGCATATTCCGAGTAAGTAATTAAAAATACATTATAAGTATTATAAGTAAGAGTACTTATTACATAGTTTGTTTTACAGTATAACTCTAAAAAAAAACATTTTGCACTCAGCGACTCAGACGACTACTTACGCTGCGCCCTTCATTCCGTCGCATTTCTTCTTTAAGATGACTTACTTCCGCATCCTTTGAACGTATTATTTCTTGCAAACGTAAAATTTCAGCGGAAAACTTTGTGACATCGGACTGCAACCGTTCAAGATCAACAAAGCTTGCTTCTGTTTGCACTGACGTTGCAAGCTTTCGCTTTTTTCTTGGCGTAGTAGACAATGGTAGATCGCAGCGCACTTTTGGGATTTGGCGCGAGCGAGCGGGTTGACAGTTTGCGGGATGAACTGTACTAGGAAGACATTAAAATTGCGAGGGTACGGCAGTTTTCAAGAGGAGCTTTCTTTTTGAATCTTTTCCACGTTTGGTTTTTGTTATGAAATCGGACGCCAAAAAGTGAGCGCTGCAGACACGAGTTTCGGAGCCCGGTTCCCATTTTGACTCCCGTCGGATGCGGTGTAGCCATACGGAATACCGAGGATCCGCTTTGTCCGGCAGCCTTAGGAATGAAATTTCTTCTGATCCTGGCCGATTCTGATAGTGGATGCATCGCGGTACACAACAGTTTATGCCTCCTCTCTAACGAAAAAACATCGTTATTTAAAGTACAACTTGAACACCTGCAGCGCAATCGTTTTCTGAGAGCAACGTTAGAAACACTGATATATGTACTAGTTTGTATTTAGTAATACGAAGTTATTATCCCAGCATTTGAAGTACCATGAATAGACACTAGACAGATCAGATTTGTTTTATTTAAGAGCGATTTATTTTGCATACCTTGGTCGAAGAAGATGGGAGAGCCTCCGAGTCCGACATAATCCACGGCGTAAAAGTGAATATTGCTGTTTACAAAACTGCATTTAAAACTTTGAACAATAAATCGCTAGAATGGTTGATCCTGCCAAACTAGAACTCGAATAATGTGTATAACAACGGATTTTGTTGAGAACTGCAGGAAAAACTAAATGTGTGTAACAGTGTGTTTGCAACATTGTTAAAACTGTACAGTACCCGAAATGTATTGTACAGTATTGACTACACGCAGTAATACTGTAGGTATTCGTATGGCTCTACTGCACAGCTCTGCTTGATTAGCACTCGGAAACTGTAGTTTCTGTACAGAGCCGCCTTATACTGCGTGTAGGTACAGCTGTTGTTAAGCATGCGCGCATTTGCAAAGACATGTGAACGAATCCAATACGATTCCGGTTATAAGAACAGCCGCAAAGAATAAATTGCTGTGCCTGAATGGTTTACTCATATTTTTTTAAAAAAAGCATAGTCACAAGAAAATTCATTCGTGCACACGTGGTCTCTCTACATGGACATGAATAGATGAAGTAATCACCGTGCACACTTAAAAATCTGGATTATGCCAGCATTTTTCCCGTAGACTCATATGGTATAAGCGAGCACGCGGTTCTACCGAAATGACACAAAGGAAGCCGAAATCACACCTCATTAGTGATGGCCCCGTTGCTAATTGCTCAGTTTTTACAATACTCCGCACTTCCTCCATGGTTTTTACTTGAAAGATTTGGAAGAGAATCTCATCACTGAGTTTCGGCATTTCCGTCCACACAATGGTTCGATCACATCCCACGCCTTTTCCTAGTGGCGTGACGTCGGTCACTTGGCTGGTGTGTTTTTTTACTGGGTTTTTCGTGTGGGTTAGCTCGCCGTTCACCCACTTGAGAGCGTACTTAAACAGGTCTTTCGCTCGGAAATCAAAAAAGGAAGTAACACGGTTCCCACACGTGGTGCGACCATCGCAGCCCTCTGTTTTCCACCAGACCAGACCACAGTGAGGACAAGCCTTGATCAGGTTCCGTGGATCCGTGTTATCGAACAGATTGTACGTCATCAGCGGCGTAACTGAACTGACTAGCCGATCGCAAACCTTTACATTTTCTTTCTGCATTTCCACACACAATGCGTAGTATTCCAAGTCAATCATTTCTTTGCGATGCTTATTCACAAACTCTTCGTAAAGGTCATCGAGTTCATACTTGAATTGCACAATGATCACGTGGAAGAGCTCATCCTGGTCGTCCTCCGGTTCATTTTTGGCTCGATCGCGTAATCTCGCGTAGCCGGCAAAAAGCGTTTGCGTTCGCTTTATGTACTGCTCGAACGATCGTTTCATATTTATTTTGATTTGATACCAGTTAAAGTTGGCAAGGAATTCGTCGTCCGATATCTTCAGCCGCTGCGGCTCCATATGCGACATGCAAGCATACATTAAATCAGCAATAGCACTTGGATTACTCTGGTCGGAGAAAAAGATAATGTTAGCAATATCCGCGCTGGCTTCCATTAGTTTACTGCAGATTTTGGGAAACTCCTGCTTATGGTCGTCTGCGTTATCCATGTGCGAAATGAGAATAACAATTCGTTTGGTGAAGTTGCCGACCGGTTGCTCGACTTGAATGTAGTTTTCAATCATTTTATTATAACGATTCTCGTATTTCAACACAATGAAAATGGTATTCAGCTCCGTTGCCGTTAGTCCCGCACGCAGCTGAAATGCGTGTTTGTATGTGTCGGTATGGCTATCCGTGCCGGGAGTGTCGATCACAGTGAACGCGTTATTTCCCACGCACACATCGTTCCTGAACAGCAGTTGCGTCAGGCTGGCTTCGGAGGCGCCCGATATGTGTTCAGTGCCGCATAGCAGATTGTCCAGAGTGGTTTTCCCGGCTCCAGTTTGTCCGATCAAGACGCAACACGGTTTTCTGCTATTCAATTGGGCTTTTGCGGTTATACTGTTCTTTATCAACGGATGATACATTATTCCAGCAGGTTCTTCTGAAATCCTAACTGAGAAATTATAGTTGAAAACTGTTTAACTTGCCACCTCTTCTTCGTCAAAAGGTCACTCAGCAATGACAAGCCGCTGTTTCGAAGTTTGTCAACCAAAGCATCGGAATTCGGAACAACTCTACCACTGCTAAAACGAATGCAGAAATGAATAATGTAATGCACGAAATGAATTATACGGTTTAGTTTTTAATACCTTTATACCAAATAAACAGGCCGTTTATTAAGTATGTACGTACTATCAGTAGCTGAGTAATAAAGGTAGAGTATTCAAAGCCAACGAGCGAGACTGAGTGTATCAGAAGTTTAAAGAAATTGTCAGGTAAACGGTAGATTAGATAAGTTCTAGTGAACGAATCCAAAAGTACAGAGGCAAAATATTTACCAATTTTCGTCGTGCAGTACAGCTACGATATCACTTCGAAAACAAAAAAGAACTGAATTTCGTATTCTACGAGGAAGAAAATTTGCTGATCTAAAATGGCAAAATGGATACGTAAATACTTAATTATGAGTCATGTGAATATAGTTAATTATCACAATAATAACGAGTCGTTTTGAGATTTGCAGGTCTGCAGATGCAGGTCTCTGTACAGTATGATTTGATGCTAAATAATAAGCGCTACACGCAGTGAGATTTAGGACAGAATTTCTTTGTTTATATTTTGTATATGAGACCGCTCAATCGTTGATTCACTATTTCCTATCCACGTCTTTAAGGACAAAGTTGACGCATACTTTGGACTTAGAATACACCCGATTTTTCAGTCATCACCTAAAAAACTGCAATACATGTGCTCCATTAGCTTTCATTTGTCGTTAAAATAAACAAGTATGAGCTTGTATGCATTGTGCATGACTAACGAATCCCTTGGCTATGTCATCAACGATAATATACGACAATAATGGCGGAAAGGGAAAATTGTTTTAACAATAAATTGTAGTTATGGGGCAGTTTTTGGCTATTCACCACCAATCAATCGCTTATGGTAGCACAACGTGGTGTCGATCAATGCCTGATTAACCGAGGTAGGGCTCAAGATATAAAATGAAGCTGTGCCGCATGAAATTTTATGGGATTAGATAACGCTGCTGTATGGTCAACTCAAAACGCTCAAATATTGTTGGCTCGGCATCGGTTAACAGTGTTATGGTCTAATATTGTTAGCGCAGAATTTCACTGTTGAAATGCTGCCATCGTAAATGCAAACATTCGCCCACTGCACGCAATGTAGATAAGGAAGACCGCATGGAAAGTACTGTTATTAATTTTGATGCCTCCCCTAGTAGCATTTTTATTACCCGTGCTTTTCTGCCTAGCCCATATTCACAACGCGTTGTGAAATATGGGCTAGCCAGGAAAGCAAACATTACGAACAATTTACGGTTAATCATGCAGGCTTTTGTACCTTTATCAAACTAAGACGGGCTTATTGGAAAGTTTAAGCAAAATCTGAAAATGTAGCCCAGATCAGACTTAGGATGACTCAGGCTTGAGCAGGCGTGCCTTAATGATTTCTGCACATCATGTGCAACTCAGTACAAGTACGAGGCGGGAATCGGTCAAGGAAGCTGCAATTAAAGGAAAACTACATCCCCGTTAGCACGAAATGAAATTGGATATGTTATCCGCAATCACTGACATCTGCTTGCAAATAAAGCACTATTTTCCTAGGTTCGATAAGAAGAGTTTATAAACAAAAAACCCTAAACAAAATCAGAAAAGGTTTAAGCGCAGCACACATATGACATGAAATCCTGTAGTATGGAAAGTGATATCCAAAAATAAAATGCCCGATTCATGAACCGAAGCCACTACGAAGTGCGCGAGCGCCTTTGACAAAGTAGTGTTTGCCGGCAAAAAGATGGAGTATAAATTCAGGTATTAGTGGCTGTTTTAGCGTTTTATTTTGTGCGTATGGAGTGCGAAGCGTGTTGTGATGAGCCGCAGTTGTTTTGTGAAAAAGAGCAGTAATCTCATTACTAAAGCGGGCGACAGTCGTCCACGCGTCTTTTTTTTCAACATACTTGTTTCGCATCAAAAAATGATAATATAAAGTCAGAAGAAAGAAGCAATATTTTTCATTTATTTGAATGTAATTCTGCAATAATACAAATCAAGGGAAAATAGCTCCTTTAATAAAATCCCACAATCCCACTGCCGCTGGCTAAATAATATATTGAGGGCACAATGTCTCCGCTGTGGTCACTGTCTGAGGTCTCCATGGATGCATCCACGGATGTGTCATTCAAAGTTATGTCCAACATTTCCACGTCATGCTCTCCGACTACCTCGCTTGAGTCTGGTCTGTGCCATTGCAGGATGTTCTTAATCTCCTCCAGCGTTTTTACCTCAAACATTTGCAACAATACTTCATCATCAAGTTTAGGCAGTTCGTTCCATACCATTGGTCTGCCACACCCAAGGGCGCTTGCGGATAGTGCTGGATCAGTAGCGCTACCGGAAGTTTCAACGGGATTATTCAAAGTGTACACTTCACGCGTCTCCCCAGGATTGTTCGTAGTGTCCACTTCAAGTTTCTTTTCGGGAATGTTCATAAGAACCTCCTCACGCATCTCGGCGGGATCGCTCGCACGGTCCAACCCACGTTTCTCAACAGGAACGTCCGTAGGGTCTACCTCCATCTCAACGGGACTGTTCGTTGGAATTACCTCAAGTATCTCAACCGGATTGTTTGCAGGGGCCAAATTTCTCGCTTCAACAGGATCTTCCGTAGATTCCCGCTCAGAAATCTCAACGGGATTGTCCGTAGGGCCTAATTCCCCGGTCGGAACGGGATCACTAGTAGCGACCTCCTTTCCCGTCTCGACAGGATTCTCCATAGGCTCCTGTTCACGCACAAAAAAGGGATTGCTCGCAACGACTACCTGCAACTCCACAGGAAGGGTCGCAGGGTGCACCTCATGCAGTTTAACAGAACTGTCCGTAAAGTTAACTTTACACATCTGAACGAGGTCGTTCGTACTGATTCCGTCGCAACTGAGAGTAGGAACTAAATTCCCGCACGTAACAACACCATCGCACCCGTCCGCTTTCCACCACACCAAGCCACAGTGCGGGCACTTTTTAATAGTATTTCGTGGATCGGTTTTATCCAGCAGATTGTATGAAATCAATGGGATCACGGAATTGATCAACCGATCTGAATTCTTGGCATTCTCTTTTTGCATCTCGATACAAAAAGCGTAATATTCCATTTCACTTAGCTCGCCTTTGTATTTGATCGAATACTCCCGGTAAAGGTCATTAAGATCGTACTTGAACTGGACAGTCATTTTATGGAATTCCTTGTCATTGTCTTTATCCGAACCAGTTTGTATTCGGTCACGTCGTTTTGCGTAGCCGTCGAACCGTGCCTGCATCTGATTATTATACTGTTCCAGTAATTTTCCAGTATTCGACTTAATTGCCTGCAGGTTGAAACCGAAGCAAAAGTCTGCGTCCGATATTTCGAGCGGCTCAGGTTCCATGTTCGACATGCACGAGTATATCAAATCCGCCAGCGTACTTGGATCGCTGAGCTTCGAGAAAAATATAACATTGGCGATGTTCGGACATGCTTCGGTTAACGAGCCACAAATCATCGGGAATTCTTTCTGGGGATCATCAGCGTTGTCCATGTGCGAGATGAGAACGATGATTTTATTCGTATAGTTACTGACCGGTTGCTCCGTTTGCAGGTAGTTGTCAGCCATCTTGTAGTATCGGTTGCAGTATGTCAGCACGACCAAGATGGTGTTAAGCTGGGTTGCTGTCAGTCCTGCACGCAACACTAGTGCATCTTTGTACATGTCGCTGTAACTCTCCGTACCGGGCGTGTCGATTAAACAAAAGGCGTTGTCCCCGACGTTTACATCGTTTTTCACGAGGTGCCCAGTCGCGCTCCCTCCAGTTGCGCCCAGTGAAAGGCCGCTATGGCATAATAGATTGTACAGTGTTGTTTTGCCGGCTCCGGGTTCTCCTATTAAAACGCCACAAGGTCTTTTGCCGTCTATGTTGCTTCTGGCTTCCGTCTTATTCTTGACCAGAGGTAGGTACATTTTTCCAGTCAGTGGGTTTTCCTGCACTCAGACACCGTGATGATTTATAAAGTTATAGAACTGCGGTGATTTGCTCAAGCGCAGATGTGCATTTGGCCGCATTTACTCGTACAGCAGCTGCAGGAATTGCTTGCTATTTTCGCCGCAATGGCCGACTCCACACCTTACCGAGTGCCGGATACAAAAATGAATTAAAATTTTTGAACAAAATGGACCGTATGTGCACAAGTATAATAAAGCCTGTAAACGCGCTCTTACACTTACTAAGCAATACTTACATGAAATTAGCTAATTTGTAAAGTGATCAAGGTAGGGCTCGTGAACTGAGGTTGGGCTTGCATGATAGCAATTCATGCGAATGGAATTTACTGACAAACTATGCAGTAGATTAGATAAGATGTTCAACTGAATTCCGTTTGCGGGATATCATCGCTTAAAGCTCAACCCCGTGGACACTGAGTTCATATTCATACAAAGCCTAAGTATGTGAGAATCAGCGCGACGCGTGTGGCGCAAACACCGATCATCCCATCGCAGCCAGAAAAATTCAGGCTTCAGAATCCGAATTGTGCTTCAACGTTACCATTAAACCTTTAGTATGCTATTTTGATTTCCATCCTGACTACACAGATAAATGTTCTAAATAATTTTGTGCAGTACCATCAAAGATTTCGTTTATCACACAGTCACGCTCATAATATGTAAGACTTTACTTATTGAAAACAAATTTTGAAACCAAAGAATTACAGATGTGAATGGCAAATATGTTGCGTAAGGCCCACACCCACTTGCTCATTGATCAAGTCTTCCGGACGAGGTAAGGCTTTATCAAGTTTATCTGGTGCACGCGCGCTAGCACAACAACGCTATGAAAACAAGGCACAGCACCGGGTTCGGCCGATGACAAAGACAAACACACAGTGAAGTCAATAACTAAAGGCTGATGCGCATTTATTTGCCGCGCCGGTGTGAGCAAACTGCAAAAAGAATATTCGGCAAAATATTTGATGACTCCGTATGTTCTTATCAATGGTTTTGCGCTTAAAAAATGTCCCAGTGTTAATCAGCTGTATGCAAGAACCATACATGCAAATAGATCAAATTAAGTTAGATAGTCAATTAACGTAACAACAAGCCTGCGCTGGCTAATGAAAAAAACCTGAGTTTGCTAGTCTGCTTTTCTTTTCACTCTGACGAAACGAAAAAGTGTTGTAATCAATTTTGCACAGCACTAGCGCACACCATTATTAGTCAGTATTGATCATTACAACAGAATCTCTAATTATAGCTGGGGAATTACGTAAGGGAAAGCAGCGAAACTTATATGGGGAAAAGCACGGTAAAACAATTATAACCGTAATACTCACAATCGTAAGAATTGTATGCATCACGTAAGCATAAGAAGATAAAAAACTGAGCGTAAAAGACTCGAAAAATAATGATTCGTGGTCTCTACCTGGTGAAGAAAAAACAGATACGGTAGACAGAGAAAAGCAATGAGTTCAACTGACAAGCAGAATTTTTTGCCAAAACTAAACCAGATGAAATCCTCTGCCCTCTAGAGACTCGCATGGTAGCAGAAAATATTTGTTTTGCACCGCGGCTTCTGAAAACCCGATGATGGGGTAGTTTTACTCGTGAAAACTTAAGTCGACAGTTTGCAGATAACTGGCTTCGGCCCTCTGGAATCCTTCTGTTCTTATGATGTTCCGCACTTCTTCCATCGTCTTCACCTCGAAGATTTGGAAGATGATCTCGTCATTGAGTTTCGGTATATCCGTCCAAACAAATGCTTTTCCACATCCGACACCCTTGCTTGAGCGAGTGGCGTTGGCAACGTTGTCCGTTAGCTTCGGAATGTGATTTTTGGTCGGAACTAACTCACCGTTAACCCACTTCAGAGTGTATTTAAAGAGGGCTTTCGGCTGTACGTCAAACATCGAAGTGACCCGATTCCCGCAGTTGGTAGTGCCATCGCAACCTTCGGTTTTCCACCAAATCAGCCCACAATGCGGGCACGCCTTGATTTGGTTTCGCGGATCCATGTTATCGAATAAATTGTACGTCATCAGCGGGGTCACCGAGCTGACAAACTCATCGTTAATCCTGACGTTCTCCCTTTGCATCTGGACAGACAAGGCATAACAGTCCATCTCAACCATAGCTTGGCCATGCTTATTTACGAACTCCTGGTACAATTCATCGATATCAAACTTAAACTGGACAATCATGGCGTGAAAGAGCTCGTCCTGATCTTCCTCGTAGTCAGTTTTTGTCTGGTCGCGTAGTCTGCAGTATGCGGCATACTTATCATTCACCTGCTTTCTGTACTGATCGAAGCATCGTCTCATGCCCATTCGGATCTCGTACAAGTTGAAATGAAAACGGAAATCCTCGTCAGATATTTTCAGCCGCTTCGGTACCATGTGGGACATACAGGCGTACATCAAGTCAGCAATAACACTGGGATCGCTGTTCTTGGAGAAGAAAATTATGTTATCAATCTTTGGGCTGGTTTCCGTCAGTATACCACAGATCTTTGAAAACTCCTTGTTGTGATCGTCAGCGTTATCCATATGCGAAAGGAGAATTACGATTCTATTTGTGAATGTGCCGACCGGTTGCTCCACTTGCAGGTAGTGGTCCACCATTTTATTATATCGGTTTTCATATTTTAATACAATGAAAATGGTATTCAGCTCCGTGGCTGTCAGTCCCGCGCGCAGCTGCAGTGCATGTTTGTACGTGTCGGTCTGACTATCTGTTCCTGGTGTGTCGATGACAGAAAATGCATTCCTTCCGACGCATACATCGTTCCTGAAGAGCAGCTGGGTTAAACTGGCCTCTGACGCACCGGAAGCATGCTTGGTGCCGCATAACATGTTGCCCAGTGTTGATTTTCCAGCTCCAGTTTGGCCCATCAAAATGCCACACGGCTTGTTGCGGTTCAGCCCAGCTTTGGCGGTAATGCTGGTCTTCATCAGAGGCCGGTACATTTTTTTCAGCAGCTATTCTCTATAAGTAGTTGCGAGGCACTTAAAAAGAACACCGTTGTCCAGGATAGTCAGTTTACGTTAATGTGCTTACCTCTCGGTCCCAAGAAAGGTCACCCTAGCTTGTAGTTTAGCAGAAACCGGCTAGAACAGTGGGTCGGTGTAAAAACGTTCTTCGTGGTTATGTGCATTTACGTGCAAAATCTGAAGGAGATCGGTCCATAATGAGACTTTTGGTACACCTGAATATCCAGGGCTCATAACTCGCGAACCGGATGTTGCGCGCGCAAACGGTTTTCAGGCCTGTGTATACAAATCATTTGACTACAGATTGACATAAAACAAGAGAAAAAAGGGTTTGGGAGTGCGCGAAAGTGAAAGATTTCGTGCATGTGCACGAATTTGGTACCATGTATCGGGCCACTTCCCTTAAGTAGTTGCTAGACTGGGTGCCACAGTATCGTCATCGCTCGATGGAGTAACCTGAGCTAGAAAGTTGCGTGTACAGAAAACCAAAGGTGTGTGTGCTCGTACAAGCCTTGCTCGATGAACAACGCTTTCATGTGCACTGAGCAATGCCCGGTTACGTGTTGCCATCAACAGGGCTTGCCAACGGCGCAGTAAAGTAGCGTGCTACCGTCAGATGATTAATTAAGGCCGGAGTTATGAAGTCGTTTTCGGTTGGTTGAGCTCAATAAAGCTGGAAGGAATTGCGAAGTGGTCCAGAAAACTCTGTTAAGGGCTACAAAGGTAAGAATTAACTTGACAAAATGAATGCAGAAGTGTCACTGATTAGCACCACGCATTGATTTTTGGTGCCAGGGATTCTTCCATTTGTAGAAATTTTGCTAATTTACAATCGTTTGTTGGATAACTCATAATTATGTATACTGCTGATTAAAAAAAGCGGTTTCAAGAAACAAGATCTCATTTCCCAGTGAAAACTGCAGAACTTGCTGTTATATCCAGTATCAGTATACAAACTAGATTTACGTACATGACACTACATGACACTCTACAGTTACCTTATACGCACTTGCAAGATAGTGCTCGTGCACTAAATTTAATGAGATTGGGTCGAGACTCGAGAGAGGGCGAACGAAAATTAATATAAAGATACGTGTTCATAATCCAGTCGCAGTGCTTTTTGCAGAGTACAAAAGTATGTTGCTCCGCTGCTTTATGTGCATTTCTGATGCATTAGTGTTTATATTTTCAGTGTTATTTATCTACGTCCAATCCTGCATTTCTTCTGCACCCTTTTCAAGCCCTACCTATTTGCGAACAAAGCACTTAAGTTCAGCAATCAGCAAAAGCACGCGCGCTTTTTATAAGGCTTTGTTTTACCAAAAGCAGATCTCAGAAAAGGGTTAATCGATGCATTTGTTTCGCTGGATGTTTTCGTTCGCCGAGACTGCTATCAGTTATTTACACAGAGAACAACATTCGCAGTCGTTATTAGCTTGACATGTAACTGCAATAATAAAACCCGAAATTGTAATTAATAGCCGTTTGGTAACAGTAATTATTTTATTTTCGTCTTAGTGCGCATGAGGCATGAGCCTACGTAATCTAATCTGCATGAGCATTCCAATAAACGTTTATCGCGCCCAACCTCGACGAGTCACCACACTGCTTGCAAACGTATAATTAATCTGATTATTCAGCCATCGACAGCAATTAATACGCGACGCACTTAATCGGTGCAAACGCTGACCATTTAAATCATTTCGATTACTACATTATGTGCTATTTATGCATTTTGCAGTGAGTGAACTGTTTTATATCTCCGCTGGATATAAGATCATACAGTACTTACTGGAGCTGGAAGCAGTTTCTCTTTTAGCAAAGGTAACTAAAAGCAACAACTGGCGTATCTGATACTTATACAGTGTTTTCAAAAGCTCGTTCTTTTGTAGAATACAACTTACTACGAAAATGTCGCGTCAAACTCTGACACCGCTGATACGGAGTAATATTAGCCCGAAAACCGGATTGACCCGCAACAAACCCTGTTGCTTGCTGATGGGCCAAACAGGAGCCGGTAAAACAACACTGGGCAACATGTTATGCGGCACCCAGCATGTATCGGGTGCGGCCACAGCCAGTTTGACGCGGGTACTGTTTCGGAATGATGTTTGCGTTGGGAAGAATGCTTTTTCCGTTATCGACACCCCGGGGACTGACAGCCAGAAGGATACCTTCGAACATGCGTGGCAGCTACGCGCCGGGCTAACAGCAACGGAGCTGAATACCGTTTTCATTGTACTGAAGTACGACAACCGATATAATAACATGATTGATCATTATCTTCAAGTGGAGCAACCTGTTGGCACGTACACCGAGAGAATCGTTGTTCTCGTTTCCCATATGGATAATGCAGACGATCAGAATAAGGAGTTTCCCCTGATCTGTGGACTGTTAATGGAGACCAGTCCAAAAATTGCCAACATCATCTTCTTTTCGAAGAAGAGCGATCCTGATACTATAGCGAACTTGATGTATGCGTGTATGACACAGATGGCACCGACGCGGCTGGAAATATCGGAGGACGATTTTTATAAGAACTTTAATTTGTATCAAGTTAGAATCGGTATGAGACGATCATTCGATCAGTACAAGAAGCAGGTGGAGAGTATCTTGTTGGCCTATGCGCTGGTCGTAGGCGATGCAAAAAACGAACCACAAGAAGACCGGGACGAGCTGTTTCACGCGCTGATTGTCCAATTTAAGTATGACCTCGATGATCTGTACGAGGAGTTTGTGAATAAACATCGCAAAGATATGATCGAAATGGACCAGTATGCCTTGTCCGTAGAATTTCAGAAGGAGATTATCAAGAACTGCGATGAGTTCGTCAGCACGGTGACCCCGCTAATGTCGTACAATCTGTTCGATAATTCGGATCCACGGAATCAAATTAAAGCGTGCCCGCATTGCGGACAGATCTGGTGGAAAACGGAAGGTTGCGATGGTGCTACCGCGTGCGGTAACCGCGTCAGTGAATTCTTTGATCTCCGAAAGAGAGCCGTGTTCAAATATGTTCTGACGTGGGTTGACGGCAAGCTGACGTATACCAAAAACCCGGTAACACAGCGGACAAACCCGGTTAACACCGCGAAGCCTTCGGGAAAAGGAGTCGGATGTGGTCGGGCTATTGTGTGGTCGGAGCTACCTAAAATCAGTGACAAGATCGTATTCCAGATCTTCGAGGTGAAATCGTGGGACGAAGTGAAGAGCATTATAAGAAGTGAAGGATACCAGAGGGCAGAGGCCTGTTATAGGCGAAATATCGACACATCGTTCCACACTTAAACTTGCTTAAAATTGGTCGGGAGCCATTCGACACGCTGAACACCACAGAAGTGGCCACAGACGTTCTAGTACAGAGTGTGAGAGCGAACGCTGTTTTTTACTATGCATTATGTTGCTGGATGATTGATAACGTGAATTATTTTTAGCAGTTACTGTGTTCATCTCTTATCCCGTTAATATGTAATTGGTCCCTAAAACCACACACCTGTCTTAAAAGAAAGTCGGTAATCTGCACCGTCCTTATATTTTTTAGTATGATGCTTTTCTACAATTTGGAGATTTATTGATTTTTGCTTCCTTTGGCTTTCGTGATTAGATAATACTGTCATCGGTAGAACGTACAGCCGTATGCGGAAACATCTGATTGTGTATTTGTACGAATTATCCAACTCTCCTAAAATTGCTTAACTTTTTACGAAGTCAGAATGCCCCGAAATCACTATGCCTCTCGCCTTTTCCCGTGGTCCTCCTTGTAAGTTTTTTGTTGAGAACTTGAGGTTAAATGTGCGTGCACTTCGAAGTTCGAAGTACTACTGGTTGACAGACTCGTAGTTGCGTGTTAAACTGATTTTATGGTACATATGCAGATTTTAGTTGTTTTTCTTTTGTTTTTTTGTCCGTGACGTTAAGCGTTTCGGCTTGCATTTTTTATAATGTTGCCTAATAATTGTTAGAATTTTATGGATGTTGACTGTTAACCATTTATTTTACAATGGTTACCTCGACTTGCTTTTTTCCTATCACATATATACTGACAACGCTTTATCATAGCCTACCAGTATTTTCTATAATTCTTGATTGTAACAAAATAGATGCCTGCGACGAGACCAACGTAAATTACATGTAAAACGCTTGTTAAAACTTCTAAAAACCACAACACCAGCAACGTTTCCAAGAAATCCATGAGCACGGGCCAAAGAAAGCCTAATTCGCCACTTCCTCCGAGGATCGACCAAGAATGACCCAAGCGCCGGATCTCTGCATCATGCTCCACTGACTCCATGTGACGGCGGTTCCGGCATCCGGCTTGCGGATCCCACATCGGCCATTTACGCCGCGGCACCTGCCTTCTTGACCTTCCGGCGAGTAATGAACAGAGAAATCCTCCACTATCACGCCAATGTTTTGTTCCTATTTTACGTTCCCTCGGTACTCTGCGTCTCCAGCACCACCTTCATCACCCGCAGGAAATGCGACACCAGATCCGAGTACTCCAGTTTCACCGTCAGCTCGAAGTTGCTGCGCTGCAGATCGCATAACTGCGCCACTCGCTGCACAGCGGCCAACTGCTCCTCCAGCATCTCCTCGTGCTCACCGTCGAGGTCTTCGCCGAAAATACGGTGTTTCAGGCGCCGGCAGCCGGTGGCGACTTTGTTCTTGGGCAGCCACTTCCAGGCGCGGGATACCGCGTCGTAGAGGACGGCGTTGTCTTTCTTCGTACTGGTCAGCCACATTTTGTACACCGAGCAGACTTCGCGCAGTTTGGCTAGGTTGAGGTTCTGCACGAAGCGGATGCGGTGTTCGATGTAGCGCAAGCTCTGGTTCAGCTCGTGCCGACGGAGGTATGCGTCGTAGTCGGTACTGCTACGGAATGTCCGGTCGGCATGCTGCGAAAAAATTAGGCGCCAATCAGCGAACGCTTAAAATAAACTCTATAAACGTATTCGCAAAGAAAACCGTAAATTAAAGAAAACCGTAAATTTAATAAAATTTAATTGAATTAGATAAACTAAATAAAAAAATAAATATGACTACAAATAGTTTAACTATTTTAATTTTACTTTAATCAAAATTTTTTTTAAATGAATTAGTTAAAGAAAACCGTAAACTAAAACCGGTACACGGTAAGGAAGAAGTCTGCAAATTGCAAATTAAAAACAGATAAAAACCATAAATGTTAAAAAATTGAAAGTGACAAAAAATTTTATTCGTATTCTTTAAACGGTTTGGAAATCCGTCAATTAAATATCTTAATAGGAATAAAAGGTAATGTGAAAACTGAAAAGGGAAAAGAAACTATACATATTCGGTACACGATTTGAGAAAATCCGTAAGTTTTAAAATTAAGAATAGAAATAAACCGAAAAGCTTGGAAACGGAAAATGAAAAATGAATCGTGAGAAACATCAGCAATACAATAATTATTAAATAAAAGAAAAATTAATAAACCAAAAGCAAGAATATCTAAGCAATTACCAATAAAAATTCCGATAAAACACTATCAGCAGCAAAAAATTATAATTAATGCCAATAAAAAAATTAAAAAGAGAAATAATAACCTTGAAAACGAGACAAATTCTACAAAGAATTTAGTCAAAGAGGTGGCCATTGCCGAATAAAAGTCAACAAATACCCTGTAACCAAATTTGGTGTTTATTTTTGCAGGGAAAATCAGAACGCTTCAAATAACGTACATCGTGCATAAATATCCGCAACTGATCGCGATCCCGCTTGAGATGCTGTATATTCTGCATGGTCAACTGCGTTTCCGCCTGCGTCTCCCGGATCTTCCCGTCCGTCTCCGTCTTCTTCTTAATCAACTCCACGCGCTGTTGACGCTTGGCTTCCAGACTGCACACCTTCTCGTCCTCCTGCACTTCCAGCACAACGGCCCACGCCGTGATATCCGCTAACAATTCCGCGTTGGCGTCGCGCAACCAATTAGGATTGAGATAATCCGGTGGCGCTTGGCACACGGCTTTAGCAGTATCGTCGATCTGCTTCTGGAGACTGCCCGCGGCGACCTGATAGAACTGGATCTTCCGTCGGATGTAGGTGCTGATGTTGGTGATGCGGTCTACGTCACGCTGTACGCTGTCAATCTCGGTTAGATAGGTGTTCTTCTGAGCGCGACCTGAAATGCAATAGAATAAAATCCTATTATGAAGGTGTAATTACAATCCAGTTACAATAACAATACTTTGAAATACACTTTTTAAATAGCTTAATAAACTTCGATAGATTTCCGACAAGAAGTATTATTTTTCTCGTTTTGACGCGTATCGTTAGTTTAGCAAAAAATGGAATTTAAGGCTGAGGGTCGCACAGCTCTTGAAGGAATGCAATTTCAGAACATTTTAAATTTTATAAAATACGGTAATTTACTAGTAAATTTATTAGATTTATTTTTTCGAAAATTTATGGTGACAAATGTCACAAATCTGCAAAAAATGCGAAACATTTAAACCGAAGGATGAAAAATTTTAAAATGTATTATCGTGCGAGTCTCTGAAATCTTGTGAAGACTGTAGTTAAGAAAAACCTTCCAATGTTATGTGGATCAGTTAGGGTGTACAAATTGAAAGTACCTCGATTAACCTGGGCCTGCAGTGTCTTGAACTGGGGTCGTCGTTCACGGATAAGACGCAACTGTTCCTTAACCTTGGCGACCTTGTCCTTGTCCACTAGATCAACCTTGATGCTGGGTCGCTGTTGACCTTGGGGAACCCTACTGGACATCTTACGTACATTTTCGCTTATGTTATGGAACGGTACTGGCTAAAGAAGTCAGCGAACAGTATGGCATCACAGAGCGAAGAATTCAGCAGCATTTATATCACTGTACGTTTTATATGGCAGTACTGTTAAAGGTCACCTAGACAACATTACACGCACTCACTCATACCGCACTGCGCTAAAAAAAATAGCAAACCGAAACTTTTCTATAATAATTTAGCCAAGCAGAACGTTTTTTTAAGAATTCGGAATTAACTAGAAAAGTATGCAAGAATCCAAAGAATTCGAGCAGGAACCCATTGCGCCCGAAACCGATGCTGATCCCGCTGCAGATGGGCGGCGCTCCACTGGGAGCAATGCCAGCATCTTCACCAATCTCCCCGCGCGTGGTTCTTCGGTGGATTCCTCGCAGGTGCCACCGAAGAAGAGCAGCGTTGTCCAGGAATCAAAGCGTTCCCGGGAACTCTCCCGAGATTCTATGCCCTTCTTCGTGGACAGCGAGAAGGACCTGAAAAGAGATGACAGCGAGCTATTCTTGCCGAGGCAGTCCAAATCGGACAGCGGACGAGACGGGGTTCTAGGAATACACCAGTCGTCTGCCCAACGGGTGCGGGACACCTACCATGCCGTTAAGGAGCGGTTACAAGCGCCAGTTGGAGACGGTCCCAGTATGTACGTTAAGATCTGTAGTTGCATGCTCTTCTAAAAACGGAAGAACTTAATAGCGCGCACTATACCAAACTGTATTATTTGATTTTATTTCATACTGAAAATATTTATTTTCGCCATTATTTATTTACGCCACCGAAAATAATAATTATATTAACCGATTTATTTACAGTTTTATTTATGTGTAAATGCATTTAAAAATTTATTTAGCAATAAATTTACGTGTTTTATTGCTTATGTTAGTTGATATAAGACATTATTAGTACTAGTATTACAAAAACAGATGGAAACGCTTTTCGAAGTAAAGTAATAATAAATATTTAATAAGTCGCTGACCAAAAATTTAAAATTTAAATCGCTTATTCGCGTTTTTCCAAGTGGCGTAACTTGAGGATTATTTTGCCATTTGCAGTTATGACAGATTAAAAGCCGCTGTGAAACACGTGGTAAAGACATCCGATAAAACCGCCTACAACGCTTTCGAGCAGATCCTCAAATCGCAGAATCAACCGGCGCTGGATCGTGAAGCCGGCAACGCGGCGTTCAAGCAAGCGGAGTATAACGACGCTAAAATAAGCGAAGAACTCTTTAAGGTTCGCCCGCTTTACATGCTATCAACGTATTACGAATTAGTGACCTTTATCCTTTTATTCCAGACCGAAGGCGCTCTGGAAGAACGGGTAGACGCGCAGCAGGACGAAGAGACCGGCAAATCGAAGATTCCCAATCTTCTGCGAATCTATCCGTACCTGCGCAACGCCGGGATCAATCGGCTGTTTTCCCGCGAAACGGCGTGCGCGCTGAGTGTCGCTGCAAAGAAACTGCTGGATAACGACGCGAAAGTGCTGAACGTAAAATTTTGGGGGATTATTTATGGAGCTAAAGCGGATTATTATGTTCTGGAAGCGGAAGCCGAGCCGCATGACGATGAAGAAGAAGAGGAGCAACCGGAAGCGGTAAATAATCCGCCACTTTAAAAACGCTTTAATCGCTTGAAATAATGCCAATAAAAAAATTTTCTCTCAATTAATGCCAACAATAATCCAAATAATCTGAAATAATAATTTTGACTACTTCTGTAGGTATTTCGCATTAATAGTTATTTAAAACTATCATATTATTATCATTATTTTATTTAATTATTTATCTATTATTATTACTTATTTATTTGTAATTTATTGATATTTATCTAATATTTTATTTATCGTGTTTTAATAATCTATTTTAATTTACGTATCAGTATTTTTTGAATTTTTTTGTTTGCTGCAATTTATGGTTTACGTTGGCAAAAAGGCAGAAGAAATTCCAGCGGAAGAAGAAGCCGGGGAAATGGCGGAAAACGATGCTTTCGCTAACCTTCCACCAATCCCGAAGCCTATGTTGAAACCCCTCCCGGCGTTAGCGAAGGAACCAAACGGAACCGGCGTAAACACGAAAGCGTATTTCATCGCTAACAAATGTACATTTCTCATATCGGTTGCGTTTGATGTTTAATCTATTAAAGAGTGAATTTTGTAGTGGACGGAAATTGGACGCGCTTGCCGCCGGTTACACCCGATCAAGTAATCATCGCCCGAAGAATACAGCGCGGCTTTATCGGGGATCTTAACGCCAAAGTAAAGGATGATGTTTTTCTAAAGAATCGCTGTGCATGGATTGTATTCTTAGGTTCCAGTTTTCCCGGCGTTTCCCGGTACCGAAGCGCATTATCTGCATGCGCAATTAGCGCGAATTTCCTCCACGACGCATATCTGCCCGAACGGATATTATTTACTGGAATCTGATGAAGACGTTGAAGAAGGAGTAGCGCGTAAGTACAACGTCCTTAGAACTATTGGGTATTTCTCTCGTGAGCGGTTTTTATTGTAGCTTCGTTTAATCTAACTGAAAATCCCGAGTACCAAGCGCCCACGATGCAGCAGCTGTCTCAGCCGCACATGAAGTTCTGGACACACTACGGACAATACATTCTGCGGCAGGTAAATTGAGTTTAATTATTTATAGGAATTTTGTTATTTTTATATGCTATTACTTTTAAATTTCTCCAGTTTTCCCAGTTACTGTGGATCTCGTCTTCTTTAGGGAAGAACGTTCTTTTACGATGCCTTTGAAGCGAACAAGGAAGAAGACGAGGAAGAGGAAGCCGAGGAGGACGAAGAAGGCGAAGCCAAAGCACCGAAACCCAAATATCCGCTGTGGTACCCGGAGAAAGCCGATTGGTACGAACCCGAGCAGAACGTCCCGCCGCCGCTGTGTTCCGTCATGAGCGACATCGGTATGACCGTAATTTCCCATCCTACTTTTGTAGCGACGGCGTTTCTCATACAACGGCATTCCTGGCAGCCAAATTCCGCCGCTCAATTTGGCAGCTTTTGCTTCCCAAGATTAACCTAACGCGAGAATATTGTGTCCGCTAACAGGTATCGATGGCTATCCGCCATGGTCGATCCATTTCGGCTCGCGCATCTTCCCCAGTCAGTCATTCCTTATCCTGCGATCCAATTTGTGGCCGGGAGCGGTGACGATCCTGTACAATCAGGGCAAGTAAGTAGGATAATTTTACAAAGTTGAAAAAGCTTTTTTGCTACATTAGATTCTGCGTGTTCGATAACCAGAAAGACATTTATGTAGTCCGCAAGACGAATCAGCATTCAGTGATCGAGAGCTGAAAGAAAACTGTTGTCCGTTCTAAAATATTGGTCACGATGTTCGCTTACCATTTATCAACGCACTCATTAAGGACCGAATGTTATTCTAGAGAGTTCTTCAACATGTATTTCGGACGCGGCCTGAAATACCGTTCGCAGTTTGTCCCGAATCTCCCTGGCCATGTCAAGCACGAAAAGTATGACCCAACGCTGCACGAAGAGACCGATCCCACGCCGGAAGAGGAGGAGGAGATTCGGCGCGCGGCCGGACTAAATGATGAGGAGAACAAGGAGGGTGAAGAAGAAGGCGAGGAGGAAGCCGAGGAATGAACATGCAAAGCTGGCCGCCTTGTTTTAGAGTGCCAGCGAGCATTCGAATTCTGTTGTGTTGTGCTGCTGGGACTCTGAGTTTCCGCTTAGTGGGACTCTGTCGTCTTTACGGACTGATTCAGTTTTTGTTTGGCTTGCGTTTAAGGAGCGCTAAGCTAAAATGACTGCGGCGATAGCAATGCCGATTTTATGATGCTTTTAGTCGCTATATAAGTGTGAGACAAGGAAATTAAAATAGCCATAAAAATTTTTGCATTTTCATATGGATTTCGCTTACATTTTAGAACTATGGAAGAGTTCTTTTACAAAATTTGATTTATTTGTGCGACTAGATTACTCATCCATCCAACCAAAAACGATTGGCATAAACCAGTCAATTTGACAAACATGATCTCTCCAACAACAGCGCGTTACACAAGAAGCAATAATACAATTTCAGTACCATGAAGTCATCCAGGAAAGTCGGGAGTACGAAGAAGAGCAAGAGTAGAGCATCTGTATATATAAACTAAAGCACCACCAGCGTCGAGCATCGCTCCGTCCCGGCCGCCACACCCATCCATAATCCCAGAGCGAAAACGAATCCAGCGTGCATTAAGTACAGGATTTGTGTTGGTGAACCCAGTCTTTCAGCGCTTGTACATCATCGGCGCTGTTCGACGGGACAAACTTCTCCACAATCTGCAGGAAATGGTGGACGGTGACTTCCGGTACCTGCAAACGCGCAAATCCTATATCACATTTGGAAAATTGACGACAAAACGTAATATAAAGCGCGATGACGCGAGGAAAACTGTATATGTTCAGCGCAGCATTTCGCTACTTTACGGCGCGCAATAACGCTGCACTTAGAACATTATTCCCATTTGGTCAAACCGCCAAATGAGAAGAACAGCTGAGCCAACTTTAAAGATCGCCAAGGGCAAAGTTGACGAGAATTTTAGTCATACGATAAACCAGTTTCTTCAGTTGTCAGAAAACCTCTTTGGAAAAGCATAAATAAAATTCCGTTTTTGTATGACTTCTTTCGTAAGGTGCATACAGATAGTGACATGCAATTCTTTTTACTGACCTCTTCTTTCTGTAGCAGCGGTATTAAACTCTGCTTAATCGTGCCCAACGGCAGCCATGCAGCATTCCTGGCGATGATCCCCAAATCGCTAGCCGAATAACCCTCGGTCAACCCAGCCACCTTCCTAATGTCGGGTTCGGTGAAATTATTCCGAATATCTTTTAGGATCGTGCGCAGGATCAGTTCACGGGCTTTGGACGAAGGCGGACCCATAAACACGCGCAGATCAAACCGCCTATATAAAACCATTGATTTACCTTTTTATCAATCTGAAACAGACTGACTGCGAAGGCAGGAACAGGAACCGACCTGAGTGCCGCGCTGTCGATGCACTGTGGAATATTCGTGGCGCCCAGTATGAGCACCCGATCGTCCTGGCAGCACATAATCCCGTCAAAGTGTACGAGAAACTCATTCTTGAACCGCCGGGTGTCTTCGCGCTCGGCGCCGACGCGTTGCGATAGCATAGCATCGATTTCATCTGCAATGCGTGCGCGTTTTGTTGTGGTTTTAAGAAAGCTGACGTACTCGTTGCCGAAAAGGAGTTTTATGCAAAAATGCAAGCTGGGCTTGACCTTACCGATAAATACTATGGTAGGCTGGATTTCCTTAGCACATTCGAAGAGTAATTTGACCAGTTTTTCACTGTCGCCTACCTGACAGCAAGCAATGTTAATAACACGATAACTACGGTAGGACTAATGTAGAACAGCAATGCTCATGGCCTCATGCTACGCACCCATTTGGATATTAAGGATGAAGCGCTGACATTCATAAAGTTGTAATGGGATTGGGCCGCGCAGGCTTTGGCTAGGAGGGTCTTGCCGTTTCCCGTCGGACCGTAAAGTAGTACACCACGCGGCGGTTTCAGGACCTTTTGGCCTTTAAATAGCTGAAAACAAAAGCTAGGTAAAAAATTCGCCAATTGACGCTGATGCTCCGCTCAGTAACAGCGGAGAAACTAACACTCAAAATTTTGTTTCCTCTCGCAATAATCAACATTATCGAAAATCGCAGCTTTATAATTATGAACTCCAAAATACCATGCTTTTTTCTTTTTGTTTGATGAAAGAATTGTAGTGAATCTAACTGGAAACACCCAAAAACGAAACATCAACAAATGATGAAGCACCCATAAATGTTCTGGTGATACCAATTTAAAAACTGCCACGAAATAATTCTAAATTATTAGAAAATTCTTTTCTTACGATTTTAGTAAAACAACACTGGGAATCAGATAAACGCCCCATATACTATTTGTTTTGCTTTTTACAGTTCAAAAAATAATTTAGCGTTTAGTAGTACCATAAATTCAGAGTAAAACTAATTAATTTGATAGAACAAATATTGACTCTTGAGAGAAAAAGGTAAACTGCAGGTACCTCAGGATTAAGCGCCGGATAGACGACCCGTTCCCTGACGGCCTTGACAGCCTCCTCTTGCCCGATAATATCATCAAACTTCACCCGGGGCATCGTGGTCATGATGGTCGTCAGAATTGTGTCGATCACATGAGCGTCCATGTGCAGTTTCGTAGCCAGTTTACGTCGCAGCACATTGAAGTCCACTTTAGGCGTCGGCGGCGGCGGGACCATGGCGCGGGCTAACACCGCATGCCGCCCGTTAGCGGCCGCTTTCACCGTCTTCTTCGGCTTCTTGATCACCCGTTTCGGGGAGGTCGTGATGGTGCGGCGCGAACGCAGATTCATGGTGTATCAAAGAGTGAATGAGGCGCGACGGAGCGAGTTGAAGTAGCGATGCGGATTACGGCGAGTTGATAGTACGCGGAGAGACGGTCGGACCTGTAAAGGGCATGATGTCTGGTCGGGGAAATTACAGGATACAGTAGTTGTAATGTAAAGAACTTACTAGTTCGAATCAATTCTTGTAACACAGAGTACGCGTTGATTTATCCATACTATATGCCTGCTTATACTTTCGCTGTGCGTATTAGTACTTTCGTAACAATAATAATCCGTTACTATGGCTATTAAAATCCGATGGCCCGATATTCGGTGAACGGACCATTATAACAGAAAGCTTCACATTAAATGCTCACAAGCGCTCGATTTCAGTATTAATTTACTTAATACTGCCAGTTATCAAATACCTTATTATTATTAAAGGAGAAAATAATTATTTTACAGTACTTATTCCTTTAGCATTGTGTACCATTGAGCCAGGCTTGCGTAACAAATACAGTCCGCACTTAATGTTCCAGTAAGTACTATTACCAAAGTACGAAAAATATACTGTACATACATAATGTGCACTAAATCACAACTACTGCACGTTAGTGGTACAGTGCTAATCAATTTTTACTCGTAGGTTTCTAGCTGTATGTGTGCTAAAAATTCCTTGCGTTGCCTACTGGTCAGAAGTCAATTTTTGGCTTCGTCAAAGCTGCTTTCTGGCTAATAAAGTTCTTGTGGTACTAACTTTATGTTGTAAAGTTTTTACCCGGGCCATAATTGCAGCTACGTCATTATTTATTCAAAAAGGTAGCCATCACACCAGCTCCGAAAATAGCGCGAGGCTCGTACGTTGCAGCAAATACAGTTCGCACAGTTCGCGCAGTTCGCGCTCCGCAACATTGCTTCGATTATTTCCTAATATAACGTTACTGGCTTAGTTGTAGTTTACATAATTTCACGCCATCTATAAGCAAGCCTCTGAGCCTGCCGGATAATCCAAAGAAAAGGAATCTGAGAGAATATGCAATCTTTTCGTGATACACTTTATTGAAGAGCTGTTCTTACTTAAACGCTGTCAAAATTCGGATCATGCTTCACACTGTTCACAGCCTACACGGACCATGTGTTTGTTGATCTGGAAAGTATAAATAATTTGACGTAACCTTTTTCTGCGTTGAACGTTTTATTTCGTGATATTCCAGTTCTGACCGCTCCTGGGGATGCTTTATAAGCTTTGCTTTGCTTTGCTTTTTTATATAAACTTATTTTGCAACTGCAAAAATGACTACAGTGTACATAAGAAAATATTACGGTGAAGATTTTATATTATCTGCTGTCAGTGCTCTGATTCAGTATTCTGTTTTTGTGAATTAAGCATCTCCTGGTATCCACCAAAGCACACAGTGGCTCTGCTTTAATATTCTGCGTCTAGCGGCCTCATTGTCTGTCTGCTCTTGAATAAACTAAAGTAAGCTAACTAACTTTTTTTAAATTCTGCTGTGTTTGATGGGTAAAACCGGGGTACTGACGGTTCGCAGGCGATAAATCTGTTTACGACTTCCTTCAGTTCGTACATAAGCTGAGAAAATGTCATGTATCCACAAAACCGATAGGTATCCTTGCTTTATCTCCTATCAAGCGCCAAATCTCTTTTAAACGTATGACGATATTATGAATGAGCATCTTACTGGACAATGGGCATAGTAATTAGTGAACGTATTAGCGTTATGGACAACGGTGAATTAGGTTCGTCTATCGTTATCTGCAAGGCGCCGTGGTGGTCCCCGTTGTTGTGCTCGCGGTTGAACTGGGCACGGTTATGGGAACAAAGGTCACGTTGCTCTTCCCGTTGCACTTTGGTGTGTCACACATTAAGACTTCCGCTTCCACAATGCGTCTTGATCGTCTGGTGGCATCGAGTGAAATGCGGCTGAAGTAGCCGCGAGCGCAGCCACGGAAATAATATACGCTATCTGCAACACAAAACCCAGAAGTACGCGGGCCAGCAGACCTTTCCAAAGGATTTCCGTTTTTGGTATACAATACAAGCAGCTTACCGACGCCGTGCTTTTTCTTGTCCAGCGGTTGGTTCGAGTGTCGAATCGTCACGCACGTCGTCGACCATGCGTCGCACGTGGTTACCAGGTAGTCATACGCGTTCTGGCAGGATTGCGAGGTGCCGCTACATGAGTAGCACTGGAGAGGGTCTTTTGCTTCCGTGATTTCTATAAAAACCTCAACGTCGAGCTGAATCGAAGTTTAGATAAATGCTTACCCAAAGCAGTATTTTCTGGCACATGAAATTATTACTGCCATCGGTCCTTCATGCGACGGTTTTCAGATCATGATTACAGAATTTATTCTATTTTGCGTTTGACGTGAGTAATACAGTATTCTGCTGTTTTGTAATGCACTCAACACGGCGTCCGTAATAGGCTTGGACTACGGTACTTACCGTAATTGGGGCGGGGTAATACTGTGATAATATTATTATCTTTCGCTGCTTTCGTACTTATCAGTGAATCTTTAAAACTCGCACATAAGTACGTATTCCGTCGTATTTTTGTTTGTCGGTAAGACAGACCGGTTGGCCTTGCAATCTGTCTGACTCTAATGACTGATTTAAAACCGCGGCATTTACTAAGTAATTTTCTCTTAATTTTCTCACGGATTGTAGAAGCAAGGCAGCGTACGCCTTCCGGTTTGCCGAAAACCAACAAAAAAAATGATAATTTTCAAAAATTCCAGATAAAATTTTGCTTACGCTGCCACACCAAGCGGTTGCAATGGCCTTCTACCGGAAGTTCCGGAATTTCACTTATTAAATAAATGCGCTTTTGGTGGATTAAGCAACTTATCGTCTTCACCAAAGCACACAGTGGCTCTGATTTAATGTATGAAATAAATAAGGGTCAATATAATGCTACGGATGTTCAATATAATGCTTTGTACTTTGTAGGAATAGGAATAAACGCTGATTACTTTATTAGGTTGACTAATTTGAACATTTTTCAGAGTGATTTAAGTCAATTTGATGCAACATCCGTTTTCATCATATCAATAGTGTTATCCACATTTGCAGACACATCAGGAGCACAGAATCCCACAGAGACAGCCCCGTCCTCCAGGGGGAACGTTCTGACGGGACCGTGACACTCTTCAACGGCACGGTCGTCGCACTGACCTTTACAGACTAAAAGGAGCGCCAACAGGATCGTAGGAATCATTTCCTTCCAGTAAACAGTATGGAGCATAATGCTGTTTCTTGTTCAAGGGTGACGTACTCTCACTACGTTCGACGAGTCTTTCGACGATTGTCACAGCTGATTAAGGGCAGACTTGAATTCTTGCCAAAACTATTCAGGAACAAAAGGATCGATCTATTTCGGCTAATAAATATTTTACTGCAGATTGCACTCAAATAATCAAGCTGAAAGTAAAGAAAGTTGATGTTTGAAACCAGAAGCCATCCTTAGCGACAAAGGTCGTGCTTATAATTATTACAAAGCAACGAAAATCAGAATGATATATATTTGTTATTTTTTTAATGGTATCTGTATTGGATTTTCAGTAGCAGTAACCCAGAGAACCTGTACAGGTTTTTCTCAAACATTGTCGGACAAGAACTTACATTCAGATACGAATACCATATAACCTGCGTAACGGAAATGCTGATCCCTGGATCGTTGCTGGTTGTTGGCTGCTTAATTGTTTTACTGAAAGGTACGCGGTTTAGCTATCAGTACTTCGACCTTTTTTTGCATTCCGGACAGTTTTGCAAAATGAATTCGAGGAAAGGACACCGCAGACACCGTACCCTCTGCGTTCCACTTAGAAACTTGACAATTTTTAATTAATCCCTATATTTGTGTTTAAAAACACTAGTTATCACGTAATCATTTTTTTTAAAGTTTTCGTCATGGTTTTGTCATGTAATGTATGTCAGTGTCTTTCTCCGGAGTCCGGTACGTCAATCCATATTGTAAAATTAATGAATTCCGAAAAACGTCAAAGTACGTATATTGTCACGACTCACGGTGTCTACTCGATGCACATAGTAGCCGCCCTTGGTGGCTACTGGTATATAACTAATGCATTTCATATCGAAATGATCAGTCTTTTGGATCATTTTTGGGCTATTTCTGTATTGGTTCCCTTTTAACCAATAAGCGCTTCCTTTGTGGGAGAACCTTGCCCATCGTCTTGCTGGTGTTACCGATAAAATGCCCGCTGAGCAGCCTGTGAGCGGCGTTTCTCTGCTGCTAACTCACCGAAATTAGGTCGCAAAAAAACGGCGCTTCACGGCAGTCATTTGAAAGCGAAACTAAGCATGTTGGCGTGTAATATGCATTGCCCCTGCCATCGATGTGTTAATTGTAATCGCGCCATTGCAGGAGCAACTCCGGGACAAGGAGCTAAAATAGAAGCCTCCGATTTAAATGGCAGAACAGAATGTTATACGTGTCCATCCAATCCAAGTAAGTCTATGCATTGCAGCCACAACTGATGCGAAACGTAGCAGCCTTCGTTTATGCTTCTGGTGTTCGTTACCGGTTAAGTGCCGGTGAACTGCGCGGCCCCTAGAGTACTGCTCAACGTTTGCCCATTTTCACAAAAAAAGTGTTTTGATATACTCGTGAGCACCTGCCTTACCTTTCGGGAAATAAGATCGTGACGCTGTCCAGAAATAAATAGAATGTTCTAAAATGTATATTTTTCGAATGGTATTTTTTTGTATGGGCAGCGCAGTCGCTAAACGTAACACAACTACAACTTATAAAATTCATCATTTTTCATAATATTCAAAAAGACTAAGTCCTTCGATGGTTATGTTCACAGATGACATGCTGGCTTACGAAAATTGTGCCTCTTGGACAGGGGATATGGATGGCGTTGTATGCGAGAAGGAAGAACAGTCCTGCTATATCCAGGCATTGTCCTATCGTGTCAAAGGCGACAATGATCGTAAGAAACTGCTGGCACTCAGTTTTATTTTGGTCTTTAGTAAATCGCTTTAAACCTGAAGTCGGGCGTAATGACCAATTTCAGTCATGATGGGTGTAGTACTTTTGACACTAACCAAACTGTGCTACATTGCTGGTGTCATAGGAATATTTGGATTCTTTCGGTTGCGTGCAGATGCAGCAGCGTAACGACTGCTCTATCGGCCCGTTACGGTCTGGCCTGTCACGAATCCGTACAATTTTGTGTGTGACATTTCGCCGCACTTAGTTTCAAGCGCGCGACTTCCCCGCGATGAAGACATATTGCCGCGGGCTATACGGACACTGGAAAACTTTAGGACATTTAAGTTTTGAGAAATTCTGACTTCAGTGCATTTCGGCGCAAGATGTGTAGTCGCGGACAGTTCGCCGCAAATGAATTTGACACGCTTAGTTTTTACAGGTTTTTTCTTAGGTTTTCTTAGGAATACTGCTCCCTGTTTTTTTCTTAAATTTCCTTAGTTTACTTAGTTTTCTTAGGATTTGCTGGGTTTTCCCAATTTTTCTTAGGTTTTAGTGGGTTTCGTAGGTATTCTTAAGCTTTATTAAGTTTAACTAATTTTTCAAGTTTTCTTAGGAACCTAAAGTTTTTTAGCTTTTTTTACGTTTGTTAGCTTTCTTAATTTTTTTTTCTTAGTTTTCTTATGTGTCTTAGTTGTCTTAGTTTGTTTTTCAGTTTTCTCAGTTTTCTTAATTTTCTCCGGTTATATTGGCCGTTTTAATAACCTTTAGTATTATTCTACGATAAACAAATAAATCACTTCATCGAGGCGGCCTCGCGTCCAGGTTTTTCGGTGTCGAAAGCGCTTCGCGACCGAAACATCTTGCGGTGTGATGTCCTGCCGACTAACCTCCCGCAACGAAACGTCGCCCGGCGAGGTGACCATGCGGCGAAATGTCCATGGCCAGATGTTCTTCCACTAGTTGTCCTCGGCGGTGCCGGTTTGACCAGAGCTATCATCCGAATAATTTAACTGGTTATAATTACCGTAATTACTGCAGCTTGAACTTCGCTGCGGCTAAAAATTTATAGCCTGTTGCAGTAATAAGCAAATCAAAACTTGCATCTTTACGAAACTCTCTTACCTGAATTGCTTTTTAGTGCGTTGGCGTGTGGCCCGCGGGTGTAGCCCCCATCCGTTCATAGGAGCCGGAAATTATGACGTTGATTCCTCCCAGATATATTCGAAGACATTATACCAAACTAATCAATTACTAGATTACATGAAGGTCGTCCAAATCGTGTGCACGGAGGACCTATGTAATGGATTAAAATTTAGTAGCTCTTCTGTTCCAGCAGCTATGTAATATTATCCGCCCACAGACCCTTACTGGTGGAGCAGACTTTGCAAATGAAAACTGTTAATCAGTAAATCAAACAACCCGATTTACGCTTTTTCTGGTTTCTGCTCAGGCAAAACAAACTTTCCACCAGCTGGCTGTTAGTTTTCTATAAATCTGCAATTGCTGCGGTTGCTCATGATTGGTTGACAGGAGCAGCTGTTCTAAAACAGTGCACCGACCCAAATCAGACTGAACTAAGAGCAATAACTAATAATTTATCTGAAGGCTAATAATTAAAAAAATGCTGACAGGAGGACAACTAAATAAAGAGCACATTTATGGAGATCAAAAATCAATATTCAAACTAGAGGTTGCACAGATATGGTGAGCTCATCTGAGACCATCAGACTCGTCACAATAACACGTACAGCAATAGGGCATCCGAAACTTAAGAGAAAGTGATAAGCAAGAAGAAAACATAACTGCCGAGGACAAGGGGCGGTATCGGCATGAAATTTGACGGTTGACCAGCTACTGAAAGCACGACCTCGTCCAGTTTTCTTGTGTTACATAACGGTGTATTGCATATGCAGTACACCCTGTCGCACGGTCCAAAACATTCCTGCGATCGGTGACATCCAACCGCTTCGCCCACTAAAGTTCTGCAAAAGCAGTCCAATAGTTCACGTGGAAAATACGGAAGTATATGCGCAGAGGAAGTCACGCCACACTTTAGAGTTTAAGATTGATACAATGTACAAAAAAAATGTCAATTCCAGTAGGAATACTTTGAGAAAAGAATCAGCAACTAGCTTTCGGTGCACAAAATATTAAATGTGCCTTCCTGTAGTTATGAACTTGTGTCCACGAGCACGCATCATCCAGTACGAGCACACAGAATACAAAGTCTACCGTCTGGGGTTTTTCATGGTACTTACTTGCCGTCGACTACATCATCCTGGCAGCCTCTGTAAATCCAAGAACCTGCAGCGGGAACATAGTCGATTAACCTCGTATTGGTAGGTTGTGCAAAGTTTCCTCATTTTGTACAACACTGGCGCAGACAAAAGTATCAAGAAAACAAGAACAACGTTACTGAAGTACGCACATACGCAACATTTCGTGGATAGAAGCGTTCTGTTTGTCGGAAGTTGGGTCACAAAATGCAGTTTTGGTACAGTTGTCGAACAACATGTGAACATGTGGTACTTACGACTGTACTTGTCGGATGGCCATCCGCGCGCCTGATCCGCGCAGTTGGTTTTGCAGTCGACCTGTATAAGTTCAGATGCAGGGCGCTCGGGAGTTCCCTTTATCGAAGAATTATGGCATGAAAGCGTAATTCGTTGTGCGTCATTCATAATGTTTCCACAAGAGTAGCATTTCAAGGAAAGCGCTACAATACAAGCACTGAGTTTGGTACGGGACATTATACTTGTATTCTTCCATGCACAATTTATCGAAATACTAAGCCTCAGGTACAGAGTATGTGTTCGTGGTATAACGTGTCCGGGACTACCGCGAAGAAAACCGAGGTACCAGACACAGGGCACGGATCACTGCCGTCTCGAACAGCTCCGACTAAGAGGCTCCAAAAATTTAACGTGTTTGTAAAGGTTTGGCCACAAGCTGATTTTCTGAGGGCATACTCAAGGAAAAATTATCAGACACGGCTTAGCATACCTCCCTTTATGGAAATAATTAATAGGAAATATCCAACGATTGTCGATAAAAGACTTAAGAAACACGGATTTATTCGCTTCATTTTACCACAAATTGCAATTTAAAACTGTTGTCCGCAATATGTCCAAGAGATCGGCAGCTCAACTTTCTAACTGTGCAGAACCAACAAAAGGTTAACAATTTATTTATCCCTCATCAAGCGTGGATGGTTTCATATTATGGCATTATTCAGTTGCTGGCAGTTTTCCGCATTGACGCCAATCGACATTTTCTTTGGTGTAGATATCAAACTGGGCCACTGCAGACCCAGAGAGAAACTCCCCCTATATATGTAGTAATCAGGTAAGCAAATCAAGCGACTTTAATCAAGTAAGCAACCAATTTTTGTTATATGAATACTGATTATCTGTGCCAGGACTTCGGCCCCTGTCCTTTGAGGCAAAGGATCTCGGCTTCTACTTCACCAATTTTGTTGCTTTAAAGTACATCAAAATTCACTAGCTGTAGCGGTGGATCCAAGATTGTTGACTTTTTGCCAAAATCATTTGTCTTGGTCCAGTGGTCAATCATAAGCTTGTAACCATGGACGCGATAAGAAATGCACACTGTTCTAACACAACTTGACCCAGAACAGTAGAAATATCTGAGCTGCTGCTTAACAATAAGTACGAGTACAGTACAAAGTAAAAAATACATGTACAGTAACTTAACACGTTAGTCATAATCGCGTCAGTCATCATTGCAAGTTATGTAATTTATGTACAAGTAAACAGTCCGTGTTTCGATTAAGTAACTTATGTAAAGTGTATCATAATACTACTAAACATACGTACGGGTTTATTAATATTACGACAGTCTGTAAGCGACCGCAAATCAACACATCCTTGGAGTTACTTGTTTTTAATAGTCATCAGCCAATATTCATCCGTGCTGGGCTTTAATAGGTTTAACGTGCTCCAGACCGTAGAGTGATACCGTACTAATTATTGTCCATGAGAATTTAGTACTTAGGCGTTTACACATACAGTACAGTACTTGTACTTTGGTTGACGGAATTAACGAGGGTTATGCTTGAGAAAAAGGCCGTGACGAGATTGTGTTCAAAATATGACATGCTTAAGTGCTTCCTTATCTAGTTATTATGTCGTCTAAATTGTAGCTACGTCAAATAATACAATACAAGCCCAGCACGGATGAATAATGTCTTAGGATTTCGAGCATGTAAAAAGGTTAACTGTATATGTATTAAATAATGGCACGATGTCTATTACATTAAGGAGGCACGAACAAAATAAACAGGCGTGAGCAGTACCTGTTATTTTGTTTATTCGCAGTTCGCTAATTTCAATGGCAATTCGATATAATAACACATAGTAACAATCTGGGGATTTACAGTTAGCCCATGTTAAGCTAATGGCCACCATGGTAACAAGCTTTTGAGTGACCACTGGACTGTGGGTAGTGGGCTTTCCAGAAAATTGATGATGCAGGAACACTCTCGACACTGAGAGGATTCTGTAGCACTTTAGAGCGTGCAGATTGGATGTGTGGAACGGGAGAAAATTGGTTACAACGGCAAAGTGTCGAGGATCCTGGTTACGTAGTTAGTATTCATATAACCAGTTTACGGGATCTACATCCGTACACAAACTTTTGCGGCGCAAGTTTGTTACGAAATGCACACTTCGCATCGGTTGAGCGCATTGGTCCCAGCCGCTAAGAAAACTACGAAATTTAAGAAAGAGAAAATCTAAGAAAACTTGGGAAACCCTAAGAAAGCCTAAGAAACCTAAGAAACCTAAGAATACCTAAGAAACCTAAGAAGCCTAAGAAACCTAAGAAACCTAAGAAAACCTAAAAAACCTAAGAAACCTAAGATATCTAAGAAATATCGTATATGAAAGAATACGAGGTATACCGATCACGCTGGTGGTATTGACTGCGATTAATTTTTGCACATGTTTCTTAAATTTTCAATACTTTGTAACGTGCCGATGCCGAGGCCGCGGTCTGTCTCGGTTTTTCCGAACGGTCCGCGAACAGACAATGCATTTACCATGTATGTCTATGTGGGCCCATGGCAACAATTTGTTTTTTGGGGCTACTCCTTCCCTTTTGGGGCGTATCGATGGCGCAATAGCGTAAGAACATTCGCGCCGTTGAGACGAATTTAACGCACTTGGCCGCGTCGAAATCGGTTCAGCCGTTCGCCCAAACATTGGCTACATTATCAATCGTGTATACGTGGTTACGGATGTAGATAACCAGTTTACGGAGGACTACATCCGTACCCAGTTTTGGGGCGCATTTGTTTCAAAAATATTGTGGAAAGAAAACGTAAGAAAATATAACAAACATAACGTCGTTGCGGCGATTCTGCCATTTTTGACCGCGTCAAAATCTGCCTACCCGTTCAGCCAAACATTGCTTTTTTAGGTTTGAACGTCACGTTGTTACGGTACAGTTCTGTGGTATTTTTCCTAATAATTTTCGAGCCGAGGCCGAGAGGACCGATCTGCCGTGCAAATAATGCTCATGCAACCCGTGTGCCTATACTTTATGTTAACCGGTTTGGAGCGAGGTCGGAAGGCGAGACTTGCAGGCCCATGGCAACAATTTGTTTTTTGAGTTTCGTGCTCCCCCCTTGAGGCGCATCGGGTCGGCAATAGCGCAACATCACCCGCTTCGTTGCGACGATTCTGGCGCACTTTACCGCGTCAAAATCGGCCTACCCGTTCGTCCAAACATAATTTTCTTAGCAAAGGCCGTCATGGCTGTTACGGATGTAGTTAATTACAATACTAAAGACTTGATCCAGAGAGCGAGTACTGATTATTCCTGCCTGCTGTTATTGTTGTTATTGTGTTTGCACGAATATATTGCGTAGTCCTTACGAAGTTACGATAACGATTGCTCCAACGCATGAAAATCGGTACTTCCTAATCGTCAAGGCAACAAACTAAAGAAATTATTCAGGAATTATTAACAAAATTATTATTAAAATTATTAGCAAAATTATTCAGGAACATAACAGTACAGTAACGGTTCTTGCAAGCAATGTAAACAAAGGTTGCAACCACGAACAACGGCTTCTGCCTGGCAGCCTAGAAAGTCGCTCCCAGAAAAACCTGCCACCGGAATTACATTTTCATTGCAATTATTCCTGTACGAGTATCCGTTTTATGCTATGCTGCGACTCACCACCGAACGAGGCCCACGCTGCACGCACTGATCGAATTACTTCTAATCAAAGCATAAAATTTTTTGAAGGCTGCGTATTTTCAAGAAAGTTCATTTCACCGCTTCTAAAATTCGTGAAAATATGCGGAGGATCGATTTCAACGAAAAGCACGCGTCAAATATGCAAGGGAAAGTTAATAAAACACTCGCAATGCGCCATCTCCTAGCTGGACTCAGCGCCTCAAATTTCGTGCGGTTCATTTGTTTGACGAAGCCATTTGCTCAACCTGCAAACGCTGCGCAAAATTCACTGTGAGGTGCCAAAAGGACCATCCGACCAGAAGACTGCGGGCGGGGCTAGTGAAAAATCCATTCTCCTTGTTGTTCCGACAGGCGTCGGCCCAGAATAAACGCCAAACATGAGCGGACGACCGCAAGGGAAAGAAAGGGCACAGGTGGACCACTGAACAGATAGATAAATTATACGAGATAGATTATCGTAATTAGATAGATAGATTATCGTAATTTTTACGGAACGTCGGTTAGAGATAGGTGCTTCTGTTGTAACCGTATGCCTTTACACCAGCTTGCGGAAGACCATCTGTTACCATGACGGGCATTTTTGTATTTGTTTTAATTTTATAGCAATAACATTGCGCTGTCAGAGATTACAGTTGGTACTTCAAAGGAACAGCATCAATGCAAATAACCTCACATAAATGAAATGCGTAGTGCGAAACTTGCAATTACTTATTTCTGTCAGCCAAAAACAACAGCTCCACGCCCGACAGGCTAAAGATACGGTCAGGAATTCCTCGTTACTTGGTGTCATTGGCGTGCACGATGCGGAAGTGCTTATGGCTCGTGCTCGGCGTGCTGCACGTTTACCAGGAATTCGCGGCCGATGCCGAACCAATACGTTTTGTAAATCGGCATATACGGAGCACCGTTATGTACAGCCAGATCGACCAACTGTACTGGTTGAAGGGCTACATCTACATGCCGGAAGAAGCCGTAAACTTGTGGTTCAAGGAAGTCGTACGCGAAATCGTAAACGGGCGCAATCAAGTGCCTCTTAGCCCCGCCCAGAACGAGACGCTTTACGGATGGTTCATGGCGCTGTTGAATATCGATGAAACTATCAGCACTTCCGACAATAATCCGGCCATCAGTCCGTTATTCTGGCCGAGCGAACTCCCGCGCCCGACGGCGAAGATCGGTCGGATCAACGAGATCTTCCGTGGTGCACCGACGCCGTGCATACAAGCGGCGATTGTCGCCAATTTTACGGGCCGGAAACCACCCGGAGGTTTCCTCGAGCCTGCGGGCAACGATATTTACATCGGTGTAGGATCGGTGCCACAGACCGATTACTGTTATTTGCCCGAGTTCCTGAAGCGAAAGTCGGGCCTCGATCCAATAGAGCATACTGAGCCAGAGTTCACACCACCCAATATTCCATCGACTCAAGTGAACAGTTATCTGACAACGTTCAACCAGGAAGATCCCAGACGGCATGCATCCTTCGATGCCACAACGAATGAGTTTAAAGCCAGGGACATCACGATCTTTCACGTTAGCCTTCTACACATCCGCACCATGGTGCAGTATGCTGTAATTGACTGAATTGCGGTGTGTATGAACGATCGTGATCTTGCTTAGAAATCATTCGTTACGTTAGCTTGGCTTTCGTTAGAATAATAAACCTGACTGTTGAAAATTTATTTTAACGATCGATAATTAGAAAAACACTGGCTTTTATGAAGTACAGCACAAATACATGGCCGCACAGTAATGGTGTACGTGCATTCACTGACGAAACAGTTGTTAATCCGCCGTTAAGGTCGTTCTGGTGATGTCTAATACTGGGAGCAGAAGTATTTACTGTACAGTACTTATTATTACTGTACTGTAGTACTTAACTACACTTTACTTATCACAGAATTTCTTGTGACAGTACTTACTGCACAGACCTCGTAAATAAAAGGCAACCCTACAAAATAGAAATCGTGACAGTGGAGTTTCCATGCAACCAGTTCCATTTTCCCAGTATAGGAAGCTGCGTTGTGCCACACTGCAAACTGCAAAGCATGCCTGCCTGTATGCACTGCATACATGATCACGCACACGTCGCATATTAAGCACGCAATATTATAACTAACAAAACCAAGCAGTTTATCGATTAAGCAGCAACAAAATGCATCTGCCATGTGTTGGCTATCATGCATCTGGTCTTTCTTGTATGCATCATCCCATTTATAATTAGCGCATTTTTTACCCCCAAAACACGATCTCTTTATTGGGCGAATCGGTTTCTTCCTTTCGTTGTCACCTCACTGCCTCCGCGTCGCTTTCTGCGTAATTCTAGCCGTCACCTTATAATGCGCACTTCGGAGCAATTACCGCCGGACGAACTACCGCTTTTTGACCTTTTCCTTGATAGCGACGTTATGGATGAAGAGCCTTCTAAATCCGATTTCGACGTTCTTCCACCGATAGTCTTAAACGTGGATAACGACCAGAATCTGCTCCTTCCCGAGATTCGTCTAGACCCCGACGACACCCGTGCGTACGACCGCTTTTACGGTCCGCCTCCACGCGGGCCTCCCGGAGGCGGTCGCGGCTTTCCCGGAGGTCCGCCACGCGGCCCGCCCGGCCCACCGCCGGGGTTCCGCGGTCCCCAACCACCCGATCATCGTGGACGTCCCAACTTCGGTGGACCGCCGCCGCGCGGACGGGATGACGACCGTCGACCTCCACCGCGGGGACGGGACGAGGAGCGGCGACCTCCGCCCGGGCGGGATAGGTCACCGCCTCCGAGGAAGGAGGCCGGAAATTCCGACCGTAGTCCTGGCCGTCGACCGCCGCCGGGCAATCGTCGGCCTTCGGATTTCCGCGGTCGACCGGGGAATGATCGGTTGGGACGGCCGGGCGAGAGACCGCGTGATAAGTCCCCGGCGGAAGGCGGTGATAATCGGGATGAGAGTCCAGCGCGCGGTGAGAGTTAGAATTTATAACATTCCAGGCTTTTAATCTGTATGCGCAGACTTGCTGTTATCGGCCCGGTTTTTCCGTTTTTCACTTAATATTTGAACTAAAATAAATAAACCGCAAGTTACCACATCTTTAAAAATACTGTAAAATTTCAAAAGTTTTACAAAAACTAATCTACTTATTCAGTTGTTTACAGTATTTATAAGTTTTAGTGTTTTGTAAATTTTTTTCGTATTTTAGAAATTTTTAGAAATTAATGTCCGATGAAAATTAACGTTTCCTAAGCATTTTCCTAATTACAACCTATATTTTTGATTTCGTATTTTTGCAATTCACTTTACCGCTTTCGAGTTTTTTTGGTGTGTTTACAGCTGCTTGTGTATCTAATTACCGGTGCGGAGCAGCGCGCCAACGTTTTGCATTATGTCGCTTTTTCCCATTTCAGACCGTGAAGGCGACAACCGTTCTCGTCCAGGACCTCCCGAGCGTCCCAACGCCCGCAGTCCAGGACCGCGGCGCCGGCAGCGCCCACCATCCCCTCCCAGCCGCGCCAACAATCCCTCCCCGGCACGCCCCCGCCCGCCGGTACCTCTCCCCTCTAACCCCAGCGGTGAAGGCGGCGACGACGAGGAAGAGGAATCCGAGGACGAGGAAGCCATCCCCATCCGCACAGGACCGCCGATCCACACCCGCCCCACCCCCGACCCCCGGCCATTCGGGCCGCCCACCCTCCCGCAGATCGGGGAGCGTCCCATGCCGCCCATCACCACCCACCCGCTGCGGCCGACTCCGCCTAACGCGCTGGCCACGCCACCATCCATGTTCCACCCACCACCGCCGCCGTTCCCACACGGACATCCACCCCGACCACCGATGCCCCATCACCCTCCAGGACAGCATCCTCCAGGGAACCCGCACCATCGACACCACCCGGGGTTCCCGCCGGCGCCGCCCCCTCCGGTCCCGACGACCCCGTCGACCACCGTCCAGACAACCTCCCAACGCCGGCAGGACGCACCGGGGAAGGAGAGTGATGATGAGTCCGACAGCGACGCGGAGACGACACCTAAACCGGTGACTACCCCGGCTCCGGTCGCTCTCCCGCCTCCGGTGCCTCCGCCGCCAATCCACCATCACAGACCCCATCACCACCACCCGCCTCCACAACCAATGCTCCCGCCGCCACCTTTCCAACCTCCACGGGCTTTTGTCCCACCTCCAGCTCCACCGCCACCACCTCCAACGGTTCTGGTGACCCTTCCGCCTGCGACGCTCCCTCCGGACACCCTCAATCACCAACGCGGAGGGGTCGACGCGTCGGAGAGCGCCAACACCGTCAAGGAGATGGGCCGGGAAGGGGACAGTCTCCGCCTCGTCTGCCCGTTGAAACCTCAACCGGAGACCCAAGCCAGCCACATCATCTGGACCACCCCGGAGCAGATGGTCTTCCGGCACGGGAAATCCGGCCGCCACATCGTCCAACCGGCCGGCGCCCTCATCGTCCACAACCTCCAGTCCATCGACGAGGGCGCCTACACCTGTTCCCTGGTCCACGGGAAACACATCGTCCGCAACGGGACGGTGGTGGTCAGTATCGAGGACTGCAGTATGTCGCCGTGTATGAACGGCGGGGAATGCGAGGACCTCGACGGGAAAGGCGGCGCCAAGCTCCAGTGCCGGTGTCCGGAGGCCTTCACGGGACGTTACTGCGAGACGAAGAAGAACATCTGGCTCCTCCTGGTTCCCATCATCGGCGCCGGGATCGCTGCCATCGCCATCATCGCCCTGATCGTCCGCTACTGGTGTTTCCGCAAGAAACCGGCGAAACTGTACCAACCTGTTCCCGTGGGCCCGGAGACGGAGGTCCCCGCGGAGGTGGCGGTGCAGCCGGTTCCCCGGAAGTCCGTCCGCGCGTCCTACGCGCCAATGGCGGCTCCGCGGTACGACGCGGCGGTGCAGTCGCAGTGGCCGGACCAGCGACGATATTCGTTTATGCGGCATTCGGACGGGGCGCAGATGCAGGCCGGGTACGGGCCGTTGCCGGCGCGGACCAGCTTCGTGGCGCCGACACGGACGTATAGCCACGCGGAGCCATGGAGGTACTCCAGCGGTGCCGTGGTTCAATCAGATGGTGTTCCGCAAGCTCACTTTGTGGAGAATCCGGGAACCCATGGTCCTAGGATGGGGTCGATGGCGCAGCATGGCGTACAGCCGGAAATGCAAATGCCGGTATGTGTTGTCGTTGTTATCTGCAATTTCATGCAGCGTTAATATAAATTGATACGAAATGTTCAGCAAATATATGAATTTTTATAACCATAATAATTTTGTTTAAAAATAGAAGCTGATAACTGGTTCAGCCAGAAAATAGCTATGCATAAAATCCAGTTATTTTTCATTGATTAGCTGAAAGTCGCGTACACGATATCAACATAATAAGAAAGGGAGTCAGCGCAAATTGAGAGAATTCTAAAAAATAATTTTGTAATTAACGCAGGCCCGGGTGTGGACATCGAATGTTTAATAATAAACGTTTTGAAAAAAATACGAAATAAATAATTAAAAACTACAACAACGGCAAATACAACGAAATACAACGGGGAAACGCGATTTGTGTAATAAGTACGATCCCCGATCAGGACTAGAAGTTTTTCTGTTATAAATGCCGTTTTCTTTGGTACATAGTTTGTACTCGCATTACGATACAGTACTTATTAAAGTTAGCGGAAATCAATTAAGAACTCGCTGCTTGAATTTACTCGATACTTTCCGGACAAGAAAATAACTTAAAAATAATTTAAAAAAATTAATTTTTATTTTAATTTATTCCATATAAAAAGTTTATCAAAAAATTCTTTATTTTAATTAAGTAAAATAATTTATCAATTTATTTTTTATTTTGTAATAATTTATTTATTTAGTTTATCATTACCGGTAGGCGTATAAGCACTGGAGTACAGTGGGAAAAGGTCACGGAGTTACCCTTGAGTTGTGCTTTTCCCAATCTTTCGTAATAATTGTCATTATTGCCGTTAAGTAGTCCTTTCTTCCTTTGCAGCAGCCCACGGATTACGCTCCCCCGTTAGCACCGCCTCCGTTTGTGGGACACGCCACCGGGCAGCGGTACCTGCCGAACGGCCAGCACCGTTTCAGCTAGGCGAAGATTTTGCTCGGATATTGCAAAATCATCCCTGCAATGCTGCATCATGTGTATTTCGATCTACTTAAAAGGTTTATAATTTCGCAGTTATGCCGAGACTATTTTTCAAGTTCATGACCAGTAGTTCCTGCTTAAAAACGCTTGCGAGATCCATGATGTTTGTATGCTCTCCCTGGGAACGTGGTCATTTTTTTGAGGTATTTTGTTGACCTTTACGGTAATGTTGTCTTGCACAGATAACGTGTGCATCAGGCAAATAAAAAAGTTAAAACCCTGGCTGTCCTTTATTGACCTTTCGCTGTCATAGCCTGGAGTAAAAAATCACGCGAAATTTGTTAATAAAAAAAATTAAAAAGCACATCAGAAATCCTGCCTGGCAACAGCACAGTCACCATCCCGTAATTTTTTTCTCTTCCCTCGTCAGTTGTGCTATTTTCCAGTTACTGGTAACTTGCCCTGATTTGATCGCCCGTTGTGTGTGATTAGTGTATACGCTGTATTATTCCTCGTCTCGATTTATCATGCACGCCGTCGTCCGCTGCCTGTTGGCTCTCCTGCTGGTCGCCATCCTCCAACTGGCCCCGATACTAGCCGGCGGCGATTGGTACTACAACAGCCCGGGCTGTCGGCAGGGATGGGGCGGCGCCTGCTCCCCGCAGCGCGGCGACTGCAGCTGCTGTGTGCCCAACTCCCCCACGATGCGCTGGTGCGAAGCCAACATCCGCTATCCCGACTGGATGCAGTTTTAATGTGGACTAAGCGCTGCGTGCGTGCTGTGTGTTTGTGGCATGGTTTGTGTGCTGTTTATCGCCCTGGTTGATGAAAATTATTAAAGGTCATACTCAGATGCGGCTTTTCGTGGCGCTTGTGGTAGTAGTCGGTACATATTCCAGAAAGGTCAAATAATTTAACAATCCCAACAGATTACATCAATACCCTTTGTAAGTAAGAATATTCTTAAAGGTCACCTATATTATAGCCACATCTGCAGTATAAACGCCGCTCAACATACGGTAATAGTGTTACAAAGGTTACTCGTTTTCTTGCCACATCTAATAGTGATTAATAAGTACTTAATCATTTCCCTATCAACGTAAACTTGCAGTTGACGAAAGAGTGTCTCAAATTTCACACCTGCTTTGGAATAAGATACGACCTTGGATATCGATAATACTAAGTAATTTAATAACGAACATTAATTATTCATTAATTTTACAACATCCACTCTCAGTACATACTTTGGCAGTGTGCTAATAGCTTTTAGCAGACATTAGCGCAGCCACTAAGTTTTTTTCAGGTCATTTCAGGGTTTACGTTACTTTAATTCCAATTTTCGTAATGCCCATTCGACCGAAATTAATTACTTAATTACGCACTTGACACGTCTCGTCAATGTCTGTCACGCCCATACTGCATGTAAACTGGATTACTGCGATGGGATTCTGGCAACATGGCTACTGCTGCTGAAGAAAGGCGATGTATGTGTTTTGAGAAGTGTCGGTACAGTCAGTCAAAATTCTACTTGTTTTCTACCTGTTATAGCATTACCATCGATGATTAAAAAGAATTGTATAACTGCCAAAACAAGCTGCATATTTTTTTAGGTTCCGCGTGCTTCTTCCGAGATCCTCGGCCCCACATCATAACATGCAAGCAGTTAAAGTAGGCAGCGAACACTACGCTACAATAACGACACATTTTTCCTCCAGCTGTGTTGTGTGGGTCTCAAAACTTTCTTGGAATCTACGATGTGTCGTGTCTGCGAGCCCGACCGGGAATTCTGCTGCCCCTACCTGGGACTCTTCCCTGATCCTTCCTGAAGATCCCTGACCTGTTCCCCTACCACGACGCAGACGACACCCAGTTCCAACGATATTGCATTGTACGTACGCCTTTGGCTTGGTTAGTGTCCAGACGACAGCGCCATTCGTCGGACCTTTCACAACTCCACCTAATGGTTTCCTTGCAATCAAAAATTACGCCAACCATTCTGCGCAGGATCCTCACTCAGAAACACTAGCAGCGTCCCACAGTGGATGATCCGTCTGGAATATCTCCGAACTTTAATTTCACGTATTCTACAACGGGATCTACTGACGCTTCGACGCAGCCGGAAAACGTGGTATGTGAAAATCTGTGGTATGGGTGTTTCGATCGATCCGCGCTGGGTGCTCACCACCGCAAAGTTGTGACCTTTTTCAGCAATGCGTGCAAGAAGTGTATGTTTTTCGTAGCACACTCAGCGGCAAATACTTAATCAACCAAAGAATTATTTTAAAAATATTTCATCTGCTGTCATAAATTTAAAACTCGTTTTATTATTGCAAAAAATTTCACAAGTAAAGCTGTCAACGGCGATATAAATAAACAAGTAACAAAACCTAGTTGAATAAGTACAAATAATAGAATTTAATAAATATTAAAATAAATAAATAAGTAATGCTATGGATTACGTTCTTTAGTAATCGACATTTAATTATTACTTCATTTAGTAATATCGATCATTACTTCCTTTAATAACTATTATTACTGTATTGGTTTTATGGTATACGGTCTCCGACGTCCGCCGAAAGCGGCTGTTTCTGACATCCGTCAGAGCACGTGTGGCTGCGCCAACAAGGGAACCCGGCCGGGTGGTGCTGCGGCGGGAAACCAGAACCCAAAAGCTGCGGTTTATTGCGCGCCGAATTATTATCCTTTTTAGCACTTGAAATCTTATTTAAAAATTTTTAAAATGGACACAAAATTTTAAAAAAATTAGGAGATATCCCAACAAGTGTAGATATAAGCAGTACATCCAAGAGGTTTTGGAAAAATGTCAGGAAAAGCGGAATTCTTGTTATCGGAAACCCACTCCTGTTTTTATAAGCTGCGTTGCATGATTATATTTTTTGTATAAATGAAATAATTTTCAACAACACGTACACATCGATGTTTTTTTTGCAAAAGATGTAGTTGTTTAACCGACTTCTGTTACTTTGCGGAAGGATTGCGGAGCCCCGTTGTAAATATTTTTTGATGGCTCTTTCCTTCATGCAAAATTAAGCAGCGTTTTTCACTTCCAAAATTTTCATGGATGGGATTAATGGTTTGTTGCGATTGGCCATATAATGGTACAAGAAACAGCCTCGGCTTCGCCTCCGCGTTTCTTGTGGTCCATGGCCATTTTATTTGAATCTGAATGAATATTTATTAAAACAACATCTATATTTCGTCCAAACATGCTTGGTTCATGCAATAGGGCAAACACCAATTTTCTATGAAAATCAGTTCATGATTCTCTCAACCTTGAAAGCATTCCCTTTTGCTGTACATACAGATAATTTTACGATATGACCTAGCGGACCTAGCGGACTCTGTGCACTGGACAGTAGTGACAGCTCGGTCACCCGCTCACCTCCCGGGCTCTGTGCACGGACAGCAGTGGTAGCTCGGTCACCCCTTCACCGAACGGGCTTTTTCCGCCGGACGGCAGTGGTAGCTCGGTCACCTGCGCTCCTAACGGACTTTGTACACTGGACAGCAGTGGTAGCTCGGTCACTCGTTCCCTAACGGACTTTGTACACTGGACAGTAGTGACAGCTCGGTCACCCGCTCACCTCCCGGGCTCTGTGCACGGACAGCCGTGGTAGCTCGGTCACTCCTTCACCGAACGGGCTTTTTCCGCCGGATAGTAGTGGTAGCTCGGTCACTCGTTCCCTAAATGAAAAGTAGTGACAGCTCGGTCATTCGCTCGGGCAAGTAGTCTACTGCGCCGCGCGATGTCCGTACGGTGCACTGACGACGAAAGGCAACCGCAGGTCGCTGGGCAGTTCAACACGAGCCGCGCCGGACACCCCTTTATTCACCATAAATCGCAAAGCACACAGGAGGAAATGTGACAATAAAACACAGGAGAACATGTGACAATATGACAACAAGGCTGAATGGGTTTGAATCAACAAGGGCCGGGTGGGAGGGTTGCGCGAAATTTTACGAAGTCTCAGTGTTCAGTTGTTTTTTACGATGAATACTGAGCACTTGCGTTACACATCGAACCCCTCTCCGATTTATGCGTGCCTCGTTGCTAAGTACTACGAGAGCTCTGCGTTAACGACATTTAATGCTTTCAGCATTAAATGGCTTTAACGCTTTCGAGCTCTCGGTGTAAACGTATTGCCGCTTGACGGATGCCGGGGCAAGTAGTCTACTGCGCCGCGCGATGTCCGTACGGTGCACTGACGACGAAAGGCAACCGCAGGTCGCTGGGCAGTTCAACACGAGCCGCGCCGGACACCCCCAAACGGAACGCAACCCCCAACCCGGAGCGGAAGAAAGGCCCAAATGACCGAATTGAAAGATATGCGAATACGAGAGATCATATTCAGACAAACGGACAATTTGTGCTGCTGCATATGATTTTGGACAATTGGCAAAATAACAGGTTGTAACGGATAGGGTGGGTGCTAATTGCGAATTCAGGAAGGATCCGAAAATAGGTGCAGAATGCGAATACATATGACTGATATGAGGCGTGGGAATCGGTGGGATCGCAACGGTGTATGTAGGAGATGTAGAGCCGAATGCGGGTAAAGTCAAGGGTCATTCATATCCGGAAGACGGGTGAGCATTCGTTGAGGGACTTGAGGCTAAACTGATTCCATGGAGTACGTACGTGGGAAATGAGCATTGTCATGGAAGAAATCAAATGATTAGGTATGAATACAAGTTGGCACTAGCATGGAAATGATTAATAGGGTTTAAGTGTTTATTCATTGTTATAATTACTAGAATTGTGCAAGCAGATTGAAGCAATTAAACAAAAATACCGCCTATCATAAAAGCGATTGCAGATACGTAGAGTTAGTATCGTACGTAGAGTAGAGTTAGTATTAGAGATAATAGCGCATTATACATGATCGTACTAGAGTTAGTATTAGAGATGATATTAGATGATTATTAGAAACAGAAACGGCATCAACCGGTTGAGGAAGTCTCTATAACAGACAATGGCTCATAAAACGCTTCCAACGCTAATTATGCAACATTTAAGGTTTACCTAAGCAATCTGTTGGTTTCGATATACTAATAGTATTATATATTATACAAAAACAAAATTAAAACTTATTAAGCAGCCTGCTGTTGGTGGCTTTTTGATATGGTGATGTGCAGTAGTTGGGTACGCGGTTACTGTAATCTCCATACGAGGTTTGATTTTATACTTATGAAAAATTTATGCAAATGTTCCACTGCATCAGAGAGCACTCATCAGGCGAAAACAAAAGGTCAGCATGTAAATTATGGCTTAGGAATAAACCGTATCAATCATATACCCTTGCTAACAATAGAACGGTCTAAATGATTAAAGTTATTGATTAACTGGATGAGTACTTATTATGAAAAATATTCTCACCGAAGAATCAGAGCATCAATGCAAAATTTGAATTGTTCGTTAAAAAAAATGTTCCTAAAAATGCATATCGGTAAGATTTTTGAGAGTGATGACCGTATGTGTAAAATATCCTTTACTGAAACGGTTAGCTTTAACGAGGGTATATAAAGTAAGCTGAATTAAAGAAAGCTGCGGCTGGTAATAGTAACTGCGTCAATAAACTAAAATAAAATATAAAAGTAATGGTAAATGGGTGAAATAGTATAAATTGAGTCATTATGTCCACTGGAGAACATTAGAAATTTTTGAGTAGTCGCATAACGGAATCTAGGATGCAAGTCAATAAAACTCGAGTAAGCAGAAGTTACACAGATAAATTAGTATTAGTTAAAAGTAGGCAGACATACAAAGGGGAATTATCGTACTAGGAATACTTGTGGGATAATTCTGCCTCGCTCGTTACACATTGGTATTTAGACCCAGATTTGAATCTTAGACCGTTAGCTCAAGCAGATTTGCAGCATAGGTATTTTGCAATATGTCAATAATTGTACAAAATTTTGATAACATTAATGTTAACCATGTTATTTATGTAGTTCTAGCGAAATATCTATAGAACTGTAATCGTACGACAGCACGAAATAATTTAAACGGTTAAATTATTTTTATGTAAATGTTGAGCAACTATTAAGAAATACATTATATTATACAAAAGATTGTATACCATAATGCGCTGCCATGGCGACTGAAGATATAAGAAACAAAGGAGGGAAAAGACACATAAATACGACTTAACGAGAATTGACTGTCATTAAGATGTACTGTACTTGAAATGTACGTAATGAAAATTTCAGATTCCGCAAGGTAATTTTTTAAGGAATTGTGTATATGAAAGCTGCAGTAAAATCTTCGGTGAAAGAAGTAAAGATCGAGTGAATTAAGGAAGAAATCCACACAATGACGAACGTATACCAGGAGCTAACCATAAACAGAAAATTTTAGTAGATCCTATTTGCAGATTAACACTCGAGGAACCCTAGAATAATACTAGTACGGTTGAATAAATTCCCTGATAAACATTAAAGGTCAGCCAGTGTAAAGAAGAGAACGAGCAATTGATGGGGAAGAAATATACGAACGATTACCCAGTTAAGTACAGAATTCCTACGTTAGCCACAACAGACAGTTAAGATGATATAATAAGTAGTTTTAATCGTAAGGCTGGTTAGAAGGAATAAGTGAAAATAAAGTTTATACTGTACGGCCGTTTAGGAGGTTATCATTGACGGTGCTAGCTTCGCCACGATCTTCTGCACAGTATCGGCAAGTAGTTCAACATCGCCGTCGTTGTTGACCATGTGAACGGAAACTATTCCGGGGGGTTTCTGTGAGCAAAACAGAAGCTCGTGGTTGTGGTGTAGATCCTCTATATACTGTTGCGTAATTTTTGTCTCCTCCGGACGGCCACGGGATCGAATTCGGGCAAGTGCGTTTTCTGGCATTGTCCGGACGTAAAGAATATGATGTTCAGACGGGGATCGCGTGCGCTCATAATGCCGGTATGTGCGCTGCAGTTCCTCGAACGCTGGTTGAGGCAGCCAGCCTGCACGGAATCCCATCCGAGCGAAAATATAAGTGGAACTGTATGGGGATCGCTCTAGGAAAATCCGGTTATGTGTGGTTCTTCCAGTATCGATGATAGTACTGTATACATTTTCTCTCTCGATCAAGGACTGGAGTGCAACACGCTGGAAATCCGCTCCAGCATGGGCGGGGTTCTTGCGCGAAATTTTACGAAGTCTCAGTGTTCAGTTGTTTTTTTACGATGAATACTGAGCACTTGCGTTACACATCGAACCCCTCTCCGATTTATGCGTGCCTCGTTGCTAAGTACTACGAGAGCTCTGCGTTAACGACATTTAATGCTTTCAGCATTAAATGGCTGTAGTGACAGCTCGGTCATTCGCTCATCTAACGGACCTCGCTCTGCCGGACAGTAGTGGTAGCTCGGTCACTCGTTGTACACTGAACAGTAGTGACAGCTCGGTCACCCGCACACCTCCCGGCCGCACCTTCCGCACACCTCCCGGTGGTAGCCCGGTCACCCGCTGACCTAGCGGACTCTGTGCACTGGACAGAAGTGGTAGTTCGGTCACCCGCCCACCTAACGGACTTCCTGCGCCGGACATTATTGACAGCGTGGTCACCCGCTCACCTACCGGGCTCTGTGCACGGACAGTAGTGGTAACTCGGTCACTCGTTCCCTAACGGACTTTGTACACTGGACAGTAGTGAGAGCTCGGTCACCCGTTCACCTCCCGGGATTCACCTCGGCTTCGCTTCCGCGTTTCTTGAGGTCTACGGCCAGTCTATTCGAATTTGTATTTTAATCGTTTTCATTCGTATCTTTTGGCTCTGTCAACTGGACTGTAGTGGTAGACTGGTGGGGCTTTCTGTACCGGACAGTAGTGGTAGCTCGTTCACCCGCTCACCTAACGGACGTTGCACACTGGACAGTCGTGACAGCTCGGTCACCCACTCACCTCCCGGGCTTTCTGCGCTGGACATTAATGACAACGCGGTCACCCGGTCACCTCCTGGGCTCTGTGCACGGACAGTAGTGGTAACTCGGTCACTCGTTCCCTAACTGAAAAGTAGTGACAGCTCGGTCATTCGCTCACCTACCGGGCTCTCTGCACCGGACAGTAGCGGTCAGAAATCCTACGCGCTAAAGATGTTGAACACATACGGTGATAATTTAGAAAGGTGATGTTTGTTTAGAAGTAAAATACGATGATAAATATGCACTTGTTTAGAAATTGCCCTCGATGACAACGTTCGATATGCAGTCATTCTTGTCGCAGTAACGGTCTGCTAATTAAATGCATTCTGATTAATTTAATTAGTGGAAAGTACTTTAATTTTTTAACTATAATTTATTTGGTTTACGTGGCAACATTGCCTGGTTAAAAATACCACGATGGTAATTATTGCTATAATAATTTAGTTACATTTGGTGAAGGTTGTCAAAACTCCTCCGCTTGGACGCTCGAAGCGGGAGAGGTTTTGAAAGAAATGAATACTATCTGGCCGGGTTTTCCACTACGGGCTCTCAAAATATAATATTGGTTTTGGTCAGTCTTTTCTGGTTTGCCGGCTCATGTGTATCCCATTCGTGGCAATATAGATCTAAATCTTGATACACGGTACTGGACGTATCGGTTATTTGGATCTGTTATTCAGCCTTAAACTACGTGAGGAACACGCTTGACCTTTACACGCTATATTTGTAGATGACAAAATGCGCGGTGTTGGAACTTCATCAAATTGGATCCCATTACAAGATCGACCGATCGATGAATCATCGACTTCCATCGCAAAACCAACCAGGAATACTGGAGGAAAAGAAAGCTGCATGATTCAGTGTTCATTACGATACAATATTTGACCCAAGCTGTTTTTACGAAGCGTATCAATAAATGCTTCCTCATTGCTAAGCAACCGTACGAAATCCGGCCTGCTGCGGCTCTTGCCGTTGTGCAAAATCAATAAAAACGTTGTAGATCGAATTACGAACTGCAGTATTCGGTATCAATTAAAAATACATAATCCAACGATAGTACTTGGCACTTGCACTTCGGAATAACGACATTGTCACATAGCTTAGATCCCAGCACACCTAGCACTAAACCGCTGTAGCGCCACCCGCGTCTCGGTTCTTTTCAAGCGCACATACGCGGTGACGCCGCCCGCCTGCCGCAGAGCCCTAACAGCTACCCTGCCATGACCGCCGGGCCTCAGCGCCCACTTGCGGAACAACACGTCAGCGTTTTGCGAACTGCCCGTTCTTGCGTTGAGGACCCCGACTACGTAGTCATCGACTTCCGGAGCTTGCACTGTCTCCTCGAGTACCTGATCAACTATCTCTAACTAAGTTTTTGAGGTTGAGGACCCCGACTACGTAGTCATCGACTTCCGGAGCTTGCACTGTCTCCTCGAGTACCTGATCAACTATCTCTAACTAAGTTTTTAAGAACTGAAAGCCGTACATTCTGCATAAAAGCAGTGACCTTTTCAGGAGCTGGCCATATGTGGTCCACAAGTTTGAATAAAAATGGCCAAGGTCTGCATCACTAGCAGGGCGCTTTTAACAGATTTGTTGGTGGAAGAACATGTCGCGCCGTATTTGTACAAAGACCAAAAATTAATGGTGTTGATATGAAGGTTGCACTACGATTTCGCGGTTGCTTTTGCAAGATTGTTTTATCGTTCTAAATCTATTCGGGGCACGCACAAATCTGAAAACATCTCTACAATTATTCACTTAATGCAGTGGTCATAAGCACTTGAAAATGGTTTAATTCCTGCAAAACTGGCCAGCAATCTGGCGTCAGTACAATCAATTGTTAACTCGGTAGAAGTGCTAGAAGCAAATTCTTTGGGCATTACACTTAGAAAGACAGGAATCGCATTATACCGTAGCATTAAGATTTAAGAAAAACAATTTTTCCGCTCCCATGATACAATATAATTACCAAAAACGCAGTTTGTAAATTTAATAAAACTCCTAATAAAACTTGCACAAATCACAATAATTTATTGAAAAATTGCGTGCGGTTACAGTAGTGTTCGACTGGATGCTGTTAATGACAATCATGAAACACGGGTTCGGTGACCTTCAGCTCTCTATGGCGATCTCGTAGTCTTTGCTGGCAAATCATTGGGCTCGCTTTGCTGGAATTACCATCATGTCGTTGGCTATAATTCACGCACTGCGAGCGTCGCGCACAACCATGCTTGATCTGAGTTTTTATCGGGTGCATATGAACAACTTGGACATATGGCCTCTCTGATAGACAATTTATTCACTCGAATGGTAGTTTTCTGCTTTGGCCTGCACAATTTACTGAGAACAGATATCGAAAATTAATTGGGATGTGACAAAATAGTATACTCGTACATAATTAGTACAAGTATAACTGTACTTATTCCTGTTCGCATAATGTACGTACTGTGATGCTAGAAATAATTATTAAGTATCATCTTTCTTTCAAGTTGAAGGTTCCACCTTGGTAACATGAAACTACGTAAAAGTACGTAACGAAACGCGTCACATTGCAGTACTTATTGTAACACGGGTGAAAACAAAACTTAGGTTTGCGCATCTACGTGGTACGCACATTATGAGAAAAAGACTGTTCTTATAATAATGTACATTATCGTATCCGTTTTTTTAGCAGATTGCATAAGCAGAAAAAGCGCTAGAAAGTTCGATCAAAAGGTTGCTTTGCTTCAATACGGATCATTCTAACTGCAGAGACATGATTGAACATCCGTGAACTAAAAGGAGTCTCTCATCACATCCGGGTGTTGTAGTGATATTTAATTATTGTTTGTTCGTTGCTCGTTGGTGTTTGATCATTCTAGCATTTCGTGCCACGAGAATAGTAACAGCAGCAACATCTACCTCCTCCTAAATCTTAGAAGGGATGGCGTTATCGACCCGGTGTTAATTTATTAATCTACGTACAGTTCATCTATTTAACATTTAATTTTTAGTTTGTCAGTTCCATTTTAATTTTATACAGGCGCTCCTTTATCCGGTGTTAATTTATTAATTAAGTTGCTTATTTGTTTCTAATTTTATATCGGCCATCTGCAGTTTATACTTATCCATTTTTTACTATTAATTTAAAATTGGATGGTGAACTACTTCTATTTTATATCGATGGGGAATATGGAGAACTCTGATGTTGTTGTGGAATGTGGTCGAGAGGATGAAGCGCGTGATTGTGGCACAACAGTAGCAGATGCAGAAAACCAAGTGACCTTGGATTTTTCAAACGCAGGCAGACGGAACGAAAATGTTCCCTTCGGCCATGTCCACCACACCGCAGCTGCAGTCAGTTCCTCTGGTCCTGATACTTTTCTTGATCCCTGCAGCGTCGATTCAGGTAATTTTTGAAAACTATAATTAACGTCCTTGAAAGAAAATACTTTTTTAATTTTACAATGCTAAACCATGGAGTATGACGTGTTTTTCCCGATTATTACAATACTCGTATAAACACTAACGTTCTCTATTAGGATACATTATTAATGGATAACAACAATCTCTACCCGGGAATGCCTTTTCATTAAATCGTACAACCAGATATATATTGTTTAAAATTTCTCGGTAATGAAAATTAGTGTAAATGCAGGCCAACCGGCGCTTTTCCGTTCCTCTTCATCGTCCGTCGACCAGCTGACGCCGACCAGTCTGGATGTGCGTGACTACGAGGCGATGGCGGCCTATCTGGAGAAGCGACTGCTGGACCGGGAGCAGCTGCTGCACGGGACGGGGCAGGACATGGAGGCGCTGCGTGCAGAGTACAGGCAGACGCTGACCGAAAAGAACGAGACGCTGCAGAAAATGGCGCGGGCGCAGAGTGGCTTATTGAGTCAATTTGGACATCTGCAAACCCAGTACGAAGGGTACCAGGAGTATGCGGAGTCTACGTTAGCGTTTATGCGGATGAAATACCAAGAGGTTAGTTCACGTGGAACAAGAAGGAGACGACGACTAGCTTTTCGAGAAAAATTATTTCACTATTATTATATGAATTATTTCATAACTCGCTGGTTTTGCGTGGAAATATGACATAATGATATCGAGCATCGTGGTTCGTTCGCTGTGTAAGACTGCGAACGGCCGATCACAGATTTTCATAAATCTGAATTTATTTCAGTTATCTCTTTATACGTCAAAGTAAAAGGTTTTTCTTTTGTTTGCAGCTGGAAGCTGAGAAATGCGCATCGGAAATGTCCTTGCACTCCCGCATCGCCGCCCTCGAAGCGGAACTCTCCTCCTTGCAGGGTACTCACTGCGAACTTAAGACCCAGTCCGAGCAACTGACAAAGAGTACCCAGGATGAAGCTGCTTTTGTTCTGCGGCGGAAACTGAAGGAAACGGAATCTCTGCTGATGACAGCGCTGCAATGCGATACATCTGACGATGAACCGAGTGTCGTTGAAGAATCAGGGGATATTCTGCAGGACGGCATTAATGTGCGAAAAGTCGTCGTGAGGTTGGTGCGCGCACTGAAGGAGATCAAGGCGCTGCGGAAGATCAATGGTGCGCGGAAGGATGAGATTAGCGAGTTCAATAGGGAGATTGCCGAATTCCGCGAAGAGCTGGAAAGCAGCACCATCGAACGCGACAAGTAAGCTGACCAGTCTGTGCTACTCAAGCTGCTCTTTTTAATGGCACAATTACGCTAGTGTAAATTGTTTTGTGGTTACTGGTTTAATAATTCCTGTTGCTCATGTTGCCTGCAGTTTAAAACGAGTGAATCCAAGATTTGTAGCCATTTGAAAATACCAATGAAATAAAAATCGTTTAAAAATTATCGTTGGTATGTTTTTATTTGAACCAAGAATTAATTATTTTGCTTTTATTTTTAGAGTGTTTTGTACCGACGTTGTGAATGGCTCCGCCCTGCAGCGGGAGAACTTCGCCGTTGTGAAAGGTCTTGGAGGAGATGAAGTACTTCAGTGTGGCGAAGAAAGCGACGGCTCTACCCCAAAGGGAGTCAAACGGAGACGCGAAGACCTGTTCGCAACAACCGATAAGCGCCAGAAGAGCGAACCAGGCACCATCAGTCCCTCAACTTCATCGGTGCCGGAAGCACTACCGCCGTTCCTTCATGATGTCGACGCAGTCCGCTTCTTGCCGGTGGAAATCATGACCGAGGTTTTCCAGTACCTGCACGTCGTTGACCGGTGCCGGGTACGGGCGGTATGTGCCGGCTGGAACGCCATTCAGCAGTCGGCCGCCGCGAGTAGCCTGCAGCAGATTCAGTTTCATTGCAAGGGTGATTTCAGTCGCGCACTCTCGGCGTCCATAGGCTGTGCGCGTGCCGTTGATGTCCCTGCACAGCGTTGTTGGAGCCGTCGCACTGTTGCCGTTGTTGGCCAGAATGCCAAACGGTCAGCGCAGCGGTGGCCGCTGTGTGGTGCTCGTTTCCTCCGGGAGATCATGCAAGGCGGGGCAGAGGAGAAGAAACTGGAGAATCTTGCGCTAAAGGATATTAGCTGCCGCTTTTTGGCTGGTCACAGCTTCCCTGCGCCCGATTACATTGCTGCGCTCCACAAGGGGTTCGACACGCTGGCGGCAGTGTGTCGGACACTGACCGTTAAGAATTTTACGTGCACAATTGACTCGTCATGGAAGGATGGCCTCGTGCCGATAACGATCCACATCCCCTTCGGACGGATGCGCCACGATCGGCGCCTGTCTGTCGCTGACTGGTGGGGCATGATCGAGCAACGCTGTCCGCTGCTGGATGACCATCAGACGAATCTTGTGTCAAATGCGCTGAAGGAATACAAACAGAATCCCGGCTTAGCTGACCAACTGGAACTGGTAAGGACAGTCTAACACGTTGTGATTGCTGAATGTATATGGGTTTTACGCTTCACAGATTCGACGTGGACGGCAGCATAACGACCCTCGAAAGGGTTGCACTTACCTAAATTCCTTCGATTCACCAAATGCTCCGCTTGCCTCCGTCGACGTGAATCGTCTGACCCGAATGACGCAATATTTGATGTATTGTGAGATCACCAACGTGGCAGTCAATGCTGAACTGAGCTGGCCCACGTATTCCTAATCCTGTGCCCACGCGTGCCTAATCCTGTACTGCGCGTAATCTTCTTAGCTTGTCCACTATTGGTTACACCTTCTTATTAGGCGAAATTTCCGCTGGAATGAGCCGCTGGAGGAATGACGTTTCAGGACTAATTAGCAGAGGATGGCTGACCGTATTTGTCTAAGTTGTATAAGCTACAGTGTATTTTATGTGGTTTTCAACCGGTTTTGTTTGCTGGTGAATAATGAGCATTTATTCAAGTAAGCAAGTTTTTTCTATTTCAACATGCCTTAGCTTTTCTAATGATGAAAGATCCAGTATTATAAATAAAAATATTTGTGGTATTCCAATAATTATAATAAGTAAACTATTTGCGGTATACAGTACAGTACTCGTATTACAGATTTTGGCGAAGGGTTTTGTGGATTCCTCAATTGTGGACAATTTAGTTGCAAATATGCCTTCACAGAGGTTTCTTGAGAGTTAACAACAAAAAAAAACTCCTTAACAGTTGTGACATGTGTTGTTGTTAATTATAACCTACATGTACAACATAGCAAAGCAAGCATTACGTATGCGATGAATAGTACAGTACGTACAAGATTCGCTCGCAACAACTGGTTGTTAGTGGGTAAGGTGACCTTTAACACGATAGAGCCTAACATGCGGGCACTTTTTTACATCCCGATTTAATGCAGAAATGGTTTGTCGTCTTCGGTAGTGTAATAATTATATTGTTATCCTGATACGAAGGCATACTCCACACACGTCTTGAAATATTCAGTTATCACAAGGAATGATGGTAGAAGTAGTATCCTGATACAAAGACTTACTCAACTCATATTTTGAAATATCCGCTAATCATCAGGAACGATGGAAGTGGACGCGGAATCGCGGCCGGAGAGCTCAACTGGCGCACCAAGCAAGGATATTAATACACTAGAACATCCAGCAGTCGATGAAGTCGAAGAATTCAACGGGCATCTAAAACGCCTTCCACAAACCAACAACTACACAAAGTATAAGGGATTTTTAATCTATGGCCTCCAGTATCCAACCAATATCTTATCAGGTTATGCTGATCGAGTCAAAGGAGATTCATACTATGTGTGTCAACTGCATTACAAGCCGGCGTCGTTTAGTTGTTTTTCCTGCCGCTTGTACAGTGAAAAGGGAACTATTGCCGGAAGTGTTGGTGTGTTCGAATTCATGCCAGTGCCGAATATGCGGGATTATGAAGAACTGACAAAAGAAATCTGGAAGTGTTATGGCAATGTGGCACCAGTGAAAGTCAAAATTATGCGCAGACCCGGCGAATATGAACAAGGCTGCGCCATGCTTGCTTTAGTTCACGCTTACATTTTTGTGGACGAACAGCCTTTCTGGAATGAAATTTATAAAAAACAGTTCCGCCCGCACGTATTGAAAAAATGGATGGACGACTGGCGTGATGGAAATATGCATCCTCCCGAGAATTTCGATACCAAAATCGCATTCGTAAAGCACCCAAATGTTATTCTGCCCATAACGCAAACGGTCATTGACGAAATAGAGGTGCGTACCGTTTTGAGAGTTTATGCCTGCAAGAGGCGTTAAAGTAACGGATGCTATCGTGCCGGAAACGGCATAGATTTTTAATGAAGCGCAAGATCTAGTTCGAATATTTGACTGTAAATACAAATGTGAAAAGGCAGCTACTTGTACTTCGAAAACTAATATGATTTATCAGACGTTTGTTTATTGCACAGGCAAGAGAGAGTATTCCAGATATTTCCACGTCTTCAGGGACAACGCCCACTTTAAGGATGCCCAAACACACAAAAACACGAAGGAATGTCGGATCTGCCAAAAAAGGGTCCCAAGGCCGTCGAGGCAGCCAAATTGACAAACGAGACACTACTTCCGCGTCAGATACGGAAGCTGAAAGCGTAGATCCTCGTCAAAACGCAAGACACAAATCGCAATCGGAGATCTTTCCGTCCGAAACGAGTATGGAAACTGATGACGCAGCTGCTCCGACTAAATCCAGTAAGAATGTGCGGCGTAAAGTGTAAAAGCATACTGATATTCTCATGTAGCCCCACCCCGGTTTCGATTTCGGTTTCTTTGTGCTTTCTGATAAGGATCCAGTAATGAATGCAATTTAGGCTGACTGATTGTACGTTTCGGATTTCAATAACAGATAAGCGTTGTTCGTGAAGAAACTTATTCCCTGATAAGTGCTAACGGTTTTGTACCGCAACATCAAGGTCGCATTGTATGACCGCTTTAACTGAACTTCAATTCGCGGCAGAACAGGCAGCCGGTTCCCGGCTAAAGCGACAGGATAGCCTACATCAGGAAACTACGTCAATAATATTTTTGAAAAAAATTCCCAGGGCAGAAAGTAGAAAATTGTTTTGAAACAAAAGGTCCAAATAGACTGCTTCGCGACTTGCGAATCCTATTTTCCAAGTGTTACAAAGAGATCGGTTTGAACTCCACCGCGGGTTGGTTTTGCTACGCGTCCACATTACACCCTTGACTATTAGGCAGCTCGTTCGGAAACTTGGTCCAGCGGTCAGCAGTTCTTGGTTGCGTTTTATGGCCCAGCGAAGACAGGAAGCCGCTTAATTTAATTTGTTCACGACAACGACTCATTTTTGCAACTGTTTTTATTTGTTTTCCAATTTTCATTGGGATCGCGCCACACGTATTGTAATTTGAAGGCTTTCTAGTTGCACCGGCAAATGCCGTAGCGGATTTGTGGGGTTTTTCGCTCCAGTTAATTGCTTTTGAAGTTAAATCGTTTGCTTCTGTAATGTAAAACAAACCGAAACCGGAAAGACGTAGACAGTCTTCTTGGTTAAACCCTATCCAGTTTTTACGGAGAAAACGTTCCATAATGGGTGATAAATTTACAACCTAGTGTCAAATTTGTTAGAAGGAAAACCTGGATTTACTAATCCTAAAACTATGGAAATCGGAAAAATTGTGAACGATCTACTCCTTAAAAGCCAAAAGTTTGGGAGAATTCCGAAATTTCTTGCTAATATGGCGTTTCGACCAGATAAAAGTTTCAGCGACGAGTCTGACGACTTGATACTATTCAAACGCAAGGAATATGCATTTCTCTTGGAGGAATTAACTGGTGTCCTAAACCAGAATGGGGCACGTTTCCCGAAGCATCGCCTGTATTATTACGTGTCTGGCCCACCTGGTACAGGCAAATCCTGTGCAGCTTTAAGTTTTGCGATATGCGCGGCAAGTGGTAAGGCAGTTAACAACCTTAATGATGACACAAAGCTCGTGAGATTAGACGCGCAGTGGGCCGTGCGCTGGATCAAATTGCCCGACAATTCCCACAGCCTGGGAACCTGCATTAATTTCTCGAATGACGGGGAACAGTTAAAAACTACTATAGAAGAATTCAAAGGTTGTGGCGAGGGTGTTGTCACAGAACTTCTGTCAGACATTGACGACCAAGAACGGCGCGTGGTATTTATTGATGGGTACAGGCAGGAGGAATTTATAAAAGATTTGGAGGTACGATTTAAGAACTGGAGGAAAGCTGATTCGCTGTTAACGGGAGGAAACGTAGCAGACTTGAAAAAAAAACGTAGGTTGATATTTATTTCCTCAATGGACGCAAAATCGCCATCCGACGGTAACAAGGGTTGTAAAGTGACACATTGTTCATGGACGACAGCGGAGTTTACTGCCGCCGTGATGAACGATGAATTTTATAATTCCGTTCGAGAAACCTTTGAAGAAGATTACCTGGATGATCTGGACATCGGAGAAACTTTGAAACAAATTGAAATGCCCAAAACAGCCCAAAAGCAACCAAATACAGAACAAGACGAGATAATGCCACCGACCGCCGAACTGGACGAGATAACGCCACTGACCGCGGAACAGGACGAGATGACGGCGGAACAGAACGAGAAAAAGCCACTGACCGTACAAGAGGCCAAGAAGTTGCTTATTAAAAAAAAGACTGGCGTAGCAGGCAGCTCCGCCCGTTACATGTTCTTTTACAATCTGCAAGAAATCAGAGACGACATTAACAGCGCGTTTGAAGATGATGAACTGGTAAAAGACAAAACGAAGACGAGTAAATTGTATGGACGGGAGCGCGAAAGCCTTGATGAAACTTTTAGCGTATACCTAAGCAGATATGTAATAAACAAATTTAACCAGATGGGGAAACCAGAAGCTGTTAAAAAAGAATGGAATAAAACTGTGTTCAACAAACGTGCAGCGTTCCATGGGAATTATTTTGAACGGTTTATCTTCGCTATAACTCGCCACGGAATATCAACTGGGGACGATGTGACACGCTCGACTACGTTTAGCATCAAAGCCTATAAAGGATCCCCAATATTCCCATAACTAGGACTCCCAACTTGGCGGTGCAATAATCATCTGAGTTTCGTTTTCACAACCTTAAATAGCGAAGATAACAAACGGAACCTCAAGGAAATAACAAACAGAGGGAAAACCGAATTCTGGATATTTCCGGAATCGGAATATCAGCCAGCGTTCGATGCTATTTACGTAAATCTCAATAACGGTGGAAAAGTTACCTTCGTTCAGATTACCGTGAAACAGAGAAAAGAATCGTGTGACACGGAAAAATTACAAGAATATCTTTACCGGTTATGCGATGAAGTGGAGCTCTTTGGGAAAAAACCTGGCGGGAAGGGGCGCTCTACCAGAAACAGGCCTCGCAACCTGGTAAAAGGGCCTAACGATGTGGAATTTTGTTATTTGATTCCACACGAGCACCCGAATTTCACGTTTTCTGAGCCCAAGAAAGTAATCGTCCATTTGCCCGGATGGCCTGGGACAGAGGTACCAGAAAAGGGAAAAAATAAGAATTCACTACTACAGATTCGACACCCACCAGTTTATGAACTAGTGGACTGGAATTATGGTAAGTTGGTCTGAATCCTTTGATTTTCACTGTAAGATGTAAAACTGCCGCGGTAGTGAATATTTCTTTCAGAAAAAGCTACCTAGACCACCGCGACACCACGTTACGCTCTTTTCCGACTTCTTAAAACTTTTGAATAACACGGCACTGCCCCTGTTGCTTTTGTTGATAGGGAAGTTTTCGAGTCCTGCATATAGACGTTCGGTTAACTCTGCATTTCAAACAACGTACTGTGTGAAGCGAGGTATCATGCGATTTTAAATATTTCTTTATCAACGCACTGGATGCAGTTTATTATTTGCTTAACTGGTGAAATTGTCCGGAGCGCAGTGAAGGTTGTTCCCTAGTTGTATATAATACCAATACCTAAACGACGTCTTTGCCGAAATTCCTTTGTGGCGTATTTTCTGTCGAAATTGTGGGCATCATCAGTGGTACTGATGTTTCCCTAAAAAATAAGCCGGCAGTGTCAAGTCTCCAGCCACTACCATGATGAGCCTGCGCTCCGGTCTGCCAGTACCCAGTTTGGTGCGTTTTCCTATTAGGAAAGTGTTACACAAACTGGGGTTGTATGACGGCCGCAGTATTACGTAACTCATAAGCAGAAGCGGTCAACCGATTCCGTATGCATGTACATAGAGCGGTGCATACAGCATTCCCGGCTGCAAAAAAATATAAAAGTTATTGGAGTGGAATAGCATAACGTGGTGCGCACACTCTGAACGTGTCAGGACAAAACCGGAAGCCACATCCTATTAACGCCGTTTTTCTAGATTTGGGAAAAAACCAATAAAGGAAAATGTCATAAGAAACAACTTATTTTTTTGCCATCGCTATAAAAGAGATTTCAGCACTGAAGCAGGCGCAAGGTACGTGATAATTACACCCTGCTGCAGATGACGTACAGGTAACGATTAGCAAACTTTTGCCATTATTTCTCCCGGCCGTTACGATAATAATGCTTACAAAACCTACATTTGGCAAGCTGTGATGGTATATTTTAGGTTGATGCGAATGGCCCCGGTGAGTCGGAAAGAGCACTGTGCGCGAATACCTTTGTGAGGTTCTGAGTTCCATTATTTTCTGAATGTAGATACTTTGAGTTTTTGAAACACAGCATTTTGTACAACTAATTCTTTTCTTATCCTTCGACAAGCAATGCAAAGAACCTGACCTTAGTTTTCTCCACTAAACTTGTACTACTTCCTACTAGAAAGGTGTCGAAATTTGTTGCAAAAAAACCGACGATGAAACCAACCCGTAAAACCTTGACTGCATGCAACGGCATAGTTAGTGAACCTGAATGATGGAGCGTAGATGTAAGCCTGATGAACCCTGATTTAAACCCAACTTTTCGTTTCGCGCTACTATTCGGTTAGTTATCAAGTCCCAACGATCGTTGCTGTCGTAGACTTCCCGGTCCTCAGACTGGCGTTTTTTCTGCTCACTGCTGCACTCGTGTGACTACTGAGATGGACGTCCGTGGGACTACGCCAATTCCTAATGGTCAATTCGCCTTGCTGACTCGTAGACAAATCGCTGAATTTCAGGGCTTTAATCGTTAGTCAGCTGTGAATTGGTCCAAATATGTGGAGATTTTCTGAGACTCGTCAGTCTACCGCACATGAGCAACCCATATACTTACTTAATTGACTGCACATCAGAAACGATGCACTGTGCAGCTAGCAAATACGATGCGGCACTTCTTTACGTTTATTTAATGTGTAGGGTACTCCAGGTACCCGTTTGCCTGTACAGATACTAGCGCCTTGATGGCACAGATTACAAGATTTGGTTGTTGATCTTCCCGCAGTTCAGAATGGACGAACAAAGAAAACAACTTTATCGGTGCCTTGTTGAAAATTGGTCATAGACTTGTACGAGTCCAGTAAAGTGACCACGGTCTTTCCCTACACCAGCGCCAGCTATCCGGAGAACGGCCTTCCGTTTGTTAAACTTGAACATCCTGTCAACATTACCCGTTACTGCAAATCTTGGACAACGATTACGTAAATCTTGGATAAAAATTATGTAGACACAAATATTATTAATTTTAATATTTTATCATAAAATCACTGCACAGGCGACCCTTCAGAGTATCGCTGTCAGATCTCTCGACTTATGAAACGTTCCTTGTTGTGTGTCGGGTTCCGGTGAATTTAGCTTCAGTTAAATCATTCAACTGACCTTTCAATAAGTCTGCTGGGTGGTAATTATTATCGCGAAAAAGTCCTCGATAAAGAATGGCGAAACGCGGAAAAATCGTCTATTAAGGAGGGTGAAAAGAAGAAAGCCTCCTCGATGGTCGATGGTGAAAAAAGAAAAAATTCTCCACACAACATGACGAAAGAGGAAAAAATCATCGGTTAAAACTGTGAGAGAAGAAGAAACCTCGCCGCAAAACATGGGCTTTCGAGTGCAAGGCTTCGCGCAGACCTGATCCCGCTCGATTGATACTTAAGTAATGCAATTCATAAGCGCGTTAGCAGGTTGAACAGAAACGAAGTTTGTTGTTGTTGTTTGTTGCATAAGTACAACCCAGCGTAGCGTTCTGTACAGTGTATTTAATGAAGTTTGTCGGTGTGTAGGTTGTTACAGTATTTACGTTGGGTTGGTTCCCAAGGAAACCGGTGCTTTCGAAATTAACGGGGACGTGACGCGACATTAAAAATAATGTAAATGGCATGCAGGCGTATCGCATTTATAGCAGTAATGAAAATAATATTGCTCTAATGGCAGTGCTTAATTGATTACATAAAAAAGGGACGCTGCACGAACTAATTAACGTACAGTAGAGATATTATGCCTCGGCCCTTCCTTTAATTCGTCCATGTTTTTATGCAAGAAGTCATGTTTTTATGCAAGAAGTGTTCACGAGAGATTTCAGAGCCGTCTACATCACTGGATTATCATACGGATTTACTGTTTTAATTGCATTCAGTTCTTGCTTCTTTTGGGTAATCCATGACAAATCGTCGTTTGCTGTAATGAACCGCAAAGGAGAGCAACGTAAACAAACGGCGACCAATATTGTTATTTTTAAACCGAGGCATTGCCAGTTATCTTTATTTTACTGTGGTTGATTTGCAGCATGTACTACCGATCCCATGCTCGTTTTTATTGCTGCGGCAAATTCCGCCGCGTTAAACCGCAAAAAGGTCTGGACACCGCCCACGATGAAATGCGACACCCTGTGGCGAATCTTTGTACACACCAGCACTAAACGATGTGATGGAATTAATAGGATATTTGATAAATCATTTAAAACAATTATTAAGGTAGAATAATAATATGATGCCTGTTTATCGTATAAAATACTTCATAGCATATCATACTAATCTAAAGTTATTCGAAGATCGAGAATCTGGAGGAGCATACCGCGCAGCGCTTCCTCTTCCTGACTTCCAATGGACTGAAGCGCACTGAGAATCCAGCTGCGCATTTAGTTTCTGCGGCATAACTGCAAAATACGCACCACATCTGCAAGGGATAACACGATTGGCTGAACGAGTTTGAGCCACAATCGCGGACCGGAAGTCTCAGTAGGTAATTTATTTATAATCTGATTGGTTCCCGCGCCCATCTATTTCGACCAGCCAAACGGACATGGTACAGTGCCGAGTATTCGCCTTTGAACGTTCAAGGCCATCACTGCGAGATACCCCTTCACTGAATTTATCATTTCGATTTTTTATTCCGCTTTTTATATTATTACTAAGTCGTTAAGGTGCATTTTGTTTTTCCCCAAAGGTCACCTGCAAGAGGTCTGTTCGCTGGAGATCGCACACAACGTGCGGAAGACGATCGAGAATCTGGCGCATCTGGCGGATTGCCGCTCCCTGGAGATCCTGGAAATCCCCAACTTCCGCCCGGAGGATCCGCGGATTGTAGATATTCTCGCGATTATGCCAAGTCAAATCTGCTGCATCATTGCGCTGAACCATCTGGACATGAACATGGTGTTCCCTACAAATCGCGCATGTGCAGAGGCACTGCCCTTAATGCTGGACACAAATTCTCTTCAGTTTTATTAGTTTTTTTGTAATAGGCTTTTCTTTACACAGGCTTATCATACACGTATTAAAACAAAAACAAAATAAAAAAAATAATAAGGAAAAATAGCGAATACCTAATACGATTACAAATTATTGAACATAAATATGCAATCGATAGTACAGTTAATAAGAATATGGAATAAACTGAAAGTAAAATACACAGTCAATAAACCAATTATAAAATGTTAAGATAATAAAAATAAAACACAACAAAATTGAATGGAAGCAGCTATACAAGTCTGTCTGGTGTTCCTTTTTGACAGGCATCGTGGTGGAGCAGAAGCGGAGCTGGCGTTCTGCCTGGAGCAAAAATCACAAAGAAACGTTTAAAGAGAGCGTTCAAAGTAAACAGGAGCTGTACAAAACAGACACAGTATTGTACAAAGAAATTAGTCTCATGTTTTTCAGATCTATTGGCACTGCGCATCAACGCCCAAACTTGCAAAAGCCTCATGGAGGACATTGTTAGCCCGATCGAGCGACCCGAACAATATGTAACGCCTTTTCCTTAGCATAAATTTTATCATTGCAGCATTACTATCTTTGCGGACATTTGTATGTTTGCAGCGCGGGATCCAGCATTTTTCCGTGCAGTGTAACGAAGAAGTTACCCCACAACGTCATAGCGAAGAGGCCAGTGACGTTCCGGCTTACGGCGCAGATGAGCGGCAGTCCGAAGGGATATTTGCCGGCGACAGTCCAAGCGATGCAGTACAACTAACCAAGAAGTTAGCGTGGATGCCGAGCACCATGCAGACCAATAACAGCGACCATCCGCCGTCGCTATCGGCAGGCGACAACGCAAACAGCGACAACTCGCTCCACGCACTGTTAAGCGGGACTAATCGACAACTACCGCGCACGGGATGACCTTCAATTGAAGTCGTTGAGTCGTACGATTACTGAAGCGCAGCAATTCGAAGACACACGCAAGCGGACGTTTATGCACTGGTTTCTTTAGAAAAGGCCATGGTTCCTAAATATCGTTTCATCAGGAGAGCCGTTTACAAGGATTACATGATTGCGTTAGGAAATTAGTGAAGCTGTTTTTCTTTGCACTTTATGCATTATTGTAGCCGGTGCCGTTCGCGGTCTGTTTTGCGGTAAAGTATGCGATTGCTCATATGGAAAGCGATCAAACGTTGCAACTGCCTGCACCCCGAAATACATTTCAGGATATACAAAAGTAAGCAGAAATAACGTAGTGACAACTTGAAATTATGGTCGTATTGATAAATCCAAGAAATATACTCAGAAGTATTTCTCTCAGAACGGTAAAAACTTGCTGCGCGTAATTTGCCGCTGTAATCCGCCATATCGTTGACGGAAATTCGTCGACCGTCACTAATGGTAAGTCGAACAGACAAAATGCTGAGCCGTCACAAATTAAGAAGTCACGATGCCGACGCAATGCCTTTGGGGTGCCTTTGACCTGTGACATAAAAGGTGGCGCCAAGCGGTGCGGAACTACATAAACGTGACCATACGTAAATTATACGCGCAAGGCGCAACAGCCGTTACCCCTGTTTGCACAGAAAATAGTACGAAGCCTTGTAAACCGGACGTTCCAAAAGTCTGCTTCCCTTCTGAACATGGAACATAATTGGACTCTTAACTTTTTGGCATACAAATACATCGGCATACAAATTTTGAAAGAGAGGCGTCCAAAATTATTTGTGAGCGATGTCAGGAAGAGATTGGTTTAAAATTTCGTCCGGGCGAAAATAAAAGATTTCTTACATGTACACGAGTTTTGTACCATGTACCGGGCCACTTTCCTTAAGTTGTACCTTTTATACTAGTGGAACAAGCAATAATTTTAATAAAATGAAAATATTCGGTTTATAACAAGCGTTTGGCTGATTATTATTTCTTCCGGAATTTTAAAGACGCAGTTATTGCGAAAGACTTAGTGCATTGTTGCACGAAATTATTACAGTGTAATCGACTGAATCGAGGCGAAGGCCTTCTGTGTTCAAGAAAACAGGGCTTTCTGTCACGTCGATCACGCACAGATAAATTATAGCGCAATCGTTGTCGTCCAGAACCACTTCGTAAACTACCATCAACATTATACTCTGTTTGCTCCTTTTGCGCTACCTTCCATTTAGCACTATAGTGCACTATAGCACTAAGGTAGTGCACTATAGTGCACTGCCTTTTCGGCACTCCCTATTTCATTCGGTAATTTACCTTTGACACTACCACTTGTTCGGTGTCCTAGCACTGATTTTTTCGCTCATCATGACGCAGAAGATTCAAAGTAATAGCTGGTTCGATCTCCAATCCACCCCATGTTTCATGGGGGAAAGGCCGGCCTACTGTAGATAAGCCGATTTATTATTTACGCAGGCGGACATAGTAAGTGTACGTAAAGTACTGAAAATAAAGTGCTGCATATAAAAAACTTAAAGAAAGTACTTATTGTATACTACTGTAAATACCTATATAACTTATGCTGACCATTCCGTACAGTACACTACCTTTCCTCAATGGAGGGCTGGATTGCCCCTGCGTCAATGATTACGCCCCACTGGAAGTGCGGTACAAATTACACTAACTAACTAGCTTAAATAATTTATTTTATTTTATTATTTATTATTTAATTTTTATTTATTATTATTTTACTTAATTTATTTACTGTGTTTATTTTATTTCATTGTGACTTGTTGTGTGCTACGGCCTACGAGTCATGACTTGGCCGTGCGCCTCGAATGTTTGGGAGCACCCATTTCACCTTGGCTTTTTATGGTAGTCTCGAAGTCACAATATTTTTTATTATCCTTAATTTTGTTGCGGTAATTTTTCTTTGTCATTACAAATTTCCCAGCAGTTTCGAATTTCTCGTTGCGTATTCCTAATGTACTTACTTAACAAGGATTATTATGAATGAAATGTTACTGTACAAGCTGAGCGCGGATGAATATTGGCTTACGACTATTTAAAATTACGTCATATCTTGGATTACGTCGTCATGTGTTGGATTGCGGTGCAAAGTCATAATGGCAGAGCCAGACAGCTATTTATTCAGGATGGTTGCCTGCAGTGAGAATCGTGAAGTATTGCCCTTTTGTCCCTTAAGTTTTTTGGTTCATCGCTCAGCTGCTAAGTTTCTACTTATTCTACTGAATTCTACTGAATCTGAGAAGCTAATGTAGTGGCTTATCAGTGGGCGAAGTGATTTGTTAACTGTTCACTCACCCAGGGAGCACAAGAAACACAGAGGCGAAGCCAAAAATTTTTCTGGTTCAAATTTATCATGCCCGTGGCAACAGAGCTGCCCATGTTAGCCCTATGGCATCCATGGTAACAAGCTTTCCAGTGACCGCTGGGCCTACCGCGACCGCGATGGCGAAAGGTCAAGAGTCTAAGAACACTCCCCGCACTGGGAGGATTCTTGTGCAATTTGAAGCAGAAAAATCGATTGAGTAGAAGCGGAGATCACGCGTTACAATCAGGAGAGGCCGAAGGTCTGCAAGAGATGTTTAGTATTCATATAACCAGTTTACGGGATCTACATCCGTACGTATTATCGCGGCGTACTTCAATTTCGAAAGTTAAATGTACACACGTCTATTATTCTTCCGGCTAAAACACAGTACAGTAAAGAAAACGTTTAGCTATCTCATCGGCATGTATGCTGAAATGTTATCGGATCGGCAATTCCGCAGTTATTTTAGATGCTAAGAAAGCTATAATTATTAATAGAATAGATGTGAAAAAATGAGATTATTCTTCCGGCTTGGACACAGTATATTAAAAAAAGGCACAGTTATCGGATCGGCGTTTATGCTGAAATTAGTGGTAATAATATGAGGAGGTTGTGTAGCTTTCTGAAAATTCGGTATCGGTTTCCTGATTTAGTTCGTGTACGTAAAATCATATATGGTATTATGTAGATCGCTTTGATGAGCTTGGATCCGGTGTTGGAGGTCTTTTCCTTTGTGTTGTGTTTTCCGGGCATTCGAGCTCGTCGTCTATGAAACCCACAGAGATTGCCCATGTGAGAAGTGTTTGTGCTTGACCAGTCAATGAAATACGGAAAAAGGTTTTTTTCCACTGGGTTTGGAGAGTTTTGTACTTGTCGTTGTATACAATACCGCTGAAGTAGACAGGTTTCGACATGTAATCATGATCAAAGTATTCGGCCTAAACAAAAGTAAATATGGTACTAAATACAAAATTAAATAAGTAACTAAGTATGAAACTTACTAAATGGCCCCACAAGGTGATTGGTGTGGAGCATTCTTGATCACGAATCGTGATATTTCTCATGAACTTTGTTCGTCCGCTAAAAATTTTTTCCTGCTTTTCCTGAATTTTTTCGACAATTCCGATGTAGTCTGTTCCGAAGAAAATGTATTTTTGAAGATAAAAATGCATAGCACAAGGATGAATATGAAGTTTTATTTTTGTAGGGGTACTGTCATTATCAAAACTTCGTAGGGAAAATTTGGAAACTGTACGTGCACAAGTAAACTATTTATAGAAATTATGGAATTTCGCGGACTGCGCGGCCAACAGTTCGAAATTATTATTATTTTTCAAAGAACAGTACAACCTGCTGCGTAGCAGTTACCGAGTATATGGTGAAGCGTGATTTAGAAATACTTGTATAGAAGAATAGAAAATACTATATAGAAGTATGCAATTAGTAAAGGTTTCATACACATGCTAGTGCCGATCGGTACAGAGTGTACTGTATGCAGTGCCTTGCCGCTTGCCAGGATTGACCATAAGAGTTTTAGTTCTGTTTATGAATTCTGGCATTGTGATTACTATTAAGCGGTACCTTTAAAAATTCAATTTAAATCGTACTTTTTAAAATGGAAATTGCGGTAAAGTACGGTTTATGTGTCGTGACATTTAATAACGGCATTGACATTTAGTTATGTTTATCGATTATCGGTTTATGCATCTTTCCTTTAATAACGGCACTAAATAATTTTTGCGGGTTGCATTTTTTCGCACATGGATCGGGAGTTGCGCTTATTATGGGGAGTGCGCTTATTGCCGGAGGTGCTACAAATTTGATCATTACGGTATATGAATACTGATGCATAACAAAGACATGTGTTACTTACTTTTGGACAAGGATTTGAATGCTTCAGTTGACGAATCAGCTAACTTGGATAGCGCAGATTTGGGTACTGATATTTCTGTACATCGTTCGATAACAGTCTTCTCGGTAATATAGAGGTTCGCATCTTCCGTCGAGTCAAAGCGGAAACTGTCATTTATGCGCTTTAGGTCGTACTTGGTGAAGACGTATGTCTGAAATTATTCGAGAATTGTTTTTCAAAAAAATGGTGTAAGAATATTGGTGTATAATGTAATGTTGTAAGAGTGAGGTACTTGTCCGATTTTCATTTGGTCGAATTTGTTGACTTGGTTGCCGAATGCGGTTACAATAATACTTCCTGTATTATCCGCAAACATACACGAGCGAGACATTCCGAAGCTGCTGGTAGCATGGGGAGGCATTTTGAACACAACCGTCAGTTTAGTTGGGCTGTAACGGTAATCGATTAGTATGTAAATTATGTAAAGTATGTACAGCTGTGTTTAAGTCTTAGATAGATTAATTTATTAGAGCGGAAATTAGGTATAGTAGGTTAAAATCAGTATAGGTATGCGTTTGATAATTATCTAAGGCTTATAAGCGTACGTTGGATGTTCGGAGACTGCGGTTGTAGTTGAATCATTAAAATAGGATCCGGCCGCTTTTGCCGTTAAAACCGTAGTTTTGGGTGGAATTTTCAGGTCTTTAATGAGCCTTTTAGGTTCGTCCGACTCCAGGATTTCAAAAGCAGTAATTGTTAATCGATAACTGCAATATTACTAAGGTGTAGTAGCGTGTTAACAAAGGTAGAAGAATTAAAGTAGCAATTAGTAATACTACTGACGGAACTCACTCATTTTGGGTTCCAAACGACATGGAATTTGTCACCTTCATGTAGGTCAGTTCGATACGTGAAGATTCCGATAAGACATCCTTTTTGATCTTCACATCTATAGAAGGTTTTTGTAAATTGCTGATGCTGTACACGGGAATTTACACGGGCTTTGGCGATGTAAACGCCTAACTACGTGCAGGGAGCGAAAGGTTGTCGTGCATAGCATTCGTGTGGACTCAAAAAGGTGACTTGTACATGTAGTTATTGCTGCAATGCACGCGGATATAATGATGAGTGTAATGGTGTTCTTACTGGATAATTGAGTGTGTCCATCGTTGATTGTGAGATGAGTCCAATTTCCTTTTGTAGTTGTGGTGACAATTTGGAAGACGGTGTTCGCGGGTGGTGGTGTCCCTTTCTCACAAATTTGTCGAATGATTCCGGGTGTTAATTGTTTTGACATTTTGAGGTGTTGTTGCGAAACTGCAAAGAAAACTGTTGATTTTAATCTGTAATAAAAACCGTTGATTTTGGAAAAAAATGGATCAAACAGGAATGAACAGCAAGAGAAATTGTTGTTTTTAATTTGTTAATGGGACAGGATTGAAATTTAACGATGTTAATTGACTTGTTGTTTTCTGTGACATAGCAACTATTATTTGTGCTGAGGGCAAAATGATCAATACACTATTATACTAGTACGGGTAAAGTACTGGTACGAGTATAACATTAATTCTGGTATTTTACCACTAATGACAATTAGCGCTACTAAATAATTCTGCTGTGACCTTTTATTATATTAAGGTTTCATTGTTATTAGCATTAGCGTATGCCCGGTAAATAAGACATACTCGGTATTGTTCGGCAAGAGAGTGCGCAACATTTCCAGTACCTTGTTAGATCACGAGGTTTCGTTATCGGGTGCGTTGGGTTTTCTTTGTGCAAATTGGGAACGGTAATAGAGTGTTGCTTTGAAAACATGAGATTAAGTGTTTTCGCATAAGGGCTTTATCCAAAGTTAAGTGAACAGGATTCTGGTCAAACAGTATTGCCGTTGCAAATGCTACTGAGTATAGACCACAGTCGACGCCGTTCTCTTGTCGTTGGACGGATTGGTACTGTAGTAATATTTTATCCGTGGTATGTTTCTGTAGTTGCTTTTTTAGCTGCTGGACAATATCGGAATTCGGATTTTGGTCGTCAAGAGAGTCGTACACTTTGAACACGTCACCGGTTCGCAAGATTGTCTGGTAATGATTTCCGTTTGTAAAGATAATCTGAACTGCTTTATTACCGTGAGCAATGTTGCTTTGAAAATCTGGACTTTGGAAATTCGCGACGTAATCGAGTCCGGAGAAAATTTCGGTGCCGATGTTTGATCGTTGGTGATTTCGCTTTTGTAGAAGAAAAATTGCAGCGTCGATTGCACTTATAGATAGTGCGCCTTGGTTTACGATTTCGTTGTAATCTGTAATTGACAGTTGTAATTGTTTATTCCAGTAGTTGTTGTTTGTGAATAAGTTAGCAGGCGGTAATGGCACATTCATCGGTTGCTCGGTAGTTCTAAGCGATGTAGGGCCATCATGGTCGTGGCTAGTTCCACTTCCGGTATTGAAGGTTCGTATAGTTGCGTTTTGGTTGTCGGTATCTTTTTTTCGCTTGCTCTGGTTAGATTTTATTCGTGGCAAAAAGTCGGTCTCGGATGCTGATTCGGTAGTCGCGAACATATCTGATTGCTCAATTGATATTAGAAGGTCCAAAACCCACTGATCTATGAATATGGATTCTTCAGCAAGTCCGATAATGAATAAATTTTTAAGGCACCTGACACGTGAAACTGCAGTGTAGAACTGACCAGTCTCGAAACACGGTTTGCGTATATCAATGATAACTTTATCCAAAGTTTGCCCTTGAATTTTGTGAATTGTCAAAGCATACGCTAATTGTAGAGGAAATTGCTCCCTGTATCCGATTATTTTGCCAAATATTTTGTAGGTATTTTTGAAGCGTGGTATGCAAAGTGTTTGGCCGGTTTGTAGCGATTTGACGGTTATGATTCTGCTGTTGTAGTCGGTAACTTGAGCAATTGTGCCGTTGTGCCATCCAGAAGTAACATCAATATTGCGTAATAGCATGACCTTTGCTCCACGCTTTATTTTTAACAGATCCGGAAAGCGATCGCTGCACCATTTTTTAACTCGGGTTTTATCAACTTCACTCATGGGCTCTTTATTGAGTCCATAATCTTTTGCTTCGTAATTCATTTGATCTGATGGGAGAGTGGTCAGATAGCGATCGCACCATTCAATGGCCGTTTCAATGTGTGGGCATATTATTGGTACATAGTTATCGGGATCAATGATGATTTCACCGGCTGTTATTGTCCTTTCCTCCAACGACTTCTTCACGCACTCAGAGTAGCTGCCGTATCGGAGGTGCTTCAGAACTTTTTTAAATTCCGAATCGCTTTGTCTGTGGACTGTTGACAAAGTCGTTACTTTAAATTTTGACCAATGTTTCCCTAAAAAAATTGAATGGTTTTGTCGGTCCAATGATACCGGGGGAAGTTGGGCAGGGTCACCAAGTAGGATTATAGACACGCCTCCAAAAGCTTTAAAACACTGGTTCCTCTTGTTGACCTTTTGTAATAAGCTGCTTAGTGATGTAAGGACTTCTTGAGTGACCATACTCATTTCGTCAATAATGATGACGTCTACTAGATGCGCTCTCCAATATTCTATTGTGTCTCTTTCAGTTTTATGCTTGTTATCGATTCCGATACCAAAGTATGAGTGAATTGTAGTGCCGCCAGTTATATTCGCAGCTGTGCCGGTTGGCGCAACGATGCAAACATTAACGTTGTTTGCAGATAATTGGTGATGTACGTATTTTACGATGACACTTTTTCCAGTTCCCGCGCAGCCAATAATGGATAACAGCGTTTGTGTCCCAGCCGTAATACTGGAAATTAAGTCGGTTGCGATATCTAATTGCTTTCCCGTTGGCTCTATTGGGTGTTTTGCCGGTTTGGGGAAATATTTTTCATCGTTAATTTCTTCCCTTTCGGTTGTGGATGCAAACGAGCTTTCTGTATACATTTGTTCGATGTTTAATAACGCATCTTCGGTAGCTTCGGTAAAATCTGCAAACGTCTTTAGGCAAAGGTCAGCAAGCTCCCGTATTTTTGCGATTGATAGTCCTTTGCTTACTGCTCTGCCAAATGTGTCTTGGACAATGGATTCATCTATAAGATTTCTTATAATGCATTCCTCAAGGAACGTATTACTTGAATTATCCGGTGAAAAATAGGGTTCGTTTCGGAAAATCGGGATTTTCGACAGAAATAGTTGACGATAGAAAGTGTCGGTGTCAGTTGAATCTGGCAGTACAAATCGGAAACGTGTCACAGCGGGAACTCTCCGTTTCGTCACCTTAGTTTCTCCAGTACTGCCAATAAGTTCTCCAGAACGAATATTTTGAAGTATATTGATTGCAGGTGGACTTGTTGCATTCCAGTATCGGTTTGTTTTGTAAGATTTTAAAGTGGGCAGTTCTTCGTCTTCTGGTGGTTCATTTTGTTCTTCTTCCTGTGTTGCTGTTGTTCTGACGAGGAAGTATTGGAAAAATTCGGTGTAGGTGAGATCTCTGAGGCGTTCGTTTCGTTTCAAGTATTTTTCGAACTTTGTGTCGTAATAATCAGCATCAGTCGGTTTTTGTTGTCGATTGAATCCTTTTCGTAGTGTTTTATACGTTGCCTCAATTTCGTCGGTTAAGTAGACGCACTGAAGAGATGATCCGTGCAAATCTTTGCTCAATAATCGTTGTGATGCTTCGAGAATACCGGTAATCTTCGTGGACAAATGTTTTTGGACGGCATTTTGAAACGTTGTTCGAATTCTTAATTTGGGCTCTGATTTCGCAACATACTTCGCTAGATAAAGTTGCCATCCGTTGGAAGTTATTTTTTGCACATTTATGTGACCCTGCCAGAATAACAAAAGGTTCGGGTTGTATGGGACTATTCTTTCATCCTGCGTTGAGAATCTTGGGTACTCGTATCGAACTTTAGTTTCGTCCAGCTTACATTCTGGGTTAGGTGTATGAAACGGGAATCCGTATTTACATTTGCTCAGCCTTTGTCCAGCAACTCCTTGGAAGCAGCGTTCAGGAGTACAGCGTTCGTGTATTTGAAACTTGAGAAGTAGCTGACGTATGTACTGAGAAAGAGCATCGTTTTCTTGTGGAAAATGCGCGTGTATTAAATTAGCTGTAGTATCCGATTCCAGCCATATGACAAGGTGGGTATGGATCGCACCTCTCTTTTGGTACTCGTGTCTATACCAGTAACCTTTAATTGTTCCGAATGGGCTTTCGCTGCCTAGTAGGAATCTTTGCTTAAATGCGAGCCATCGTTGATGATATGCTAGAGTAACTTCAACTGGGTTATTAACAGCAACGCTTGTTGGTGTTCGTTTGATTTCGTTATATGTCTTTGCATTCGTTCCTGGTTTGTTCTCACATGAAAACTGTATTTCAGGCCACGAATCGTTTTGAGTCAGTGTGACAAAAATATGAGGTTGTCCAAGGTAGTCGGCATTTGAAATGGCAAAAATGTCGGCAGTGCAGCTAGCCCAGTAACTTGCGGATCCAATTAGTCTAGGCGGTAATTCTCTTCCATAGGGTGTATGGCTGTCGTACTCAGTATTTTCATTTTCTGGTCCATTTACCATTTTTTTCCGGTTATTAATAAAAAATTTGTTGCACGTGAACAAATGGTTTTTTGTTTTCCGGTCCAGCTGTACAAAAATAAACATCTTGCATTTTCGGAAATTAGGACTGCGATGTAGCAACTTATTTCGGTGCCAAGTAGCCATTTTTCCATTATCTTTGTGGTATCCTCCTCTACCAAAAGGAAATAGAACGGGGAAGCACTTGCAGTCGAATTCATTGTCCGATAACTTTAAAGTAATCGATTTTGTGAATTCTGTCGTATCACTGGGGTCACGGAGAAAGCATCGGCCTACAGTATCGGCATTTATATTTTCAAGCATTTCGTCGTTGTCGATGTACTCTGGTTCAATAAGAGCTTCCGTTTCTTCACCCAGATCATTTTCTCTAAGAAGAAATTTTCCATTTACCGTCTGAGGAGTTGCACTAATCCAAGGCCAAAGCGTTTCGGCCAGACACGCAAATCTTTCGTAGAAGGGATTATTATGTCGCAACCATTGTATTGCTGCAATAACTGAACTTGGTAAATGATGGGTCACTTCCGTGTCTGCTTGTACGATCGCTCCCAGCAGGCCTTTGTAATGTTCATCTGGATTTTTCCAGTACTGCAGGTCACCCTAAATGTGGTTTTGAACCACTGTTCATATATTATCGTTTTCCTTTTTAAAATTGTAACAGCAGCAATAGCAAATTTGGAAGACTCTCTCTAAAAGATCATGGTAGATGTAACAGGTATAATAACCTAAGAAATGTAAGAAACCAAAGAAATCAAAGAAACCAAAGAATCCTAAGAAATCTAAGAACCTAAAAACCTTAGAAACCTAAGAAAACCAAAGAAAC